CGGGTTCAATTCCTCACATGGGCCCATTCCTGATGCCCCCAAGCCATGGTATGAATGGAATCCTGCTAAACGCGTCGTAAAGTCATACTCCCTCGCTATAATGTAATTACTAAATTATAAGTGAGTTGATTGTTGTCTTTAGCAATGTTCTCGTTACATATAAGGCGGTTCACACACACAAATCGTTTCACACATTGTGCCCATGTATTCGAATGGAGTACAGTCTTTTTTAAGGTATAAATTTCTCCCCATGTTGCAAGGTATTTTTAAAGACCGTCCGTTAATGATAAATCTGCTAAACTCTGAAAATCCTGATATGATCCATGCTGTTTCTGTATTCTTGAAACATGTCTTTATAATGAGGAATGTGTAATTTGATCTAAAATCTAATCATGTACATCACGTGACAAATGTTGATAACCAATCTGCATTGTTCTATGGGCCTTGATGCCTAAATCACGAAATAAACTGTCTGTCTATAATCGTCACCCGATTACAATGGAAACTATATAACATGGACAGTTCCACAACCCTGTTTTCCTGAGAAAAAGGAAAAATATTGATAAAGAAAACATTCTAAAAACATAATAAGAGGTTATCGTTAAACAAATATTACCATTCTGACACTTAACCTGTCTTTATGAGATCAAATATTATTTTAGTTTCCGTGACATGTATTTTCAACCCAATTCGGGATAGTATATCCTGTTTCTAAGCTTGGATGTATTGATTGCCTGTCAGTCAGGAAGTTAATTTGAAACTACAAGGAAACTTGTGTTGTATACCCGAGCTTTTTTCTACGCCACAGTTTTAAAGCTGGGTGAAAGCTTTGAAGATAAACATAAACTACATGCAGTCCTATCATTCTAATACATTACTTTTCAACCACCGCCTCCGTGGTCTAGTGGTAGAGCGTCCGCCCGGAGAGCGGAAGGTCCGAGGTTCGATCCCCGGCCGCGTCATACCAAAAGACGTTAAAAGATGGTACTTGTTGTTACCATGTCTGGCTCTCGGCATTAAGGGGCTAAAACAAGGTATACTGTGTCTTAGGGGGGTATTCATGTTAAACTGCGGCATGGTATCTCAGTGTGCTAGCACTATAAATCGGCATCAGTCCGGACTAGTACAAGCAGCCACACAAACACACACACGTACATGCACGTCGCTATATAAGTGCAATAATCTTGGACGCGACGTTAAACCCCATTTCACCTCACCTCACCTCACATTGCTTTTCATGCAGCCTGGACGATCCAATGTATCATATCTCTATTCTATTTTGATGAATACCCTTCATTTATTTCCGTTTGTCACGGTTCTTAACCTAGGATTACACCACGTACACTGGAGTAAAGCTTACCTACAGAGGAGTAACCGCCGTCACATTGCTTGAATAGTGCTGAGTGCGGCGTAAAACAACGAACAAACCAACAAACCAACAGAGGAGCCGACCCGTAGTTGTCAAAATGAGAACGAATAGCGTAGACACACGTGAAGTTGGAATCCAGCGGCTATATAAGCTTGGAGGATGACCGCCCGGAGCCACAAGGAAATAGTATTCCGACTTGCAGCAGACTTTAGACCATCGTTGGAGAAGCTTCAATGCACAATCCACAAGGGACGAGTGAGAGAGAGAGAGAGCGGATATGTCTATGGAGTATCCACTCACAACCTATATCAACTTATTTCAGCGATAGAAACTAACAGTTTAATCCACTAGTCCTTATAAAAATAACAACATAATAACAAAACCATTAAAAATGGCAAATTTCTAACAGTCCTTAGGATACCTTAACTACTGGACAGTTTTGCAAGGACTAGAGGACTAGTGCCAATTTCTAACGATGAACTTAAGTGATGAGATACACATGGAAGATATAATTATACTGACCTTCTCCGTGTAGCGAGTGTGCAAAGTGTGGTATTATATGCACAGCATTGAACAGGATATCTTCACGAAGTGGACACTGTTATTTAATGTTCCTTGTTATTAAAGTACGTTTTAATGTTAGAAGCCATTTCCCGGTTGGAGGAGAAAACATATTGCGGATATAGTGGGATAGCACTATACAGGGGGCATTAGTGTGGACTAGCACAAACACACACGCATGCACGCACGTACGCACGCACACGCACACACACACATACACACACACGAGAGTGTCTCCTTTATTTATAGCCAATGAGGATTCCAGATCGGAAACCAAAATTGGTACCTGTATTGTAAAACAAGATGGCAGTCCGACGAAACCACTCCTTTCGTTTTCGTTTGAAGAAGTAGCCCTAGTACTGACATCCAGAACAATTGATGCGGACGAGGGAGAGAGGGGCAAAGAGAGAGAGGCAAAGAGAGAGGCAAAGAGAGAGGGACAAAGAGAGAGGGGCAAAGAGAGAGGAAAGAGCGAGAAGGAGGAGGAGGATCCTGTCAGCAAAGGTTATGGTAATCCGTATTAGTGCATGTGTACCAATTAACATGTTGCCCATCTATATATCTCAACTGATAACATCCACAATTATCTCACCAGATTCCTTTTATCTCAGTCAATACAACGACACTGGACATCGTGCAGAAATTGATCGGCCTCTTTAATTAGACAACGACCACTCATTATATGTCCGTTTCGTCCTCGTCTCAAGAGCGTGTCACTATAATCAAGGGAAGGTTAGCTTACCACCCGGATCAGTTTTCATAGGGTGTGGTTCTGATCTACAATATTGATTGACACACATATATATTATGTTCATATATTTACTATCTCCCTCATCCACACACCTATTACAACTTCCGTCACTCACACACCCATTACAACCTCCATCACGTGCACACACCCATTACACCCCCCCCCCCCCCCCCCCCTCCCTAAACACGAGCTTTAAATTTTAAAAGAGCTCTTAGCAAATTTAGATGTGCCCAATGGATTTAAGGGTGATTAGCGTCTGGCGAGCTTGATTTGACAGACACTTTATGCAATTTTTGTGGTGAAGGGTTTGTTGATGAATGCCATGTGCTTTTAATATGTCCAGCTTATAGCAATTTACCTTCACGATTTATAACGGTTTATTATTATGATGAATATCTTACCGTGTTTAAGTGTTTATCTCTGGTCTCAACTAATAATGGCGCTTATCTATAAAGATTAGCCCTTTTTTGTGATGGTCAAAGCCAATCAAAGGTAACATGAAGGCGCTCTGTTCACAACCTGTTCTCAAACTGTCCCATCCTCTGTAATATGGCCTTATGGTTGGTTGGCTGGCTGGTTGTTTTACGCCGCACTCAACAATATTCCAGCTATATGACGACAGTCTGTAATAATCGAGTCTGAACCAGACAATCCAGTGATTGTTACCATGAGCATCGATCCACGCAATTGGGATCGATGACATGCATCAACCAAGTCAGCGAGCCTGACAACCCGATCCCGTTAGTCGCCTCTTACGACAAGCATAGTCGCCTTTAAAGACAAGCATGGGTTGTTGAAGACCTATTCTACCCCGGACCTTCACGGGTTTGGCCTTATGGTCAGCATAAAGATAATACATTCTGTTCTGTTCTGACCAGGTTATTTACAGACTGCCGTCAGACAGCTGGGCTATTCCTGAATGCGGCGTTAAACAAGAAACAAACAAAGTTCAAAAACACAATCCTAACAAAGTCTTCACAGGCCTTTAGGATTTGCTAGAACGTGAAACATTTAAAAAAAATCATCGTTTCTGACGAGGTTTCCGAGTGTTTCTTTACTACTATTGTTTTAACGGTGTCAGAAACAATAAGGGAGCATCGATCCATAGAGATCCATGTCTACAATTCAATCACACTTTCAAAGAAAAACGTACATGCCACACTTCATCTTTACATATACAACTGCGAAAGCAGATTCAGTGTCAGGGAGTGAGCGAGTAAGTTTAAAGCCGCTTTGAACAGATATCAGTATGAACATGATGTTGGTTGGTTGGTTTGTTTGTTGATTTACGCCGCACTCAGCAATATTCCAACATGATGTAGGAGGAAAACCAGAAGTGATGCAGGTCTTACACGTGTACCCACGAGCACCGGTGCAGACATTCCTAAAATATGGTTCGAACCCACGACCATAGGTTTCTTGCACGCTCAAGAGACGCGACTCTTCCAAGGAATTGCGGCGCCTTTGACGACTGTGCCACCCATGCAACCATAGATTAAGACGAGACAACAAGAGTTCAACTGAAGAATGATGTTGGTCCACTTGTAACTACAGGTCGGCCAATATCCTGAACTGACATTGAAAGTATTTTGTTGGTACAGTAGGTTACAATGTAGGAGGATGGGATAGTGTATACCTCTTCCTCAGCATCCTCATCGGCAGTGACCGCCTCCGTGGTCTAGTGGATAAAGCGTCTGCCCACATTTAATGTGTTCATAGGACACTTTTAGAATGTCATTAAAGGTGTGTGTGTGTGTGTGTGTGTGTGTGTGTGTGTGTGTGTGTGTGTGTGTGTTCTAACACTGCACTCAGCAATATGCGGGCTATATCACAGCAGTCTTCAGAAAAATGGGGTCTGTATGAGAGAATCATGTGATGGATATATTGGGAGCAACGATCCCACATTGTTACTTGAATGTTTTCATAAGACATTTTTAGAACAAAGATTTGAGAAAATCCCATTAGGGGTCACGTCACAACGACCTTTCATCCGACCAATCAGAGCGTAGCTTACCAGAAAGTGACTCTTTCGGGATGTGATTTCTAGTCATGCAACCTCAAAAACTTTAACACGGGGTATTCCGAGCGATTGTTGCGGGCTTAACTACTGAATCCATACACTCTAGTCCATCTATTAGCCATTCCAGAATGTTATTTTGTTCAGGTTTCAAATTTTAAATCGAGAATTGTCAAAATGTGTTTCGAAGCATAGTCGCCAATTTGAAATTAGTGCCGTAAAGCACGAGAAAGCTGCCTTCTGATTGGCTAATGTCGACTTCTTATCAGTCATTCCATTGGTCGGTCAAAGTTCGCGCAAGGTCGGTCTGACGCGACCCGTAATGGGGGCAGCCTGCAGTTAATTGTGTCTGAACCAGAATATCCAGAGATGTCTATTTGGAGGAAGATCCAGGCCATCTGGGTACGGTGACATTATCAACCAAGTCACCTTATCTGACCACTCATCCATTTCACATCTTACAACCTGCATGGGTTGCTGGGGCCCAACTCTAACTGGATTATCCTCCAATTTGTTGAGTGAGTACGATTTTACGCCGCTTTTGGCAATATCCCAGTAATATCACGTCTGGGGACACCAGAAATGGGCTTCACACATTGTACCCATGTCGGAAATGGAACCGGGTCTTCAGCGTGACGAGCCTTTAAGAAATAGTAATACGAATGAGTCTTTAATGCAATGAACTTTTATTATTTTGAAGATATATACAAGTTCAAGTTAAATAACCCTCTTGGAAATGCACTCTTTAAAGATTCAATTTACTCCAGGCAAATAGTCTTCTCCCATGATCATTCACCGCAAACTAATTTGAAACTTATTCAAAACCTTTCAAACCAGGAATCAAAACAATCACATATTTTCAGCATAAACAATGTATTTAAATTCAGATCTTTTACTCTGTTATGCACCTCTACATAGAGATCCGAGGACACCTCCGCAGGACGTCATCGCGTCAGGTTAACTTTCTTATCATCTATTCAACCTCAAGACTTCTAAGTTCTCATTACAAGTGAGCAAAGCATTAAGATAAGCATTTCTGACTTATGTATCTTGAAAATGAAATTAAACAGCCAGTTCCGAATGCAAATAATACAATCAAAATTCTTGAATCCAGTTGGTGAATTATAATAAAAAGCTGACATATGATTAGCTTAAGAACGCACACATGCTTCATTTAGAATAGGTGGTCAGTTATCTCAGGGTCCACCATGCACGACCTTCTATGGAGGGGGTTGTCCCATATTCATGCAGAGAGGTATATGGGAGTAAAAAGTCTGATTTTAATGTTTGGTATAGCATCACCTACAGCTTCTCTGAACAGATCACACACCAGATGTTTCACAATATAAACATTATATATAATAATATAACATAATAATAAGTATATCACTGTCATATCTGTGAATATGTGACAAACAATACTGGGGAATGTGAAGGCACTTATACTTACTGGTCACTTGACAAGTAATTGCAAATGAGGTGTCCCTCAATTATTCAAGCCCAACTGATGTTAAATCTCAGTTCTTACAAGGATTGCCACATAAGGAGCCTGACCACTCAATCCCGTTTGTCGCCTCTTACAACAAGCATAGTCGCCTTTTACCATTTTAATGTAGTCTCATCACAATCTTTCATCATATGAACCTTTTCATTATACAACTAATTCCCATTCTTTCCTTGTATGTGGCATTTATATGTACAATCAATACACATTCATATCAACTAAATATTTTATAATGTAGTTTATAAGCAATATGTTCATTATTAGTCATGATAAATTTCATCTTTCATTCTGTGCTGTGAATGGAATGAGGAATAAATTACTTCAATCGTGCAATATGACATTTCCCGATCATCATGAGTAAGTGAGTGAGTGAGTATGGTTTTACACCGCTTTTAGCAATATTCCAGCAATATCACGGCGGGGGACACCAGAAATGGGCTTCACACATTGTACCCATGTCGGGAATCGAACCCGGGTCTTCGGATTGACGAGCAAACGCTTTAACCACTACCCGACCGCCCCCCGATCATCATGATTACACTGTGGTTTGTTGGGTGCGTAACAATTGAACATTGCTACCCTCAATACACAATATCTACAATCTCATAAAAATCAGACCTTAGTTCTCGCTATGACTAAACAAAGATCTGAAGACATCCCATTCGGGGTCACGTCAGAACGACCTTTCATCCGTCCAATCAGTGCCTTGCTTACCAGATTATGAAAGTGACAGTCGGAATGTGATTTTCTAATCGTACAATCTCGAAAACTTTAACATGAGGTATTCCGAACGATAGTTACAGGTTTAATGGCTGAATCCTTACAATCTAGACCATCTATTAGCCATTTCAGAATGTTTTTCGTTCAGGTTTCAAATTTGTAATTGAGAATTTGTCAAAATATGTTTCGAAGTGTAGTCGCCAATTTGAAATTTGTGCCGTAAAGCACGAGAAAGCTGCCTTCTGATTGGTCATTCCATTGGTCGGTCAAAGTTCCCGCAAGGTGTGTCTGACGTGACCCGTAATGGGATGTCCTCGGATCTTTGTTTAGCAGTAGCAAGAACTAAGATCTGATTTTAATGAGATTGCAATATCTACTTCATAATATGTCTCATGTTGAAGATTCTGCAAACATATATGCCTTACTGTTCTTACTGATGCTTGAATATGTTTGATCAATAAATAAATGTTTTTTTTGTTTGTTTAATGCCGCACTCAGCAATATGACGGCGGTCTGTAAATAATCGATTCTGGACCAGGTTCCATTCACCAAGTGACAGAGTTCTCTCCCCTGATGGTCACCAACTAAGTTCAACTTCTGCCACCAGTCATTGTGATCATCACATCCACATTTCACTCAAGTCTCAGGACCACCAGGCTTTCTAGGTTCTGGAATCCACACAGTTCAAAGCGGTGTGATTTTTTATATACTCAATTACATCGGCTCTCATTCAGATCATTGAAGGTCGCGTCAGGTCGACTTTCTAATCAGGCACTCAGCATAGAGGTTTCACAATTTTTGGTACCAGTGATCAAAGCATTCACAGCAACATATCTGTTTTTCTGTATCCTGAAAACAAACTTACATGACCAGTCTCGAATGTTAATAATAAAGGCATCACCATCGTAATGGTTGTTGATATTTTATACACCCTGTTGTTTCTGAGCACCATGACTCCACACAAGAAAGGTAGCACCATTGAAGGTATATTTGTAGTGTAAGGAGATTTGCTTTTGTTAAAATCGAATTTTCCAAATCGAGATAACAAAATAAAGTCAAATCATCTCATAGTGCAGACGACTGATTGGCTCAAGAACCAAAGCATCCTTCATTTAGATGGGGTGATCAGAGTTTGCTTAAGTTTCACTGGCACGACTTTCTACGGATGGGTTGTCAGGCCTTTACACATAGAGAGATCACATCAGAGTGAAAGATCTGACTTTGATGATTTCGAATTATCGAACATAACACCCCTATTTGATCATGGAATGTTATCACAGTTCAACATCAATGAGATCCGTCATTTCTGATTCCGACAACACTTTCTGTGGAGCCTCTACAGGTTTGGTCTTTCTGAACAAATCGTCATCCGAATCACTGTCCGAGGGTATCACTTGCCCATGCACAACGTCCTCTGCCGACACGCCGCTGACCTGCTGCCCCTGCATGGCCAGCTTATAGATGTACAGGGGCTCACACTTGTCCACCGAGTCTGTGTGTCGGAGTCGATTGTGATCAAAGCTTCGGATGGATAGATTCCTGGCTAGAGCTGCATCTAGACGGGGTGCACTGAGGTCCCGAGTGCTTGTCCTCCTCAAGCTGTGACGCCCGTCAAAGGACTGGATGGCTGATGTAAGATTTTTCAAGGTGTGAAGGTCTGACTCCTCAAATGCTGCAAACAGGTCTTGGATGCCAACTTGACGCTTTGGGTTGCCTGGTATGGAAATGGAATTACATGTAAACATCTATTCCACATACAAACACGTACAGTTCTGTAAATTTGAGTTCAACAGCTAGTATTAAGTTCAAATCTAGTGCAAAGGGGCCTGTTTAACTTAAGAGTTAGTGAGTGAGTGAGTATGGTTTTACGCTGCTTTTAGCAATATTCCAGCAATATCACGGCAGGGGACACCAGAAATGGGCACATTGTACCCATGTCGGGAATCGAAACCGGGTCTTCGGCGTGATGAGCTAATGCTTTAACCACTAGGCTACCTGACCGACCCTTTAACTTAAGAAACATTATATCAACTGCAGGATGTACAACAGTCCACACAGTGTGTGTTTTTGTGTGGCTGCTTGTACTAGTCTGGACTGATGCTGATTATGAGATACCATACAGCACTTTAACATGAATACCCCATTCCGACACAGTCTAGTGACTCCGAGGCAACCAGTCCTTGTTTTTACCCCATCATGCTGAGCATAAGGCAGAGAAACAACAAGTTCCATCTTTTGACGTCTTTAGGAACCCTGGACAGTCTCCTCTACAGGCGAACACTCTACATTAGACCACGGAGGCGGTCCCAGTATGAATAACGAGATGCCAACATCATACATCCAATCAAATTACACAACTGAAACTAGACATGATATCAATAGTCCCTGCCTTACTTTTGCACGCTGTCTCATATCCTGCCTGAACATCTAAAATACAACAGAAACTTTCATTTATAACAGCATTTCTAACGCCGCTTTTAACAGTGTTACAGTTATATCACAGCGTGTCAGCTTAATGTGGGAGGAAAGCCGAAGTGATGCAGGTCTCAAGACGTTTACCACTTTGGTGAAGCCCACGAGCACGGGTATGGTGCTAACAAACCTAGAAACATAATCAGGGTGAACTGGGATTCGAACTCACAATCATAGGTTTCTGGCGTGCCCAAGGGAAGCAACTCTGCACAGCGAATCGCGGGGCCTTAGATGACTGGGCCACCCGTGTCCCCGCATTTCTTACTGATTCATTTAAATATATCAATTGGGTTGCTCGGACAAAGCTGGGATTTTGAACATACATCTGTGCCAAACTCACGTTCAGAAGAGGTGATGTGACTGGTTGTTGATTTTTAATGAGAGAAATTCTGTGCTAAGTTAGTGATCTAAGAGATTGAGCTGGTGAGGCCACTTGAAAAGAAGCGAATGGTGGCGAATGGCCGGATGGAATTACTGTTGATGCTAGTGGTAGTGTAGACAACTGATGATTGTTTTTATTGTTGAACATTTTCATGATAAATTCATAAAGAAATACTGATGAACAAGTCTGAACATGTAGCAAGAGTGTATTACTGTGAGGCCTTTGTTTTAAAAAGTGAGCTGCAACTAAATAAGGCTAAATAATGGTCTTGGTTCTCAGGCACCGCCTGCATCTTCACAAAGTTTGCCGCATGTTTCGTTTTTATTTCCATTTTAAAAAAACTCAACCCAAATCCTTAAATATTCCAAGTTCAACTGTAGTCAAATACTGTATCAAGGAATACATTTATGCTGGGAGGTCCTTTCCCAGGTTGATTTTACACAACTGTTTATTTGGTTACACAACTGTTTATTTGGTTACATATTAGTTTGAACAACCAAACAAAACAAAGAAAAAAAACCCAAAACACCACCTCCCCGCACAAGAATTCAAAAGCCATTGTCTGAGAATTTTTTAATTTTTTTTCGCAAGCCTTATGTATCATTAGCAATATTTCTGCCATAGAGCAGTGATTTGTTAAAAAAATATATTGCATGCACATGTACCAGTTAAAATGTATTCACCTTGGCAGGTACTAATGTAGAATATAGTATAATCTTTTTCCCTATATTATCATTTACATTTATTTGACAAGGGAGGAAAGTCTTAACACACTAATAACAAGATGTTCCTCTAAGGCAAACAAAACTAACATTCTATAAACATTATGAAAGATAAAGAAAATGAATTGCATCATCACTCTAGTTTTGTCAAACTTGGAAGTTTTGGACTTATTTGTCAATAAATCAGGCTGCACTATAGGAGTTGGATGTACAATGATGCATAGATGCCTGTAGTTGTTACACAACATGTGTCGAACAATACAAGTTTCAAGCAGTTAAACACTCACACTCATGTAAACCAGAGAAACTTGTGGAGAGCCGATGTGTTGGATCCTTAGGAATGTGTGACTTACCTGGACCCTTGCATGCAGCAGCCCCACCATTACCAGAACTGCTGGGTTCTGACTGTGACTTAGGCCTCTGACTCTCCAGGAGACGCTTCATTGCAGAGTTCTTAAAAATAATGATACATAACAGTTGTTAGGATACTATTATCAACACTGTAACAAAATGTCTACATTCAGCCTGTAGCCATCTAGCTTTGCCCTGGTATTCTTTGTGACATATATCTGTGAAAACATGAAATGGAAATTAAATTTGTAAGAGTGAGTGAGTGAGTATTCAGCGGCGGGGGACACCAGAAATGGGCTTCACACATTGTACCCATGTCGGGAATCGAACCCAGGTCTTCGGAGTGACGAGCGAACTCTTTCACCACTAGGCTGCCCGACCACAGATATTGTGAGTAACATCGATTGTCATCATTAGATCATCCTTGACTTTCCAGAGTAATATATCTCGATTCCATTACGAAAAATAGCCTTGACTCTAAAGCCTCTAAAAGAATGTTTCCAGACTGACGTGACCCAACATAGAACTAAAACTTGTCATGATTATGAGCTTGAAACCAACAACCAGTCCAAATGACTCTTGATATGATATTTTGTCAGTGATCAAATTTCAAAATTGTGGCCTTGTAAAAGTTAGCCCTTAATAATCCTGTTTTCCTGAGTATTATATGTTTGTTTGCTGTTTAACACAGCACCCATCAATATTCCAGCCATATGTAAGAAGTGTGTAAATAAGTCTGGATAGGACAATCCAGTGATTGATATCATGAGCATCAATCCACGTAAAGGGATACAATGACATGCATCAACCAAGTCACCGGGTCGGACCACCCGTCCCATTTAGTCGCCTCTCCTGAAAAGCATAGGTTTTTGGGGACCATTCTACCCTAGAATCCACGATTTCCGGATTTTTAAGTTAAAGGAGGAAGTCCTCATGCTATCAGGCATTCCCAGTTGTATTGGAGATGGTATGCAACAGGAAGAGTCGAGTACTATGGTATTGATGACCTGGGCACGGTTCCAAAAAGCGATCTTAGCGCTACGACTATTAAAAGCCAGTGTTAAAAGATGGAAGTTACGATCACCTAAGCGCAAAGATGGCTTTGTGGAACAGGGCCCAGGTTAAATGTTGAAGCACAGAGTCATATGATTTGGTGGCTATTTTCAGAGTTGTGTCATTCAAACAAAGTCGAAATAAAGCTGTGGTGGAAGGTGGGTCCAGGATATTTATCCCAATAGAAAGGAGACATACTGCCCAGGGTAATCAAGGATGTCAATAAAATACAATAGTAATGGATGTGATTATTTCTTAATGCCACATCAGCCTTCATGCAATGAATGTAGTTTGAGTATCGGTTGCACCTGGTCCTCTGCACAGTGCACAGGGTTGGTTGGTTGTTTAACGCCGCACTCAGCAATATTCCAGCTACATGACGGCGGTCTGTAAATAATCGAGTCTGGACCAGACCATCCAGTGATTAATATCATGAGCATCGATCCACGCAATTGGGATCGATGACATGTATCAACCAAGTCAGCGAGCCTGACCATCCGATCCCTTTAGTCGCCTCTTACGACAAGCATAGTCACCTTTTACGGCAAGCATGGGTTGTTGAAGAGTGAGTGAGTATGGTTTTACGCCGCTTTTAGCAATATTCCAGCAATATCACGGCGGGGGTCACCAGAAATGGGCTTCACACATTGTACCCATGTCGGGAATCGAACCCGGGTCTTCGGCGTGACGAGCGAACGCTTTAACCACTAGGCTACCCGACCGACCCGGTTGTTGAAGACCTATTCTACCCCGGAATCTTCACGGGTCGCACAGGTCACAAATCAGGTGAGATTAAGCAACATTGGTCACAGAGAGTAGTTGGATGGGTGACTGCATTCAGCAGTTTGGCTCATGACAGTTTCTTGGTCCCCAAACTGAAGCACATGTAACACACGTGGTGTCTCCTTGGGCAAGTGACTTTGTTCGAAATGTGCCTGTTCAACCAGCAGTGACCGGGTACCCAATAGGATGAGATGGCAATGTGGTTGTTAACCTAGTGCCTAACAGGCAGTTTGGGTTGTATACTCCTCAGGGAGATGAGAATGATTGAGTGCACACTGATCCAGTGACCGGGGTAATAACTGCACTTTGTGCATGCCCGGTTGTGGTGTGGAAATATAAGCAATAAAAATGGTCTATTATTACTGGTTGGAGATTAAACGACAAGTCAATGTTTGCAACTACTGGGACATGTGTCATCACAAACGTGGTCTTCACACAGTTAATTCCACACACTGGTAAACCAATGCCAATACTACAGACAGCTGAATTGAATCAGCCAGGTTCTGGGACTGGTCATCCAGCTCCTCTTGTACTCCATTCAGAGTCACAACATAAGACAACCATGAGATGATTTGTCAATATACATAAACTAGAGTATATATGCTAACAGTGATTGGACATATTAAAGCATAACACAGGCTACCTTCAATCAACATTGACAGTTGGACCATTTTAACCTGATGTCCGACATCTTCCCAAGGCAAAGGAGTTAAGTGACTATAAAAGTGCAGTTTCCACTCTTGCCAAATTAGGCTGGAATTCTGGCTGGACTAAAGAGTCTATGCATAGTCCAATCAAAATCATGTAACGAACTAGACATCTGGTTTGTAAACAGCATGCATTTCAATGTGCAGATTTGGTCGACTGCAGCATTTGCAAAGCATGTGTACCGTCAACTGGGCATCTACAGATTTTTGTCCAATTCTTTCCATGTTTTAATGAAGGTGCTCAAATGATTTGATGCACTTTGCAGGGTAGGACCCTTTAATTACAACATAGATCTTGATTATCGAAAAGATCGTCTTGACCGGGCGCCGCAATGTTGTTTGCAGCAAATGCAAGTGATATGAGAGGTGGAATCTGATTGGTCAATAAGAGGGACATAGAAGGGACATAACCTGTAATAGCCACTGGTGGCACTACGATCAAGTGCAGAAATTCCAGCATAGTTCGGCAAGGGTTGAAACTGGACTTCAGTCAACGTTCTTGCCTTGGGAAGATGGAAGTCCAATTCCTGGTTAAAGACTTCAAGACCTTCTGGAAATATGAACCTACATAAACCCAGCCAGCCTACCTGTGTGAGATCTGTAGGTATCATCCCGTGTATATTTTTCACTCTCACGTCAGCACCATGGTTGATAAGAATCTGTACAATACCTGGATGGTTTCGTTCCGTTGCTAAATGTAGTGGGGTGTTACCTCTCCTGTTCTGGGTCATAACACTGGCCCGATGCTGGAATGAAAACATTCATAGGAATGTCACAAACAACTATTACTTCCACAGAATCCCTTCAAACACAGAGCCACAAGACACTGCTGACCTGAAATGGAGGAATAATTTTATGATGCTTCAAACTTATAATGGTGACAAAGATCAATTGTGATAACTGGATAAAGGGACTCTTCTTTCTTGCAACATCTTCTACGGATCTGAAGTTGACAGCCATCCTTGAGCTACTATGACTTTTCTGACAGCCATTATTAGTCCCACAAAGTTAAAGTTTCTGTGCCTTGTGATATTTTAGAATAAGGTTTAAATTTGTTTAAAGATATTTTGACCAAAGATTTGAATAGAATAAGAAGTAACAGGAATGTCAAATTTCAATTTCATCAGTGAAGCAGTATCAGTGAGTGAGTGAGTATAGTTTTACGCCGCTTATGGCAATATTCCAGCAATATCACCGCAGGGGACACCAGTTATGGGCTTCACACATTGTACCCATGTCGGGAATCGAACCTGGGTCTTCGGCGTGATGAGCGAACGCTTTAACCACAAGGCTACCCAACAGCCCCCAAGCAGTTTCAGAGAAGATAATAAATATCACGGAAAAAGTGCAAAGGTTTCTGGGAGTCTTTTAAAGTGTGTCGGTTGCAAGAAAGAGACCCTTCTTTGAAGGGCTTTCGGTCCCTTGCCTTTTTATATTAGTGTCCCATGAAGATCTGGGGTAGAATAGGTCTTCAGCAACCCATGCTTGCAGTAAAAGGCGACTATGCTTGCTGTAAGATTCGACTTACGGGATCGGGTGGTCAGGCTTGCTGATTTAGTTGATGCATATCATCGTATCCCGATTTGTGTGGATCGATGTTCATGATGTCAATCACTTGATTGACTGGTCTAGATTCGACTGCCATCATACAGATGGAATATTGCTGAGTACGGCATTAAACACCAAACAAACCAAATATTATATTAGCCCAGAAAGGTCAAATACAAGGTCATATGAACATAAAAAAACAAAATTCCACTCAACAGGTAACCTGACAGCATATACTAAATTACACAGTGATACATGCTGGCTATACAGATGGCAGGCCTTTCAGTTAAGGTGAGCTAAAAACGTGACCACAAACTTTATTCACCAGCTTTTATCTAGGGACCTTGACTTTGACATTTGTTAGTTTACTAATTAACACTGTTCTCCGCTACATGATGGCAGTCTGTAAATAATCGAGACTGGCCAGACAAACCTGTGATTGACATCATGAGCATGAGTTGTGGGCCCAAGGACACTAAATGTAAACCTAGACAAAACTGTGAACTGTACCTGGAGAAGCAAGTTAACACCTGCAGCAAAGCCCTTTGCACAGCTGATGTGAAGTGGGGTGTCCCCGTTGATGTCTTGTACACCCACTGCCCCACCTGCGTCCAGCAAGGTCTTCAGGATCTGAAAACAGAAGGGGAGATAATCCTTCCATGCACTAAAACTAGAAACTATAACAATATATGATAATGTGAATATTAATAATGCAATCAGTCAATCAATGTTTTATTCTCGACACAGAAAGGCCACAGGCCAATAGTACATGTATCACAATGTATAAGCGGATTGAGAGGCTGTACATACAAATTATAACCGTGAAGATCCGGGGTAACTAGGTGACTATGCTTGTTGTAAGAGGCGACTAACACGATTGTTTGGTCAGGCTCGCTGACTTGGTTGATGCATGTCATTGTATCCCAATTGCGTGGACCGATGCTCATGTTATCAATCACTTGATTGTCTGGTCAAGACTTGATTATTTACAGAACGCCGTCATATAGCTTTAATATTGCTGAGTGCAGCCTTAAACAACAAACAAACAAACAAACAAACAAACAAACAACAACAAACAAATTACTTTCTTATTGACATGGCATGATAAATATACATTGATATTTTCTATTAATATTTGTATTGACTGATTTCATCAAAGGAACAAATTCATTTACATTGACAGTGTAAAGATCAAGCAAAATGTTTCTTTCACAAATGTACATATGTACAAATGTGAAATGTCAACAAGACTTTCAGCCATATTCCAGCTATATGATGGCGGTCTGTAAATAATTGAGTCTGGACCAGACAAGCCAGTGATTGACATCATGAGCATCGATCAACACAATTGAAATATGATGACATGCATCAACTAAATCAGCGAATAATACTTTATTACCTTTTCAGGAAATTGATATACATCAAAGATCATGACAATATAATATCAAGACAAACAACACGTGACAAGTATACAGTTAAGGTACATACACTCGACATGAACTCGAGATGGATACTTAAATTAATTAAACGCATAAAGTACACATCATAGATGCTAAGATGTAAGATAGGAACATGAAAATAGAAAACTTATATTTAAGAGTTATATTTAAATAAAAGAAAATATGAATGATTTAAGAAGCATGGGGCACTTCAAACAAAAACCTGTATGTATATAAGTACATGTATATGATAACATTAAGATTTATTTAAAAGGGAGATATTATTTGGAATAAAAGATGTATATAAGAGTGATAAGATAATAAGCGATTTAAGAAATATAAATTAGGGCACTGTTCCCCAAATTGATCTTAGCACTCCGACTATCATAAGCCAGTGTTAATGTATGGGAGTTATGATGACCTTAGCACTAAGATGGCTTTGTGGAACGGGGCCCTGTATATTATACCTATACAATTTGTTTAATAGGGACATATCACATATGAATTTGAAGACTAGAATCTGTCATGGATCACCCCCTCTTTTGTGTTTGTCATGTTGCAGGGCTACTTCTTGTCACTTCATCGAATGAATGAGTGAGTGAGTTGGATTTAACGCAGCTTTTAACAGTATTCAAGTTACATCATGGCGTGTCAGCTTAATGTGGGAGGAAAGCCCGAAGTGATGCAGGTCTCAGACGTTTACCACTTCGGTGAAACCCACGAGCACGGGTATGGTGCTGACAAACCTAGAAACATAATCGGGGCTAACCAGGATTCGAACCCACAATCATAGGTTTCTGGCGTGCCCAAGGGACGCAACTCTGCACAGCGAATCGCGGTGCCTTAGACGACTGGGCCACCCGTGCCCCCTCATCGAATGAAACAATAAAGTAGAGGTCATCCACAAAAGATTAAAGCTTCATGTTTTCTAAGGGGGCACGGGTGGCCCAGTCGTCTAAGGCACCGCGATTCGCTGTGCAGAGTTGCGTCCCTTGGGCATGCCAGAAACCTATGATTGTGGGTTCGAATCCCGGTTCACCCCCGATTATGTTTCTAGGTTTGTCAGCACCATACCCGTGCTCGTAGGTTTCACCGAAGTGGTAAACGTCTGAGACCTGCATCACTTCGGGCTTTCCTCCCACATTAAGCTGACACGCTGCGAAATAACTGAAATACTGTTAAAAGCGGTGTTAAACCCAACTCACTCACTCACTCACTCATGTTTTCTAACAACTTGTTAATGCCTATCAAAGACCTGTCATCACCTTCTCACTCTGCACACAGATGGCCATGTGGACGGAGGTGGTGAGCTTCTGGTTGTGCACGTTGACCACCGCCCCCCGCAGCAGGAAGAGGCTGATCAGGTCAGTTTGTTGGTGCAGCACGGCCATGTGGAGGGGAGAATAGCCATTGCTGGACTGCGTGTTCACAGACAACTCGCTGGATGACCGGGGGCTACTCTGGAACCAAAGTTTACAGAGGTCAAGTTGGATAGAAAACATGTTTTCTGTACTGGTTGAAGCAAATAAATTGCTATATTAATGCACATCTTTTTCAATCTATTTTACTAAGAAAAGAGCTTCAATATTATTAAATGTGACCAACCGTGAGATAAGGGACCGTATTGGTGTTACTTGTCATTATATTTTAAAACTACAGTATCTTAAATACACAAAAATAAAACCACAAGCTTCAATTCATACTTATTACAGAGATATATGGCATCAAACAGTTGGACTTATTTTCCGACTTATACCTGTCTATGAACAAATTACAGTTTTTAGATATAATATCTGATTAATTGATATAAAAACATGACAAATGCAGGAAGGTTTTGAAATAATGTTTTTAAAACATTACAAACTAATGAGAGAAAAAAAGATATTTTTGTATAGTCCGCACTCATGGTGATTTTTACTGAAGATGACGTCAAACATCTCAATGATGTCACAGCACAATAGTTTCCTTGCACACATGAGGTCCCTTGCTCTTGGTGTCGACTAAACTTCAACAAACCCTTCAATATTTGTTTAAAACATCTATCAATTTGGCCATGTGAGTGAATCTGTTCCCCCAATAGCAAAAGGCACAACTTCATCCCTGGTTAATACATGTACCAAGTCTGGATGAGAAAATACTTCAGGGTTTGCAAGTTATGCGTTGGAAACAAAATATGATGGGACCGATGGATGGAAGGATGGACAAAGACGATGATGCATTATATGAGGGGGGGATAACTAGTGATGATCAGTACACACAGCAATCATGGTAAGAGCAGGGGTCTGCAACATTCAAGCACAATTTACTGTCACCAGTAACTGTGATGAGCCAATCCAAATCTTAATCACCTCTGAGATTATACACCCTGTGTGACTGAAAGTTGTACCCTAAAGACAGCCTTATTAAACCTATATCCTGGTGGCCCGTACAAAAGTCTGGGTTGGACAAACAGGTGGCTGTTAGCATGAGCATTGGTACAAGCTGAGTACAAGTGTGGAGTACAAGGGTGGAGTACAAGGGTGGAGTATAAGTGTGGAGTACAAGGGTGGAGTATAAGTGTGGAGTACAAGGGTGGAGTACAAGGGTGGAGTATAAGGTTGGAGTACAAGAGTGGAGTACAAGGGTGGAGTGTAAGGGTGGAGCACAAGGGTGGAGTATAAGGGTGGTGTACAAGGGTGGAGTACAAGTGTGGAGTACAAGTGTGGAGTACAAGGGTGGAGTATAAGGTTGGAGTACAAGAGTGGAGTACAAGGGTGGAGTGTAAGGGTGGAATACAAGGGTGGAGTATAAGGGTGGAGTGTAAGGGTGGAGTACAAGGGTGGAGTACAAGGGTGGAGTGTAAGGGTGGAGTACAAGGGTGGAGTACAAGAGTGGAATACAAGGGTGGAGTACAAGGGTGGAGTACAAGGGTGGGAAAAAGGGTGGAATACAAGAGCGGGATACATATGTGGGACACAAGTGAGGGATACAAGTTTGGGATACAAGTGAGGAACACAAGTGAGGGACACAAGTGAGGGACACAAATGTGGGATTTCAACGGAGGGACACAAATGAGGGACACAAGTGAGGGACACAAATGTGGGATACAAGTGAGGGACACAAGTGAGGGACACAAGTGAGGGACACAAATGTGGGATTTCAAAGGAGGGACACAAGTGAGGGACACAAATGTGGGATACAAGTGAGGGACACAAGTGAGGGACACAAGTGAGGGACACAAGTGAGGGACACACATGTGGGACACACATGTGGGATACAAGTGAGGGATACAAGTGTGGGATACAAATGTTGGATATATGTGATATATTCACATCAACCACAACCAAACCAGAGATGCATCTTACTTTGAAGTTGTTGCGACACTTGGAGCACTGACAGAGAGGGTGGCAGAGGTCACCGGCCTGGTCAGCACTGTCCACTACATCACTGTTGTCTTCAAAGTCATCAAAGTCATCCGTCGGGGAGTCAAAACCAAGGTAGAACTTCACCTGAAATATCATAAACAACAATCAGCATGAATACATGACACTTTCTTATGGGTAACAACTTCTATCTATTCCTTGTACGACGTGTCATCAGGTGAATGCCTAGTAAGATCATAGAGGACTCCATGTCTATATTATCATGATCTTTACACAACACAAGGTGGGATGAATGTCCGAAGTTATAAACCTATTCATTGGGATCGCCATTAAGTAAGAGACTTCTTTCTATAGGCATTAAAACCTACTGTGAGGTTTTACTTTCCAGTCGGGTTAAATCTCATAAACAGGGACGTTGTAATGTCCCTGGGATATTATAAAATATCCCAGGGATTTTATATAATGTCTTGGGTATTTTATTAATACGACTTCCGTTCAGATTGTAACATGTAATGAAATGAAAAATCAAATGACAAATGTTTTCTTTATATTTCCGAGGATCGAACTTGCAACCTTCGTATCTGTAGCCCAGTGAGTGTACCACGAGGCTACAGAGGTGTTGATAAGCCACACTGGTTTTTAGAATGTCCTTTTCAAGATCCGTACGCCAGCAACAGATATTTTACACACGTTTCCTAAGGTTCATGGAAAGTATGTTCGAAACATAAAATTTTTGATAAATGTTGTTTTAAGTTTCTTTTTTCGGTTTATAAGCATGGAAAAACACTTTCCCTCGGTTTTGGTAGACAGAGCATGCCCTGGGGGTCGGGAAAAACCGCGGGGACTTCGCCCCCTTGGTTTTTCCCTCTCCCCAGGGCATGCTCTGTCTACAAAAAACCTCGTGAGCGTGTTTTCTCCAATACATAACAACAAAATGACAAAGTCAGTGACATAGAATTTCCTATCAAAGACAACGGTCAGTAAAAACATTTCATTTCAAGAGCTGCTTGTATCAGAGGTTTAGCCATCTTCCTGAGGCAAGGGAGTTAACTGACTTTAAATGTCCAGTTTCCACCCTTGCCGAACTAGGCTGGAATTCCTTGGCTCAATCGTAGCGTCACCAGTGGATATTACGAGTTATGTCACTTCTAGGCCTCTCCTATGGACCCATCAGATTCAACCTCTCATATCACTTACATTTGTTTCAAACAAAATAGCGGCGCCCAGTCAAGACAATCTGATCGATAATCAAGATCTATATTGTGATAAAACGGGTCTTCCATCGCGAAGTGCATCAAATCACATGAGCACCTTGATCAAAAACATGAAAAGACTTGGAAAATTTCTATTGACAACGAGTTGCGATGCACATGCTTTACAAATCTTGCAATCGACCGAAATCTTCACGGCAGTTTACTTACCGGATTTCGATTTCTTGCGCAATTTTGATTGGACTATGCATGGACTCGTTGGTCCAGCCAAAATGTAACTCCATAATACCAGCCTAGTTCGGCAAGGGTGGAAACTGGACTTTTAAAGTCAGTTAACTCTCTTGCCTCAGGAAGATGAGATTTAGCTAAACTTATTGTTGTTATGCTATTGTTCTCCAGTCTGTTTAAATCTCATATAATTTGTCATAATATACTGGGGAACCTATTAATACGAGTTCCGTTTAGATTGTAACATATGAATGTTTCTAACTAGAAATCTATTTTGCATTTAAACACAATGTAATGAAATGTAAAATCAAATGACAAATGTTTTCTTTATATTCCTGAGGATCAAACATACAACCTTCGTATCTGTAGCCTAGTGAGTGTACCACTAGGCTACAGAGGCGCTGATAAATCACAACGCTTTTAAGGATGTCTTTTTCAAGTACCATACGCCAGCAACAGATATTTTACGCCCTTTCCTAAGGTTCATGGAAAGTATGTTTAAAACATAAAAATGTTGATAAATGTTGTTTTAAGCTCCTTTTTTTGGTTTATAAGTTAGATAACACACTTACCCTCGGGTATTTATGATAAGAGAGAGAGAGAGAGAGAGAGAGAGAGAGAGAGAGAGAGAGAGAGAGAGAGAGAGAGAGAGAGAGAGAGAGAGAGAGAGAGAGAGAGAGAGAGAGAGAGAGAGAGAGAGAGAGAGAGAGGGAGGGAGGGAGGGAGGGAGGGAGGTTTTACGCGGCTTTAGCAATATTACAGCGGGGGACACCACAAATAGGCTTCACACATTGTACCTACCCAGGTCGGGAATAGAACCCGGGGCTCAGAATCATGTACCATTTGGACTTTATCAAATCAGGTCACAGTTGACAAAGCTCAACAAGTTAAAGCTTAAAAAACATCACATCAGGCTTGGGAAACCATATGGCCAATGCAGCACCTCTCTAAAACAAAATGTCCTATGCCTCTAACCCACTCCCTTACAAAGTGATGAGAGAGAAAACCTCGAATGTTTCTTAAGCGTCCAAAAACCAATAACACGGGGATATAAGGCCGGCCCAAGATGAGTAACCATGGTAACTCCATCTTACTAGTTGTGTATCTCCATCAATGATGGCCCTGAAGAGTTTGTCCAGCTTCTTCTTGATTTTCTCATTGAGATTGTCATCAAGGGTGGCGGTCTCGAACTTGAAGGTGGTGTCAGCTGATGCGGAGCTGCTGGTGCTGGTGGTGCTGATGATGCTGTTGACACGCTGCACCCGGGACATCCCTGTCGGGCTGATGGGAGATGTCGGGGAGATGACAGATGGCTTCACCGTCGGCATTATTGGCTGTGTGGGTGGAACAATGTAACACTGACTGATACGATCATAATAATGGGAACATTGTCACGCAAAATAACATATCTGTGTTACTGGTGATGGTGTTATAAATGCTGTGGAGCTTGTGTTCCAGTGCACAAACCGGTTGGAAAGACTTTTCTTATAATCCCTTGATGTATAAAACAGCTATGAAAATGAATATTTCTGATTGACTTTAACATAGAAAAACTTTTGGAAAATAATCAGAAAAATATTTTTTTAGGCTCAAAAAATAGATTTTCGTATATTAGAGATGGGATTACCCATATATTTTAAAACTAGATAAATAAAATTTCTGGGTTCTAGTGAAAAAATGTTTTCTCAATTTCTCGTTTTATTTTTGTTAAATAAACCCACAAGCAGCATTTGGAACATTTAATAATTTCAGCTTTGCCTCTTGACTCAAAACAAGAAATTACACTGAAAAATATTGTATTGTCATCCTCCCCAGAATAATAAATGGATGCTCCCTAAAATACCATCTTCTCCAGCATCACATCTCAACATCTGCAACATCTCAGTCCTGTTATGAATCAATGTGTACATGCTCACTTCACTGTTTGTAGGAAGAATCATGATGCCACGCCCACTCAGCGTCAGCAGGCGCTGGACATTAACGTTCTGCGTCAGGCTAAGGGGGGTCTGCTTCTTACGGTTCCGGATGTTGGGGTCCGCGTTATTCTCGAGCAATACCTTCACGATGGTCTCTGCAATGCATACACTATAGTTAGACACACTTAAAAAACCCAGCTGAACCGACTTAATTAAATGAATGTTGGTTTATGCTACAGTCAGCAATATTCCTGCTTTTTGACAGCACCTTGTACAGGCAAACTAGTGTAAAAAAGAATGTGCAACGATCCACTCCATCGGATACGATGACACACAATCAGCTAACAACGGTCCACTCCATCCGAGTCAAGCCTATATATTTAGAACAGATATATACATCTAAAACATTATTTGATTTTCTTCAAATCTTAAAATGTTCACGAATTTTAGGAAAAAAACCAATAGAGTGATGAATAGAGGAGTGACAAAATATTGGTTACCCAATGAAGAATGTAATAACTCAATTAAAATAGAAACCAAAGAGTAAAAACTCAATTGCTAAAAAGGTAATCTGGAGTTCTGGAAATCCTATACATGTATATCTAATTGTGCCATGGACACTTACTAAGATGTTCAGGAATGCCAACAAGAAGAATATGTTTTAACCACTACTGTGCATCTTCTTGAGGCAAGGGAGTTAACTGACTGTAAAAGTCCAGTTTCCCCTCTTTCCTGAACAAAACTGGAATTTCTGGCCTCGATCATAGCTATGACAAGTTATGGTTTTCAAATCCTGCAATTGTTGACTGAAATCTGCACAGCAGTTGACGAACCGCATGCTGATTTCGTTACACGATTTTGACTGGACTATGCATAGACTCGTTAGTGCAGCCAAGATATAACTCCATAATTCCAGCCTCGTTCGGCAAGGGTGGAAACTGGATTTTAAAGTCAGTTAACGCCCTTGCCTCAGGAAGATGCTTCAGTGATATTGCTTCGAAATCAGTGAATCCCATTTCATTAGCAGTTGTAAGTTAGAAAGTTAGCCCCTTTCTATTTCATTGAGATTGATAATATGCCCTACTATGTATTTGTCTAGTTCACACAAGGAACATATTTGAAGGGTATTATTGTTGGAACAAGACTGATTGTACCAGGTGCTTTTTAACTGTGACATTATGCCATTGACACTCGGGTACAAGATATCATATAGTATATATATATATAGGAGTAATGGGATTTTTTGTGACCATGAAACAGCATGTTGAGAAACTGTAATCAGCATCTTGATATATAGAGTCTACTGTACTTAAAGCTGTGGGGACTTTCCCAACTTGATATGTACAAGTTTGTATGTTTTGTTTGTTGATTAACGCCGCACTCAGCAATATTCGAGCTATATGACGGTGGTCTGTAAATAATCGAGTCTGGACCAGACAATCCAGTGATTAATATCATGAGCATCGATACACGCAACGATGACATACATCAATCAAGTCAGTGAGCCTGACCACCCGATCCCGTTAGTTGCCTCTTATGACATGCATAGTTGCCTTTTACAGCAAGAATGGGTTGCTGAAGACCTATTCTACACCGGATCATCTCGGGTCGATATGTACAAGTATCATCTCTGATATGTACGTACTACAAGTATCATCCTTGATTATATTAAAATACTCATTAAAACGGTAAGTCTGATAGTCCGAGACTAGTAATATTCAGGAAGGACTAGTTACATTTCCTTGTGGACTACCACTGTTACTAATAGGCAGATGGCAACTCTGTAGAATATCATTACTGCTGACTAGTGAAAACATAAAATTCTGAAAGACTCAAGCTATATCAAGGCAGGCTGAGAATAAATGAGTCTCAGTTTTACAAACCAGTGGTTGACATTATGAGCAAAGTCAGATACCATCGGGGTACAATGACACACAATTAACCAAGTCCTCAAGCCTGGAGCATATAGTCTCAGTACATACCATATCCCCACTTGGAGGCGAGGTGGAGTGGAGTGTTTCCGATATCATTCAAGGCGTTGATGCAGATTCTTCTGGCATTGTTGTCAAAAAATATGAGAGCCTTCACACACTGAGGAAAAAAATAGAATAAATAAATAACATTAAACCCATTTATTATGCACCAGATTCCACTAATCAAGTAAATGCCATAGCACTTCAATATTCCCCAGGTCAATGGACCAATGTCCACTCGATTATCATTCTCAGCTCCTTTGGGAGTATACAACTTAATCTGCCAAGAAGGTTAACAGTCACATTACTAAGTCATCCTACCAGGTACCCATTCACTGCTAGGTGAACAGAGGCATATTCCGTACCAAGTGCTACATGTACTCCAATTTCATGCATGACGAGCCAAAACTAATAAAAGTTTACCTCCCTTAACCTTTAGCCTGCTGAATTGTTTTCACACTTCTTAGCCCTGCCTGCTGGATTAATTTTAGCATAAGGCGCTGTAAAGAGGGTGGGTGATTTCAAACAGTTGGTGCTTCATTATACAGGGGCCAATTGAAGAAATATTTTGCACATTTATTCCTGATAGAAAAATACACATTACTATGTAAAAAAATCCTGATGTTTTCAATCATACCAAGGTTAAGACCAAAACGAACACAAAATTTTATAATGTTCGTGATCTTGCCTGAATTACGTTATTGAAGGTGGTTTACGTTTCATGTTAGGAACCTTTTTAAATCGTTAAATTTGTGGAAATTGATTTCAATAATCAGATCTCCGATACCTTAATTTTAACTGAGTATAAATTTGATGTTTTTTATTGGTAAATAACAGCGCGATGGTAAATTATGAACCATTTCTGTAAATTTATTATCAAAACGTTAAACAGTAAAAAAACTAAATTTTCGAGGTCACCATGTCAGTTGCAGAAATACGAACATTCGAGTTAATCTAACATGTCACGTTATCAAATTTGCAGGAAACAATAAATGACTAATAAATATTCACCAATCCTTATTTCAAGTGTTTTGATTGAATATTTACGATATACGAAAATACAAGTACCGTGTCATGATGCTAGCAGACGTTCGAACATCAAACATGGCGCGCTTCGCCCGACCTCGGGGTAATTTATTGCTATTTTAATGTCAACAAACTTTACACTGTCTTCATGTATATGCCTTGGGGAAAGTTGACGATCTTCTCAATCGAAGATTATTTCATTTGTCATTTTCCGTTTAATATGACGAGAGAAAAACGAAAATAAAGATCGTAAATTCTGACAGCAATATTTCAGTTTGTGCAAAGGTCACCGGATGTGATGTCAAAGACAGGGGTAGTCTGCTGATAATCTTTCGAAACAAAACAGTTACAGTCATTTTTGAAATATTTCGCCTTTATTATACGGAATAAACACAAATCACTACATATTATCAGTAATCACCACTAACATGAAATTACAAAGTGATTTTCACGATATATTTGGCGTATTCTTTTAATCCGTTTGACCTTGCATGCTCCCGTGACCCGGAAACGGGAGACGATGAATCAACACACCACATGCAAGTTTCTCGGTATCTTTTATTTGAACTTTTTGTTGATATATATATGAGGATCACCATTCCATGTTACGTTGAATATAAAGTGATATGATTCATGTATTTGCGATGTACATGCTGATGACTTTGTTTTCACAATAATAATTATGTGTGTGAAGCAATAAGTCGATAGAAATCGTCGATCGGCAACGATCACACCCCACAACAGGTGCGCGAAAATAGGCGTGACAAAACGTTTTTCAAAATAGCATTCATGCGATGCCGAATTTGATAGGATATACGCAGGTGGGTGATGTATATATAAAAAAATACGATATACATATTGTCAGTGTTAGTTTCTAATTAAATGTGGGATATTTAAATAATTTTTCCTTTTATAATACATTTATCGATATCGATTCTAGCATGATTTTACAACAATTCACGGATCATCTTAAAATTTATTCCATCAATATAGAGACCGCCATGATTGCGTATTGATGATAGATTTGTTAATGTTTAATTATTTACATCTGTTCACAGCTTCTAAAATATTAAGTTATATTTAGTATCTATTTTTTCCACAATAATTATGTGTATGGATACTAAATATGGGTCAACAGGTCAATGCATCAGCACAGTGTAACTATTCAGACTTTAATTATTATCTTTAGTTTAAACATATTTTATTCAACAATTGTTATCTTTCACCTGAACATAAATAATGTGAATAAGTAACTATTTGATGTCAAGACATTAATCTTGTGTATGAAGTTGTTTGTTTCCAAAAAACTAATTCTTAAATATAATTGTAATATGAATACGATACATTAATTTCTTGTAACAGAACATGATATTTTTGATTGTTTAATCACAAGAACCAGGGTGGCACCTAAGCTGGTGAGTTAGCCATATATTTATAAGAGAATGTTATCTTTTGAAAAAGGAATAGGGCACATATACATACATTGACAATTCTTGCAGTTCTGTTCTGTTGGAGAAATGTACATGGAAATATCCTACCTTATGTATTTTTTCAGGGTTCTCACCAATGAAATAATGTGTAATTAGTGTGGCAGGACTTTATAGGTTTGTTGCAGTATGCTCTCGTGTGCTTGACAGTGACACTCATGCATGTCCCCTGAAGGAACATGAACCATTGTGAAATGTGATCAACAGGTTTTTGTCTTCAGTCAATATAATGTACAAAAATTCAAAATAAATGCAGATCATCAACAGCTTTGGATCTGACATCCTTGATCATTTTGATGGGTTTCTGAATATACAGTCAGTATAGGTCCTTATGTTCTTTGTGTCTCAGCCTTCTGGGTGGAATGAAAAGAAATGTCCCTGTATACATGATTACCTTTGTCAGATGTATTTTGTCCTGTCAGCCACACCCCCTGACTTTATGTCACCTTATGTGATTAATTTTCGCATACATGTACTGCTGCAAACCTGTTTTTCCCTTGTATATGCAATCACAGTATCAAACTTCCTCAGCTGTTGTGTCACAAGTTCCTCAGTTGGTGTGTATAAAAGTACCTTGCCATCATGAAACAAGAAATGCCAAAAACAAAAGCATTTGCAATAACAAAAAACCCACATTTGTCCTTCCTTGAATAATCTTAGGATTAGTGCTTGTTAGTGTCATAAATTACTTTTTAAATTTCATAAGGATTTTTCTTTGATGGACCAACGTCAAACCATCTGACAAGTTAGATAGAATTATAACTTTAAAAGCCCTCATTTCTGAGATGTCCATATTTTTTTTCTACTTTTAGGACAAAACATGAGCCGTCTACCTGAGCTTGGTTACGTAAACAAATACTTGTTTAAAATGTGAAATGGAATTTCACTGATTAGATATCTTTTTTTTATCCCATTGTTTTACAAAATCCATTTGAAATGTGTTTTTTTGTACCCAAACAGGTATGTGTTTTTGTGCCAAGAATATTTTTGTATTACAGTTTTGAAGTTTCAAACTTACCCATTGCTTTTTGTATGAAAAAAGTTAATTTATTATCACTTTTCTGTCAAAACAAAAGATCTACAATTACCTTATGGTTCACTAATATACTGGCCTCTTCTCCGGTGACAAGAATTTATTACTTTACTATCACAATCAGTCAATTTGGGTTGTGCCAATGTGGACTGACTACACTCAAGGACCACGTACATTTAGGTTAGTCATATTATGAACTTGATGAAATGTTTTACAATAATGTTCAGCTCATTGTTTGCAATAAACATGAAAAAATAAATATGATCAAACAGATTTAGTTTAGTTTTTTAGGGTACAAAATCATCAAGGTCTTTGGGTACAATTTTGTTTTATGTACAAAATCACATAGGCCCTACATTCATCCAGTCGACGTGTGTATCTACTTTCATCCGTTCTGAAGATTGGGGAGGGGGAGTAAACGTTTTAAAAACAATCCTTAATATTTTAAATTGTCCTTCTTTCAATGACAGACCAATAACAATATTCTGTTGTTAATATTATGGCTTATCAATATGTTATATCGCTCTCCGCTGCCGTCGTTTTCAGAAAATAATTTTCAAATCATCGAGCGTGGAAACCTTTACGGTTTCGGATTTAGACTTACAAATTTGATGTTACGCACCGGCGGCAATCACGAATAAATATGAAACAAATAGGAGTGAAGACTGCTATCCAGATCAATAAATAGTAAACAGTTGTAGAAAAAGAGTAACCTATGTATTTTCTTTTGAATTTGAATCTATTTCGGAATTTGTTTTATGATCGCTTACCAACATTTGCATATTTTGCTTCGATGTGTCATGCGGTACGGTGCTTCCGGTTTCAGAAATGATAGCTAAAATTGCAAGTATTTTCGATTATTTCCCGTAAACTGCATTGTATTGCTATTGTATGATTTACCTAGAATGTATATCAGTTCAGGTTTTGCGTATCATCCAATATTTGTCATTATTTTCAGTGTTTGTTGACTTTGTTCAACTAAACAAATCGCGAGTTAGGCCACGCCCAAACGTATCACTGACGTTTGTCGGCTTGTCAATGTGTCCGAAAGTTTATCAAACGAAATCATTTGAAAACTCTATAAAAATTATATATTTTTTTACACAGATTTATACATGCGTGTCAATAATTCTAGAAAATTAAGTTAGATGTAACAAAATTATTGTAATAGTCTTACGGGATCACTATGCATGTGGAGTTGTTTGTTTACCGCCGTTGCCATGATCGCACAAGTTTCATCCAATCGATGATGTTACGATTCAGATTGTTTTTGTTTATAATTAATTACTTCGAAAATTGCTAATTTTTAGAAATTAAGAAACTTGAGTGATTTCCCTTCGTCAGCAAACAATAAATTATGATCGAATGTGAAAAATGATAACATTATAAAGAAAATATCGGACTGCATGCCGCTCAACGTGAAGTGCCAAAAGTCAACAATGGCCGTTTCTGGTAGTTGTGTGCCGCGAAGTTTGGCTGAAAGTTTTTAAACTCGCGATATTTTCTTTTTTAGGTAAATACACTACTGAAAGTTTTGATACTGAGCAAGCTGAGCATTTATGCATGCCATACGTAATTTAAATGTAACGCAAAGCCTTCTTGGTAAATAGATATGGCGAGTTTTGTTTGTGGGTGTCCTTATGCTATTCGCCTGTCGAACTGGTTCGACAGTAGCAACATGGGTAGTGACAAACCCTGTCGAACTGGTTCGACAGTAGCATTGAGAGCATTAAGAAACCCATGTACTCCTGTGTGGTGCTGACAAACCAAGTTTCATGGTGCATCTGGGATTTGAACTCTGACAGACAGTTGCTGTGCCACCCTATCTGTTTATGTATAATTTCATACATTTAGTGATATTTGATTTTTCCAAGTGGACAAATAGCAACTGTAACAAATGTTATATTTAGGACATTTACACTTGTAATCTGTCTGATCTGTAAAGAACAGATTCTTGTACTCGTACCAGGTGCCACACTCTGGCAGTGCTGGTTCGAATCCAGGATGAGACTCAACCCCAAAAAGTATGAGAATCTGTACTTTACTAAGTAAGTGTTATCCCAAATATAACATTTGTTACATTTGACCACTTTCTAAATGGCATTGTGTGTTCAAATGACAACTGCTTAAAAACACTGCTCGCTATCACAAATTTGAAGCCTGGACAACCCCACGTACATCATCATGTCCATTTGCGGCACAGAGGTGTAGAGGTGTGTTGCCGTCGCTGTCCACGGCTGTGATGCTGGCATGGAAGTGAAGCAGCAACAGCTGAAAAGAGTGAGTGAGTGAGTGAGTGAGTATTCCAGTTATATCATGGCGTGTCAGCTTAATGTGGGAGGAAAGCCTGAAGTGATGCAGTCTAAGACTCTTACCACTTTGGTGAAACCAACAAGGGCTTCTGCAAATGATAATGCCCTGAAAAAGAGTGTTACCGTTATTATAGCTATAATTAATGGAATTTGTTATCAAATAAATATAAACAACAATATCGTTTTTGAAACAGTTACTGCAATCAACACGAATTTTACTGACACACTTTTACAAATATGGAGACTTCATAGAACAAACCAGATGACGTCTCTATTAAACGTGACGTCAACTATCCCTCTCTCCACCTAACAACGGGCATGATAATGGCCCGTCGTCAAGCAATATGAGGGCATTATCAAGTGACAGTGGCCCGCTCATTTCTGATAACATACGGGCGGTTTGATGATAATTCTATTCATTTTAGCTATAATCAACAACATTCCAGCTGTATGATGGAAATAATTGAGTCTGGACCAGAATATCCAGTGATTGATATTATGAACAACAATCCATGCCTTTCAGGCATGTTGACAAGATTTTCTTTAAGAAAAAAGAGAAAATTATTATTTCCCCCCGTTTTTATTGGTTCCTCCTTCCAGTGAACCAGTGATGGTTTTGAAGCAGTAATCCCCAAACCAGACTATAATATGGCTGGCCCTTTACCATGGCACTCTGGAAGCCCTTCTGGCAGGCCAAGTGTAGTGGTGTGAGGCCCAGGTAGTCAGCAGCATCCACCACAGCCCCGTGTTTCACCAGCACGTCAATCAGCTGGGCCTGGCCACATGAAGCTGCTATGTGCAATGCTGGAACACAGACAAAGGATGTGTTTGATCAACATGTGTAATGCTGGAACACAGACAAAGGATGTTTGATCAACAGGTGTAATGCTATCAATCTGTGCAATGCTGAAACACAGACAAAGGATGTTTGATCAACATGTGCAATGCTGGAACAGACAAAGGATGATTGATCAACATGTGCAATGCTGGAACACAGACAAAGATGTTTGATCAACATGTGTAATGCTGGAACACAGACAAAGGATGTTTGATCAACATGTGCAACGCTGAAACATAGACAAAGGATGTGATTGATCAATATGTGTAATGCTATCAATCAGTGTTATGCTGAAACATAGACAGAGGATGTGTTTGATCAATATGTGAAATGTTGAAACATTGACAAAGGATGTGTTTGATCAACATGTGCAATGCTGGAACACAGACAAAGGATGTGTTTGATCAATATGAGAAATGCTGAAACACAGACAAAGGATGTGTTTGATCAACATGTGTAATGCTGGAACACAGACAAAGGATGTTTGATCAACTTGTGCAATGCTGAAATATAGACAAGGATGTGATTGATCAATATGTGTAAAGCTGAAACATAGACATTGACCTGTGTCACATGATCTGAGAGTGTAGCTGTGTCACATGATCTGAGAGTGTAGTAGTGATTCATGATCTGAGAGTGTACCTGTGTCACATGATCTGAGAGTGTAGCTGTGTCACATGATCTGAGAGCGTAGCTGTGTCACATGATCTGAGAGTGTACCTGTGTCACATGATCTGAGAGTGTACCCGTGTCACATGATCTGAGAGTGTACCTGTGTCACATGATCTGAGAGTGTACCGGTGATTCATGATCTGAGTGTACCTGTGTCACATGATCTGAGAGTGTACCGGTGATACATGATCTAAGAGTGTACCTGTGTCACATGATCTGAGAGTGTACCGGTGATTCATGATCTGAGAGTGTACCGGTGTCACATGATCTGAGAGTGTAGTAGTGATTCATGATCTGAGAGTGTACCGGTGATACATGATCTGAGAGTGTACCGGTGATACATGATCTGAGAGTGTACCGGTGTCACATGATCTGAGAGTGTACCGGTGATTCATGATCTGAGAATGTACCCGTGTCACATGATCTGAGAGTGTACCGGTGATACATGATCTGAGAGTGTACCGGTGATACATGATCTGAGAGTGTACCTGTGTCACATGATCTGAGAGTGTACCCGTGTCACATGATCTGAGAGTGTACCTGTGATACATGATCTGAGAGTGTACCTGTGTCACATGATCTGAGAGTGTACCGGTGATTCATGATCTGAGAATGTACCCGTGTCACATGATCTGAGAGTGTACCCGTGTCACATGATCTGAGAGTGTAGTAGTGATTCATGATCTGAGAGTGTACCTGTGTCACATGATCTGAGAGTGTACCCGTGTCACATGATCTGAGAGTGTACCTGTGTCACATGATCTGAGAGTGTACCTGTGTCACATGATCTGAGAGTGTACCGGTGATTCATGATCTGAGTGTGTACCTGTGTCACATGATCTGAGAGTGTACCCGTGTCACATGATCTGAGAGTGTACCTGTGTCACATGATCTGAGAGTGTACCGGTGATTCATGATCTGAGAGTGTACCTGTGTCACATGATCTGAGAGTGTACCTGTGTCACATGATCTGAGAGTGTACCCGTGTCACATTATCTGAGAGTGTACCCGTGTCATATGATCTGAGAGTGTACCCGTGTCACATGATCTGAGAGTGTGCCTGTGTCACATGATCTGAGAGTGTACCTGTGTCACATGATCTGAGAGTGTACCTGTGTCACATGATCTGAGAGTGTACTGGTGATACATGATCTGAGAGTGTACTGGTGATACATGATCTGAGAGTGTACCAGTGATACATGATCTGAGAGTGTACCTGTGTCACATGATCTGAGAGTGTACCTGTGTCACATGATCTGAGAGTGTACTGGTGATACATGATCTGAGAGTGTACTGGTGATACATGATCTGAGAGTGTACCTGTGTCACATGATCTGAGAGTGTACCGGTGATTCATGATCTGAGAGTGTACTGGTGATACATGATCTGAGAGTGTACTGGTGATACATGATCTGAGAGTGTACCGGTGATACATGATCTGAGAGTGTACTGGTGATACATGATCTGAGAGTGTACTGGTGATACATGATCTGAGAGTGTACTGGTGATACATGATCTGAGAGTGTACTGGTGATTCATGATCTGAGAGTGTACCTGTGTCACATGATCTGAGAGTGTACCTGTGTCACATGATCTGAGAGTGTACTGGTGATACATGATCTGAGAGTGTACCTGTGTCACATGATCTGAGAGTGTACTGGTGATTCATGATCTGAGAGTGTACCGGTGATACATGATCTGAGAGTGTACTGGTGATACATGATCTGAGAGTGTACCGGTGATACATGATCTGAGAGTGTACTGGTGATACATGATCTGAGAGTGTACTGGTGATACATGATCTGAGAGTGTACTGGTGATACATGATCTGAGAGTGTACTGGTGATACATGATCTGAGAGTGTACTGGTGATACATGATCTGAGAGTGTACTGGTGATACATGATCTGAGAGTGTACCGGTGATACATGATCTGAGAGTGTACTGGTGATACATGATCTGAGAGTGTACTGGTGATTCATGATCTGAGAGTGTACCGGTGATTCATGATCTGAGAGTGTACTGGTGATACATGATCTGAGAGTGTACTGGTGATACATGATCTGAGAGTGTACTGGTGATTCATGATCTGAGAGTGTACCGGTGATTCATGATCTGAGAGTGTACTGGTGATACATGATCTGAGAGTGTACTGGCGATACATGATCTGAGAGTGTACTGGTGATACATGATCTGAGAGTGTACTGGTGATACATGATCTGAGAGTGTACTGGTGATACATGATCTGAGAGTGTACTGGTGATACATGATCTGAGAGTGTACTGGTGATACATGATCTGAGAGTGTACTGGTGATACATGATCTGAGAGTGTACTGGTGATTCATGATCTGAGAGTGTACCGGTGATTCATGATCTGAGAGTGTACTGGTGATACATGATCTGAGAGTGTACTGGTGATACATGATCTGAGAGTGTACTGGTGATTCATGATCTGAGAGTGTACCGGTGATTCATGATCTGAGAGTGTACTGGTGATACATGATCTGAGAGTGTACTGGTGATACATGATCTGAGAGTGTACTGGTGATACATGATCTGAGAGTGTACTGGTGATTCATGATCTGAGAGTGTACCGGTGATTCATGATCTGAGAGTGTACTGGTGATACATGATCTGAGAGTGTACTGGTGATACATGATCTGAGAGTGTACTGGTGATACATGATCTGAGAGTGTACTGGTGATTCATGATCTGAGAGTGTACCGGTGATTCATGATCTGAGAGTGTACTGGTGATACATGATCTGAGAGTGTACTGGTGATACATGATCTGAGAGTGTACCGGTGATTCATGATCTGAGAGTGTACCGGTGATACATGATCTGAGAGTGTACTGGTGATACATGATCTGAGAGTGTACCGGTGATTCATGATCTGAGAGTGTACCGGTGATACATGATCTGAGAGTGTACTGGTGATACATGATCTGAGAGTGTACTGGTGATACATGATCTGAGAGTGTACTGGTGATTCATGATCTGAGAGTGTACCGGTGATTCATGATCTGAGAGTGTACCGGTGATTCATGATCTGAGAGTGTACTGGTGATACATGATCTGAGAGTGTACTGGTGATACATGATCTGAGAGTGTACTGGTGATACATGATCTGAGAGTGTACTGGTGATTCATGATCTGAGAGTGTACCGGTGATTCATGATCTGAGAGTGTACCGGTGATACATGATCTGAGAGTGTACTGGTGATACATGATCTGAGAGTGTACTGGTGATACATGATCTGAGAGTGTACTGGTGATACATGATCTGAGAGTGTACTGGTGATACATGATCTGAGAGTGTACTGGTGATACATGATCTGAGAGTGTACTGGTGATACATGATCTGAGAGTGTACCGGTGATACATGATCTGAGAGTGTACTGGTGATTCATGATCTGAGAGTGTACTGGTGATACATGATCTGAGAGTGTACCGGTGATACATGATCTGAGAGTGTACCGGTGATACATGATCTGAGAGTGTACTGGTGATACATGATCTGAGAGTGTACTGGTGATACATGATCTGAGAGTGTACTGGTGATTCATGATCTGAGAGTGTACTGGTGATACATGATCTGAGAGTGTACTGGTGATACATGATCTGAGAGTGTACTGGTGATACATGATCTGAGAGTGTACTGGTGATACATGATCTGAGAGTGTACTGGTGATACATGATCTGAGAGTGTACTGGTGATACATGATCTGAGAGTGTACTGGTGATACATGATCTGAGAGTGTACTGGTGATACATGATCTGAGAGTGTACCGGTGTCACATGATCTGAGAGTGTACCTGTGTCACATGATCTGAGAGTGTACTGGTGATACATGATCTGAGAGTGTACTGGTGATACATGATCTGAGAGTGTACCGGTGATTCATGATCTGAGAGTGTACTGGTGATACATGATCTGAGAGTGTACTGGTGATTCATGATCTGAGAGTGTACTGGTGATACATGATCTGAGAGTGTACTGGTGATTCATGATCTGAGAGTGTACTGGTGATACATGATCTGAGAGTGTACTGGTGATACATGATCTGAGCGTGTACTGGTGATACATGATCTGAGCGTGTACTGGTGATACATGATCTGAGAGTGTACTGGTGATTCATGATCTGAGAGTGTTCTGGTGATACGATCTGAGAGTGTACCACTGATACATGACCCGAGTGAGTACCTGTGTATCCTCGTGTATCCCTGGTGTAGGCAGTGACAAGATTTGAGTTGGAGCGGATCTGAGCCTGGATCTTCTCACACCTGTCACAGGAACACAAAGGATGGCACAGTCTTCTGACCAGCTCGTCCGATGCCTTCTTTGGCTGCTCGAGCATCTCCTGCACCAGAGCCTCATCCCCGTTCTGTACTTGCTGCAACATACCAGGAACATTCCGCTTTACAGTACAGCTCTTGAAGGATCCATGATGGTGGAGATGATTGCAGCATTCTCCTGTATCCACTAACTTGTATTTTGTGGCAGAATAATTGCATATTTTTTCTTTTCTGTACGAGCAATACAATAATACAATTTATTAAATGAAGGGGATTACAAAGCAGAGGGGAAGAACACAAGGAACTGGATTATCAACCTTAGGTATCACCAATCTCATTCAAATCAGATCTTAATTCTCGTGACAGCTTAACAAAGATCTGAGGACATCCCATTAGGAATCACATCAGAACGACCTTTCATCTGACCAATCAGAGCATTGCTTACCAGATCATGAAAGTTCAAATTATTAATGGAGAATTTGACAAAATATGTTTCGAGGCGTAGTCACTAATTTGAAATTAGTGCCGTAAAGCACGAGAAAGCTGCTAATGTCGACTTCTTGTCAGTCATTCCATTGGTCGGTCAAAGTTTGGGCAAGGTCAGTCTGACGTGACCCCTAATGGGGTGTTCTCAGATCTTTGTTTAACAGAAGCGAGAGTGAGTGAGTTGGGTTTAACGCCGCTTTGAACATTATTCCAGTTATATCACGGCGTGTCAGCTTAATGTTTGAGGAAGAGCCCGAAGTGATGCAGGTCTCAGACGTTTACCACTTCCGTGAAACACACGAGCACGGGTATGGTGCTGACAAACCTAGGAACATAATCGGGGCGAACCGGGATTCGAACCCACAATCATAGGTTCCTGGCGTGCCCAAGGGACGCAACTCTGCACAGCAAATCGTGGGACCAAAGTAACATTATACATGATCTAAAAAACAACAGTCATCACAAGATGACAACTCCCGCCGGCCCCCGCAATAGCAAAAGGCACCACTTCAGCCCCTGGTTAATACATGTACCATGATAATATTTTATGCTCTAGAAACGATATATGGACGAAAGGACGGACGGCCGGCCACACAGACCAGATGATGACTATTTTCCCCACATTATATGCAGGGGAATAAAAAGAGCAACAAAAAAGAAGAGATAAATAAGTATCAATAAGAACACAGAGTGTGTGAATGACCGTCAGTAATGTTCCTGGCCAGGTTAAAGATACGATCAACACTGTCTGGGCACCATGATACAAGATGAGCCAAGTCACACATTGGAGTGGGTCAGTCTGGTTTAACGCAGGTATGGACAGTATTTCAACAAGACCATAGAATCTCAGCTTTGGATGAAAGCTCTAAATTGATGCATGTCATGGACGTTTACCACTTTGGAGAAACCTACAAACATGGTTTTGGTGCTGACAAACCTGGAAACATGATGAAGGTGTTTAGAAGCAAAATTTTGATGGGTTGTTGACCAAGAGAAATTTTGTGCTTAGTACTGATAAAGGTGAGGTGAGGTGAGGTGAGGTGAGGTGAGGTGAGGTGAGGTGAGGTGAGGTGAAATGGGTTTAATGTTGCGGTCAAGATTATTTCCCTATATAGCGACATGCATGCACATGTGTTTGTGTATGTGTGGCTACTTGTACTAGACAAGACTTATGCCGATTTCATAGCGCTAGCCCACTGAGATACCATGCCTCAGTTTAACATGATAATCCCACTCAGACACAGTAAACTGACTTCGAGCCGACCAGTCCTTGTTTTAACCCCTTAATGCCGAGCGCCAGGCAGGGTAACTACAAGTACCATCTTTTAAGGTCTTTTGGTATGATGCGGACGGGGCTCGAAACCACTGACCTTCCGCTCTCTAGAGCACGGAGACGGTCAGTTACTGACAAAGGTAGGGTAGGAGGAGGCATCAATTCTAAAATACAGCTATGGTATATATCATGCTAGAATGAAGATACGATACACTGGGTGATCAATGAGTGAGTGAGTGAGTTGGGTTTTACGCCGCTTTTAGCAGTATTCCAGTTATATCGCGGCGTGTCAGCTTAATGTGAGAGGAAAGCCTGAAGTGATGCAGGTCTTAGATGTTTACCACTTCGGTGAAACCCACGAGCACGGGTATGGTGCTGACAAACCTAGAAACATAATCGGGGCGAACCGGGATTCGAACCCACGATCATAGGTTCCTGGCGTGCCCAAGGGACGCAACTCTGCGCACCATGCCCCCACTGGGTGATCAAGGATGGATGATTCTGTGTGCTGTGGGAACTGACCTGGAAGAACTCATCCACAACCGGCAGGTTGGGGCCACTTGACTGTCTCTGTATCCCGTCATCCGTCACACCGTTCACTCCTTGCCAGTTGTGGTCCTGTGGGCAACAGACATCTCAATTAGATGACCACCTATCAAATATATTAATATGTTGCCATGGTTCAAGATAAAACTTGATATGAAATAAGTCTGCTGTGTGTGGAGATCTCTCTTATTGTGATCATGTCCATGGTTAACCAGCAACAAGTGGGTATCTAGAAGGTGCAAATTCTGCTACCTTGATCATGTTCCTGTTCACCAAGCAATAAATGGGTACCAGGTAGGGGACCTCTGTTACCTTCATGTTCCTGTTCACCAAGCAATAAATGGGTACCATGTAGAGGACCTCTGTAACCTTCATGTTCCTGTTCACCAAGCAATAAATGGGTACCAGGTAGGGGGACCTCTGTAACCTTCCTGTTTACCAAGCAATAAGTAGGTACTAGATATGGGGACCTCTGTTACCTTGATCATGTCCCTGCTGAAGACCTCATCCTTCATCTTCCCACTCTTGATGTGCTCCAGAGCTGCCTCGATGGAGGCCAAGTAGAACCTAGATGCCAAAATCATTTGCGGTCATCGACACCAAAAACAGTTAACACCTAACTGCAACACATCCTGGGGTACACAAATTCCTACATAACGCCTAAAATGTCTATTGCTGATAACACGTTTTCATTGTCAAAAATATTCCAATCTACTTAAAATCAGATCTTAGTTCTCGCTACCGCTAAACAAAGATCTGAGGACATCCCATTAGGGGTCACGTTAGAACGACCTTTCATCCGACAAATCAGAGCGTCGCTTACCAGATCATGAAAGTGACAGTCGGAATGTGATTTCTAATCATGCAGCCTCGAAAACTTTAAAACGGGGTATTCCGAACGATAGTTACGGGCTTAACGACTGAATCTATACATTCTAGACCATCTTATAGCCATTTGAGAATTGTTCAGGTTTCAAATTTTTAAGCGAGAATTTGTCAAAATATGTTTCGAGGCATAGTTGCCAATTTGAAATTAGTGCCGTAAAGCACGAGAAAGCTGCTTTCTGATTGACTAATGTCGACTTCTGGTCAGTCATTCCATTGGTCGGTAAAAGTTTGCGCAAGGTCGGTCTGACGTGACCCGTAAAGCGGTAGCGAGAACTAAGATCTGATTTTAATGCGATTGAAAATATTCATAAGGACTGACTGTACATTTTGTCCAGTTCATCGAGGTATGAATAAAAAAACTGATATGCAATCTTTTGTAAGATTTATACAGTTTGCACATTGGTTTTGCAATTCAGTCAGTGAAATATATTATTGTTGACATATTTATTTGTAAGAATATCTTCAGTATGTTGTTGTGTTTATGGAGATTACGTAAAAAAAATGGTCCAGTGAAGATTCGGGGTAGAAAAGGTCTTCAGCAAACCATGCTTGCCGTAAATGGCTACTGTGCTTGTTGTAGAAGGCGACTAACGGGATCAGATGGTCAGGATCACTGACTTGGTTGATGCATGTCATTGTATCCCAACTGAGTAGATCGATGCTCATGATATCAATCAGTGGATTGTCTGGTCCAGAATTGATTATTTACAGACCATCGTCATATAGCTGGAAGATTGCTGAGTGTGGTTTTAAACAACAAACAAACAAACACACAAATGTAAATACAGTGTGCAAACTTTACAACAGTCTGTCACTTGGATTTACACAGTATGCACACTGTTTCTAAAGCTTCTAACTTTCACAAACGCAAAAAATATTGATGTCGATTCTAAAATGACTTATGACACATCACTGTATATTTCTTAAAATCAATAACTTGTCTGTTGCATGAATAAATATTGTTTTATGCAGCAGTCATCACAGAAGGCTAATATAATCAAGGCTGGGTCAAGAAAACCCAAAATTGAGCCACTATTACCAACAATGCATGCTGTCAGGTATGAGAACTCACAGGTCAGGTCACACATTGTGACCACCCACTAGTCAGCTAATACTACAACAAACACCCGGGTTCGAATTGGTCTTCAGCAACCCGTTCTTGTCGTAAGAGGCGACTAACGGGATTGGGTGGTCAGGCTCGCTGACTCGGTTGATGCATGTCATCGTGTCCCAAATGCGTAGATCAATGTTCATGATGTCAGTCACTGGATTGTCTTGTCCAGACCCGTGTATCTTATAGCTGGAGTACTGCTGAGTACAGCGTTAAACAAACAAACAAACAAACAAACAAACAAACAAACAAACAAGAAACTTGAAACCCCAAAGGGAGATCATCCTTTGACCTACCCAAACTCAGCATCTTCTGAACACTTTGCAAAATGGAAGTGTGTCATGAAAGCAAGGTTAGCTGTCCTGTAAACATCAAGATGATCTTTATGATGAATTGTAATAACAGGGGGGGAATCTGGGAATAATAATGATGTTATTTTTTTTCTTAATACTTTGAAGATGTCTTCAGCAACCCATGCTTGCCATAAAAGACGACTATGCTTGTCGTAAGAGGTGACTAATGGAATTTGGTGGTCAGGCTCGCTGACTTGGTTGATGCATGTCACCAATCCCAATTGCGTGGATCGACTCTCATGATATCAATCATTGGATTGTTTGGTTCAGACTCGATTCTTTACAGACCGCCGTCATATAGCTGGAATATTGCTGAGTGCGGCGTTAAACAACAAACCAACCAACTAATACTTTGCTTCCTGCAACAAACGATTTATGGGGTCTGCTATGGAAATTAACGCTTCACTGACTGGAATTTGTTGTGAAAGAAACTGAAAAAGAGAAATTCTCTAAATTTCATAAATAGCAAATGGCACAATGGCCAGATCATGGCACAGCTGACATGTGCAGAGTTTGAATGCAGAGTACTGAATGGTCTTTGAGTTGCGCTCCAGAAACAAATTCTCCCCTCATTTCAACATAAGTCCAACTGTTGTAAAAAAACCTAGGAATTTATGGCTTTGATGTAATAGAGGAAAGGTATTCGAAAGAATTATATAAATTTCAAAAATGTCCTGAACAGCAAAAGGCACCAGTTCATGGCTAGGACATCTTCCCGAGGCAAGGGGTGAGTGAGTGAGTGAGTTGGGTTTAACGCCGCTTTCAACAGTATTACAGTTATATTGCAGCGTGTCAGCTTAATGTGGGAGGAAAGCCCGAAGTGATGCAGGTCTTGGACATTTACCACTTCAGTGAAACACACAAGCACGGGTATGGTGCTGACAAACCTAGAAACATAATCGGGGTGACCCGGGATTCGAACCCACAATCATAGGTTTCTGGCGTGCCCAAAGGACTCACCTCTGCACAGCGAAACGCAGCGCCCCAGATGACGGGCAAACCGTGCCCCCCCCCGAGGCAAGGGACTGTAAAAGTCAAGTTTCCATCCTTGCTGAACTAGAATGGAATTTCTAGGCTCGATCGTAGCGCCACCAGTGGCTATAACCATTTATGTCACTTCTATGTCCCTCCTATTGACCAATCAGATTCCATCTCTCATTTTCACTTGCATTTGCTTCAAACAAAAAGACGACGTCCAGTCAAGATGATCTGCTCGCTTATAAAAATTTCTATAATACAGTTGTTTGCCCGAGAAGTGCATTATATCCCTTGAGCACCTTGATTAAAAACATGAAAAGAAGTGCAAAATATCTGTCGACGTTCAATTGACGGTAAACATGCTTTGCAAATCCTGCAGTTGACCGAAACCTGAATGTTGAAATTCATGTTGTTTACGAACTGGATGTTTAGTTAGATTTTGATTGGACTATGCATGGACTCGTTAGCCAAAATGTAACTCTGGAATTCCAGCCTAGTTCGGCAAGGGTGGAAACTGGACTTTTATAGTCAGTTAACACCCTTGCCTCCAGGGGATGGGCTAGGATGATATCTTTGTAAATTTGGACCAAGAAATATTGAATGATCTTTGAGTTGCTCTTGGACACTCCCACTGCCTATATTCTGATAATAACCTATAAAGTATAACTGGTCACAGGTAAAGTCAGACAGCATTTGCTGACAGTGATGCCAGAGGATGTTGATTGTGCAACTCACCAATTTGGTATTTCAGACTTCACAATGAGGTATATCAAAATTGGAAGAAAGTCATCTGTTGTCATCATGTCTTCAGGACCTAGAAAAAAACAAAAACATCAATTTAAAAAATAAGGTTGTAATTTCACAAATCCTTGCAGGGTCCGTTTGTCAGAGACTTGTGAAAAGTTGTAAATCCACAGTTTGACCATAGCGTTCACTCATCCACAGTTTGACCATGGCATTTACTCATCCACAGTTTGACCATGGCATTCACTCATCCATGGTGTCAACTCCTCCACTGTTTGACCATGGCGTTCACTCATCCATGGTGTCAACTCCTCCACAGTTTGACCATGGCGTTCACTCATCCATGGTGTCAACTCCTCCACAGTTTGACCATGGCGTTCACTCATCCATGGTGTCAACTCATCCACAGTTTGACCTTGGCATTCACTCATCCATGGTGTCAACTCCTCCACAGTTTGACCATGGCGTTCACTCATCCATGGTGTCAACTCCTCCACAGTTTGACCATGGCGTTCACTCATCCATGGTGTCAACTCATCCACAGTTTGACCATGGTGTCAACTGACCTGTGTGTCTCCATCTAGCTAACACTGACCTGTGGGTCCTGATCCCTTCCTTGGCTTGGTGAGAGCAGCCACCACTCTCTTCACACAGAACAGTCGGCCCACAGGAGTCGTGAAGTTGTTCAACCGAGACAGTTCAACCTTCGCCAAGGACACATTCTTACTGAAATAAACAAATCAGATACATCTCTTACAATTATTATCCTTACCTGGATAACGGCCACCAGGAATCTCATTTTCCTCTCAAATATATGCCCTTAAAACAAAGTGGGTGGTGGGTTTGTTAGTGAGAGAATATGTTTTCACTCAGTGCTTCAAAACAAACAAACAAACAAACACTTCCTCTCAAAGGAGAAGCCAGACAGTCTCCTTCACCTTCAACAGACTATCCTGCATGTCCAGAGAACACCTTTTGTTTTGCAAAACCTGTGAGCCAATTGTTTACCCCACACAGGGATGGACACAGGGATGGACACACAGGTGGACATAGGGATGTACACAGGGATGGACACAGGGATGGACACAAGGCAGGACACAGGGACGGACACGGGTGGACACAGGGATGGACACAGGGGTGGTCACAGGGATGGACACGGGGTGGACACGGGGTGGACACAGGGATGGACACAGGGGTGGACACAAGGACGGACACAGGGATGGACACAGGGATGGACACAGGGGTGGACACAGGGATGGACACAGGGATGGACACAGGGGTGGACACAGGGGTGGACACAGGGATGGACACAGGGGTGGACACGGGGTTGGACACGGGGATGGACACAGGGATGGACACAGGGGTGGACACAGGGATGGACACAGGGGTGGACACAGGGATGGACACACAGGTGGACACAGGGATGGACACAAGGACGGACACAGGGATGGACACAGGGATGGACACAGCGGCCCCGGTCCACAACGGTATCGTTGAGCTACAACAGTCAATGTTAAAGTATGGGAGTTACGGTCATATTAGCGCTACAATCAGTATGTAGAATGGATCCCAGGTGTCTCAATAAAGGTGGAGAGGGATCCATCAGTGAATGGTGATATTCTTTTTCCTACTGACAGAACCATTTACAAGTTAACTCAGATCACATGTCCAACCCACCTGAAAACCTTCTTGATGCCAAGGTCCTGCAGGGTCAGTTCGGTCAGGTTGCGGGTCAGTTTGTTGACATCTGCATCCTCCGAACCCATGCATGCAGTCACTACACGGAACAATTTCCTAAACACTGCATGCATGTAGTATGTCTGAAACCGGATATATACATTACTTTACTGTCCCAAGTAAATACCCTGGTTATATTAACATCTTTCCAGATGAATGAATATACATACATTCCTCACAGGATCATTTGGAAGGCAGCTTTCCAGACTGTCATGGTCAAGACTAATGAGATTTAATTGTACTCCAAAAGCATCATCATCATCATCATCATCATCATCATCATCGGGGAATTCCCAGTTATAGTTGGGCCCCTCAACCCATGCTTGTCCCAACCGGCACCCTTCTTAATGGATCAATGACTTGGTGATGGCGTTACAAGAATCGAGCCTGTACCAGACAATCCAGCATTTGATAGTACTAGAAACCTTCCATGCTGTTGTGGTATGATGACACGCAACCCACCAAGTCACGCAGTCTGACCACCCGATCCATTCACTTGCCACTTACTGGAATCCACACAGCTCAGTGCAAAAAACAAACAAATGGCTGTGTATACCAACAATTAAGGAAGAGGTATAATGACATGATACTTTCAGAACAAAGCCAAGAGTTAGGTGATATTATCTTGATAACTCCACAAAAGTAAGGACATAAACATATGTTTCTCACCTCAACTGCAATTTTTATGTTTTCCATATAGTGAGTATTATGGCGGGCTGTTCTTTTCTGAAAACAAAATTGATGAATCTGGATGATAATGCTAAAATTTATCTTTACAATTAAGACAAAATTTAACCAAGTTTAAAATGACGCATCACTTATGGGCACAAGTAAATGTCTTATCATAGGACAACATGAATTTCACAATGCGTTCGGTGTCTTGGTCTTAACTATTCAACAACAACAGGTCCTTGTGTTCTATCACTTTAAATTTCCCAAATATAGTCACGCCAGGAAACCAGTACTGAATAAAAGGGGATCTCACCAATACAGAATCCTTCAGCACATACTGCATGACCTTGGTGAACTGTGCATTTGCTGCATCCTGTAGGAGATAATATAAGATAGCTACGCAATAAACCGCAAAGAACAATGAAGAACGAAGCATGGTTTATTTCACCATAAAACATTGTTCTTCATGATGTCATTTTTAGAGATTGGAATATGCGCTGCAACTTGATGATATCATATATTGGATAACGTTTTTTTTGAGAGAGAAGTGTCTAGTAAGTTGTTCCCCATAGATGTAGCTGGGTTTTGCAGTGGCCTTAATGATCGCATCCAAATGTGGTAGAGATATATGACAATCGGTGTTAGGAGAAAAGGTAGATAATCGTCGTAAGGATTGTGAGAATACGCGAAAATTACCAAACTAAACCCACCTGTTCGTAATATGGGAGTGAGTGAGTGAGTTGGGTTTAACGCCGCTTTTAACATTATTCCAGTTACATCACGGCATGTCAGCTTAATGTGGGAGGAAAGCCCGAAGTGATGCAGGTCTAAGACGTTTACCACTTCGGTGAAACCCACGAGCATGGGTATGGTGCTGACAAACCTAGAAACATAATTGGGGCGAACCGGGATTCGAACCCACAATCAGTTTCTGGCGTGCCCAAAGGGACGCAACTCTGCACAGCAAATCGCGGCGCCTTAGACGACTGGGCCACCCATGCCCCCTCGTAATTTGGACTTATCTGACATTTCCGAGGTTGGATTCTATTAAGGGAGTCATCTTTATCAAAATCTGGATAAATATTTTTAAAGCTTGTACATTTTATCAACATTCTTAAAGAGCCTGTACATAATGTTGATAGCTCATACGAAATAAACGCCTCAAGGTTCTCGTTTATCGTACAATAAAACACTGTGCACGCCCCTCAAGGTTTATTCTCCCTGCAGTTTTTTATTGTACGATAAACAACAACCACAAGTCGTTTATGTCTTAAATAATAAACTATACACTGTAAACCATGAAATTAATGCATCACCAAATTAATGTTGGTGTCTAAGCAAAGCATGTAATGCATCCTTGCACTAATGTGAGTAACCCTTTGAAATTATCAAACTATTTTTTTTCTATTTTATTTTCACTGTCACTGACCATGATGCTGCGGAGACCTTGACCTTCCAGTTGGTCAAAGGCCATGGAGAAGGTGCTGAGCATCTTGTCAATATTGTCTCTTGCCTTCCAGCCTCCTGGAGCAGAAGATAACATAGCATCAGTTTGTTTGTCTGTTAACCACTGCACTCAGCAGCGTTCCAGCTAAATGATAGAGTCTGAACCAGGCAATCTAGTGATTCGTATTATTGGAAATGATCCATGTCATTGGGATGCGGACCCATGAAGATCTGGGGTAGAATAGGTCTTCAGCAAACAATGCTTGCCACAAGATGCGACTAAGCTTGTTGTAAGGGGCGACTAAGGGGATCAGGTGGTCAGACTTGCTGACTTGGTTGATGCATGTCATCGTATACCAATTTTGTAGATTGATGTACAGGATGTCAATCACTGGACTGTCTGGTCCAGACTTGATTGTTTACAGAGTGAGTGAGTGAGTGAGTGAGTGAGTGAGTGAGTGAGTGAGTGAGTGAGTGAGTGAGTGAGTGAGTGAGTGAGTGAGTGAGTGAGTGAGTGAGTGAGTGAGAGAGAGTGAGCGAGCGAGCGAGTTGGGTTTAATGCGGTCTTCAACAGCATTTCAATATCACATTCAATCTCATTAAAATCAGATCTTAGTTTTCGCTACCACCAAACAAAGATCTGAGGACATTCCATTACGGGTCACGTCAGAACGACCTTTCGCAAAGTTTGACCGACCAATGAAATGACTGACAAGAAATCGACATTTGCCAATCAGAAGGCAGCTTTCTTGAGCTTTACAACACTAGTTTTAAACTGGCGACTACGCTTCAAAACATATTTTTGACGTATTCTCGATTAAAATTTTTAAAACTGATAAGAAGAACATTCTGGAATGGCTTATAGATGGCACAGATCGTATGGATATAATCATAAAACCGGTAACTTGCGTTCGGAATACCCCGAGTTAAATATATTGTGGTTGCATGATTAGAAAACACATTCCGACTGTCACTTTCATGATCTGGTGAGAGACGTTCTGATTGGTTGGATGAAAGGTCGTTCTGACGTGACCCCTAATGGGATGTCCTCAGATCTTTGTTTAGCGATAGCGAGAATTGAGATCCGATTTTAATGAAATTGATATCACATTATGTCAGCATGTTGACAATTCTTTTGGTGAAAACCACAAGCATGTGTATGATGCTGATAAGTAGATATTTGCTTGTTTCTGGGATCAGATAACACAATGTTAGGAGTCTTTCATGACTAATGGACACTCTGCACAGTGAACTGCAGTGCCTTAGACGACTGGGCCACCTCTCAATATCAGTAAATCTTTTCAAATTAAGTTAAGAAGTACATATGGATGTCATCCTTGATTAACAAGGGTATTTATTGGCATCCTGGAAGGATAAATACACTGGACCAATTCACTACCACAGCATCGTTTCTCATCCAGTACCCACTGGATGGTTGCGGAATATTTGGGACAAATGCCCATTCAGGGCAGAAGTTCACATTTTGTGCAGAACTGGTGCAGAATCTTGCATTTATCTGCGGCAGAATTCATCAAATACACTGCAGAATTTTCACATTTGAGTCAATAGCTGGTCTTAAATGTGTAAAGGGGGATATATTTTGTTTTGAGGTGAAGTTGACGCTTGTATCATTGCTTCCTGAATGGGCATGTCTCTATGTTTACACTAGTGATTTGTAGATTCATTTCAATAAGCTATTATAGCTTATCATAAAAATGTCAAACAGGTGCTCAATGCTCGCAGAATGTGTGCAGAATTATAAAAATTTGTTTGCAGAATTTACAAAAATTGACCACAGAATGTTGATCTTTTGGTCACGGAATACAGAGGGGACTGCTCAGAGTTTTCAACCATCACGTGGTAATCTTGAATAACGTACCAGTATGGTTCCACAGAAGGTCAATGCACTGCTCGTACGACGTAGGTCGCTTGATGGTGCTGCCGTCTTCTGGAGGAGCTGCATCTACAACAGTCAGAACAAAATATTTGTAAAAAAATCTGAATAAAAAACATATTATCTTTGGGTTTTGTTAACATTAAAATGGTTATGGCATCTTTTCTTTAAAATGTCTTTTTGTTGTTTAATACCAGCTCAACTATATTCCAACAATCTGACGTGTCAGTAAATGATTGAGCCGTACGAAACGAGTACCGTATATCGCTGTGTATAAGGTGAGTTTTTCGTACCTAGAATGAGGGGGTTAATGGGGGGTAATGATTAATGTTATCAGTGAGTTGGTGAGTATGGGTTTATGCCAGAAATGAGCTTTACATATTGAACCCATGTGGGGAATTGAACCCGGGACTTCGGCGTAACGCGCGAACGCCTCAACCACGATGCTACCTCACCCCACCCATGTAATTAACCAACATGACCCCCGAGACACAAGGTTTTCTCTTACAACAAGCATAGGAGCATCAACAGTGCTGTAGAGTGTATGAAATATTATCAACTTTCTCATGTTTCTTGTTTTTTAACGGAAAATAAAAACAACATCACGAGACAATATACATCAGTGAGTTTCATTTACCTGTTTTTCTGTTGAGATATCTGTCAACACACACCACCCTGTAGCTCTCATCATTGTCTGTGTGAAACGTCTCCTCGAACAGAATCACCACCTGAAGTTAAAAGTAACAGTTTGACACACATATAAACTCAATCTCATTAAAATCAAGATCTTTGTTCTCTCTACCGCTGAACAAAGATCTGAGACCACCCCATTACGGGTCACGTCAGACCAACCTTGCGCGAACTTTGACCGACCAATGGAATGACTAACAAGAAGTTTACATTAGCCAATCAGAAGGTATCTTTCTCTTGCTTTATGGCATCAATTTCAACAGGATATGTATCTGGACGACCCGCGAAGATCTGGGTTATGATTGGTCTTCAGCAACCAATGCTTGTCATAATAGGCGACTAATAGGATCGGGTCAGACTCGCTGACTTGGTTGCTGCATGTCATCGTATCCCAATTGTTTAGATCGATGCTCAGGATGTCAATCACTGGACTGTCTGGTCCAGACATGATTATTTACAGATCGCCATCATATAGCTGGAATATTGCAGAGTGTGGCATTAAACAACAAAGACAAACATATCTGGACACATATTCTTTACCTCCTGTGAAACTTCATATCCTTGCTTTGTGACTATCTTGCCCTTCACAATCTCACAGTCCTAGAATGAAAGAAGAAGAGAATAACAGAACATGCCCTTCAAAATCTCAGTCCTGGAATGAAATATAAAGAAAATACTGAGAGAATTCTGTAGAAAAAGGCATTTAAGTGAAAACAGCAAAGATACTATACATATGAGTCATATGACCTTCACTGTGACCTTGACCTTACACTCTCAACCTTTTCCGATCTTTGTCCTAACCTAAGGATGACATGTACCAAGTTTCATGGACCTGCAGGAAATCTTGCTTGAGTTAGGCAGTAAACAAACTTTAAATTTCATCATATTTAACTCAGATCGAAGGTGAGGTGAAATGGGGTTTAGTGTTGCGTCCAAGATTATTGCACTTATATAGCGACGTGCATGCACATGTGTTTGTGTGTGTGGCTACTTGTACTAGTCCGTACTGATGCTGAATTTGAGGTGAAATGGGGTTTAACGTTTTGTCAAACATTGTTTTACTTATATAGCTATGTGCACGCACGCGTGTGTGTCTGCTTGTACTAGTCCAGAATGATGCCGATTTATAGTGCTAGTCCACTTGCTTTAGCCCCTTAATGCCAAGCGCCAGACAGGGTAGCAACAGGTACCATCTTTTAACATCTTTTGGTATGACACGGGGGTCACACCCTGGACCTTCCGCTCTCTGGGCGGACGCTCTACCACTAGACCACCTTGAAGATGACCTTGACATATCAATGTTCCCAAATAAATTCTATGGGTTATTAAGATGATATACATGATATGACATCAGTGAAATATCCAAGCACTACATGGTTTAAAAAAGAGGTGAGGTGAAATGGGGTTTAACTCTGTGTTCAAGATGATTTCACTTATATAATTTCAGTCCAGACTTATTTTATAGTGCTAGCCCACTGAGATACCATGCCGCAGTTGGACATGGATACCCCACTCAGACAGTCTATTGACTCCAAGCCACACAGTCCTTTGTTATATCACAGAATGTCAAGCACCAGGCAGGGTATCAGCAAGTGCCATTTTCTAACCTCATTTGATATGAAGCGGCCGGACAGACTGTATCCTCAGGATAGTTTTTAAAAATGACTCTGCATCTGCTACTCAATGAAAGTAGGTCACTGTGACCTACTTCTGATATCAAAAGATGGTCATCACTTGTCATACTCAATCAAAACAAACATGACAGAAAAAAAAAGCTTTTCTGTGGCCTTCACCTTATATGTAGGTCACGCATAACCTCATCAGACCTGCCCAACACACGTCATGAGTCAACTTTTCTGTGGCCTTCACCTTATATGTAGGTCACTCATAACCTCATCAAACCTGCCCAACACACGTCATGAGTCAACTTTTCTGTGGCCTTCACCTTATATGTAGGTCACTCATAACCTCATCAGACCTGCCCAACACACGTCATGAGTCAACTTTTCTGTGGCCTTCACCTTATATGTAGGTCTCTCATAACCTCATCAGACCTGCCCAACACACGTCATGAGTCAACTTTTCTGTGGCCTTCACCTTATATGTAGGTCACTCATAACCTCATCAGACCTGCCCAACACACGTCATGAGTCAACTTTTCTGTGGCCTTCACCTTATATGTAGGTCACTCATAACCTCATCAGACCTGCCCAACACACATCATGAGTCAACTTTTCTGTGGCTTTCACCTTATATGTAGGTCACTCATAACCTCATCAGACCTGCCCAACACACATCATGAGTCAACTTTTCTGTGGCCTTCACCTTATATGTAGGTCACGCATAACCTCATCAGACCTGCCCAACACACGTCATGAGTCAACTTTTCTGTGGCCTTCACCTTATATGTAGGTCACGCATAACCTCATCAGACCTGCCCAACACACGTCATGAGTCAACTTTTCTGTGGCCTTCACCTTATATGTAGGTCACTCATATAACCTCATCAGACCTGCCCAACACACGTCATGAGTCAACTTTTCTGTGGCTTTCACCTTATATGTAGGTCACTCATAACCTCATCAGACCTGCCCAAAGGATTACATGTACCTGTTTTTTTTTACTGACATGAAGTAAATGCTTCTTGAGTTATAGTTTATACAAACCTTTCTTCAGGCCATGACCCCTAGAATGACCTTGACCCTAGACATGACAGGTCAATGTGTTAAAGAAATTCCTAGAGATATAAAGATATGTCTTTGAAAGGCATTTAGAATTGATACACTTATGGAAGAGAATTTATGGATGTCAACTTCTTTATAATGAGGAAAACACCGTTTTGCAGTATAAACTCCTTCAGTAGGTGAATAAGTCCTGGCTTCCAGTTGTCCATTGCTATCAACTACCAGCGCTAATTTACTGTTAAGTGTTGGGTTCCATTTGTCCATTGGTAATTACCAGTCAGCGCCAATTATCTGTTGGCTCCCTTGTTAAGTTTCCACCTTTGTTATCCTATTACTTTTGTTGTTCTTACAGGTAAAGATGTTCCCTGCCTCATGGCATTCATTCACCTGATGAAGGAGTAAGCATATACTCCGAAATGTTGTGTTTCTAATAATAAGGAAGTTGACATCCATACATTCTCTTCCTTACACAGTAACTATATGTATATCTCCTAAAGTGAGTGAGTGAGTATGGTATAATGCCCCTTTTAGTGATATTTCAGCAATATCAGAGCAGTGGGACATCAGAATTTATCTCCAAGAAGACATTCATATCTGAACATATTGAAACACTCCATCCCATCCAATTTAGTCACATCGTATAACAAGGAACAGTGTGTTAGAGACATAGCCTAACCCATACTGAGAAACAGTAACCACCTTAGAGGACAAGGACTGGTACAGCAGGCGCGCATCTTCAGCCTCCTCCGCCCCGCCTCGGGGGACCAGGACATGGTCCTCGACATCGGCCGGGTTCACTGGCTGCTTCGGCACACTCTTGAACTGGGGGATGCACACCTAGAACACAACCTGACTTACAGGGAGGAGGATAAACCCTGCCTTCGTTGAGAGCTAGGACACTGTCAGCAAAACAGAAATGAGAATGTCCTACTCTACAGAGTAGGGGTGACTATTGGTCTGGAAATCCCTATTGCGATAACTATTGATATTGAAAGAAACTATTGCGATAACTATTGATATTGCAAGCAACTATTGCGAGAAATATTGATAGTTTTCAGGGTATCATTTTAGATGGATTTTAGAGTTGAATTAAACCTTAGAACTGAAGTTGCCTTTGAACAACAAATAAAAAGTAAAGTTTGAGATATGACTGATTTGTTTTTTCTTTACCCTAATAATTTAGGAAAAAGAAACTTCCACATTACCATGTGTAAATGACTACCACTCATGATCAAAAGAAAAACAAATTTGAACAGCATTGCATGTATTTTATTGATATGGTAAATACAATCAAAACTATTGATATTCCTAACTGAAATCGATACTATTGATGGGAAATTGATTTAACAATCGATTTATTGACTTTAAGTGCTTACCAATAGCAATATATCGATATTTCAATTTATCGTGACACCCCTACTACAGAGTAAGTTTGTGAGTTTGTCTTAACCCAATTTTGAACATTATTTCAGTTTCAACAGTGATAGACTTTTAAACTCTGGCTTAACCTCTTCCTTCTCAAGTTCTCTAGCTCAGAGCTGCAGACCAAGGCAGAGTTCCCTCTGGCTTTTGAAACGGGCAGTCCTGGTGGACTGGCAACTCTAAAAATTACCAGTCTCCTCTAATTTTTTCTCAACTTTCAACAAATAAAAAAAATGTGAAAATTACCTTGTTTTAATTTTTTGAACATCGTGTTCAATGCAATGACATCAGCTCTGAACACATGCTGAAGTAACTTAGTTAGATCTACACGTCATTCACACAACCTTCAGCAACAATTTTTTCTTGTTTTTGAATATTTCGAGATTAAGTGACAACAAATATATATATTTAACCTTGAAGCAAAGTAAAATGTTATTTCCTTGCACTAAAAATATGGATATCGCTGATGTTTTGATCAACAACAAAGATTTATAAGGTACTTTATTTGCCAGTCCACAAGGACTGGCAGTCACATGAATTACGGGTCCAAACCTAATTTTACTGGTAAAAAAAATGGTAATTGCGGGTAAGCAGGAACACTGCCAAGGTATGGCCATATACACACAGAACTCATGCTAAGCACCCACGCTTAACCTGAGTAAAATAATTTTGAAATGCATGGTTGACTATAAAATCATGCTCTACTTGTCAGGGATGGCTTAAGAATTGATATAAGCTAGCTACGAGATAAATCGCAAAGAACAATTAACAGCAAAGCGTGGTTTATTTCACGATAAAACATTGTTCTATCATGATGTCATTTCTGGAAATTTGAACATGCGCTCGCAATTTGATGACGTTGTATGTTTGACACGTTATTTTTGAGAAGAGATTGTCTAGTGAGTTGTTCCCCATAGATGTAGCAGGGCAACACAGATAATCGCGATGGCTGGACTATCACATTCAAAACCGGGAGAGATTTGACAATCGCTATTGGGAGAAAGGTACAGGTGAAGATTGTGAGAATATAACCAAAATACCCCCCTCTGCATAAAATGGACTTGTCCAACGTTACCGAAGTCGGATTCTATCGTGGGCTCATCATTATTTAAATAGGGGTTAATATTTTTACAGCTTGTACATTTTATCAACTGATATCTCATATAAGAAATAAACGACTCATAGTCACGTCAAAATAGTATATAATTTTATGAACCTACCTGTCAGATCATTCATTTATCAAATCTATCACATTTCACAATGTCTGAAATATGTATTCCATTTGAATTTATCATTTTTTTTTGATAGATTAAAAATAATTCACTATTTTCCGCAATGTTATTGAAAATAAAATTCTCGGACACACACTTCGACAAGTCCATATCAAATATACCAAAGAGCAAAATAAAAAAATGTTCATACTAACACGATTTAATAAAAAACTTTCGTCAAAATATGAAATTCATCATACATGAGGATGGTAAAATTGCTGTATTTTGATTGGCTTGTCTTAGGTCACATGCCAAAAATTTGACCTATCACGAACTTTGCATTAGATTTTGGCAATAAAGCGTCTTTAGAAACCAATTTTTATCCAATAAAATTGCATGTTACAGCTACGAAAAGATTCCAGACGAGGTTATTATCGTGTAGACAAAAAAAAAGAAGCTTTCTACTGGTGTGTCACAAGGCAGTCTTTGACCTACGTGTTACGAAAACGGAGGTATTACTTCATGTTGCTGAGCGGACAGCCGCTGTTATCGGGAAATTGGTGATGACAGATACTATGAAATACTTTTTTTTATAATAATTTTCCGATTACGTAAACAATGAAAATAAAAAAGAAATAGGGAAGTGGATTTTATGACATCTCATATTTGCCGAAAATCGTCTGATTTTCGCTTCCTAAGTCCTTAATCTGGAAGTTATGAATGTATTAGCTTACATTTATTTATTTACAACTAACTTAAAAATGCATTATTTAAATAATGTGATAAGCATAACTTTCATATGTATAACCAGAAGGATAAGGCCTTTCAAATGGTGTATAACATGTAGTAGCAAAGATACAACAGATTACATGCAGATATTTTCCTTGACTACACTGACTAGTTCACTTTGTTATGGTACAGAAAAAAAGCAGAGTGAAACAGAGTGGCAAACATACATGATGAATGACCTTCACTGTGACCTTCACCTTAAAGACAGGTCACCCAGGACCTTTTCTGATCTCGGCCCTGCCTAAAATGCCAAAGGAAGACATGAACCAAGTTCATTGACCTACAGTAAATTCTTCCCAAGTTAGTCAGTAAACGCTATGACCTTGAAGATGACCTTGACCCATGGCCATGTGTAAAAAATAATTCCTGGAGATATACATGATATGAGATTTCCAAACACATGGTTTCAAAAAGAAATGATGCCATGGTCAAAGTCCGTACATAGGGCTGCTTAATCACTAATTCCTAACAATAGTCAGAGATCTCAAAGATCCAAAATGTATGCAACTTGATGCTGTGTGAATGCCAAAATCAGTTCCAACAACTGACTGTATCTTGCCCCTAAACCTGCTGAACAAACCTTCGAGGGAGGCAGGTTACAAACAAAACCGTGTTTTTCAGATTTGATATTTTCACCTTTTAAGTAGTTATATGGCCCCTCTATATTTACCAGCCAATCATCCGCAGCTGCTTTGTTGAGGATGTCTGGGAACTGGCGTTGGAGGGCGTTGAAGAAAGGATTCTCGTACAGATCTTCATCATACTTGTCACTCATACTGGCAGGTCATAGTTGTCATAGCGCTCATGTTGAATGACTTGAATCTGTAACAACATCAGTGGTTTAGAGGAACATATTCCTACTATTCCCATATTTGAATTCCATGATGAAAAATCAATCTAACACCGATAGTAACAAGAGTTTGCCAATAACATGGCTATATCCCCCGCCCCTGTTGCAGAATTTATGACATAATTAAATTTAAACAAACCCTAACCTTTTTTAACCGAGGTGGAACTTGTCAGGGGAAATTGTAAAAAAAAGAAGAGTTTGGAACCTAAGTCCATCTTGTTGCCATAGAAACGTAAAAAATAAAAATTTGTAAAATTTCTAAATAGCAAAAGGCACCAGTTCAGCATGTACCTGACAGACCTGCAAAGTTTGATGAAAAAATATTGAACGGTTTATGAGTTATGCTCTGGAAACGAACCCTACCCTAACAGAACCTAAGTCCATCTTGTTGCCATGGAAACGTAAAAAATAAAAATTTATAAAATTTCTAAATAGCAAAAGGCACCAGTTCAGCATGTACCTGACAGACCTGCAAAGTTTGATGAAAAAATATTGAATGGTTTATGAGTTATGCTCCGGAAACGAAACGTGACGGATGTACGGACGAAGCCCGTTTCTATATCCCCCGCCAACTTTGTTGGGCGGGGGGATAATAAAACCAAAGGACCACAGGTTCCGAAGCTCGTCTTAATTCACTGACATTAATCTTGAGCAATAAGAATCTCCTGAGCAAGCTATTTTATTCATGAACCATATTACTCAACAGTTAATATTATTTTCCAAGTAGTCAGAACATTCGGGGTGAGCTATTAAAGGATCTTGTATTTTGTTGTCTGTGCTGAATAAAAAAATAATGTCCATTAATTAATAATCTATTTACTACACTTATCAACAATGGTGGTGAAGTGAGGTGAGGTGAAATGGGGTTTAACGTTGCGTCCAGCATTATTGCACTTATATAGCAGCATACATGCACGTGTGTGTGTGTGGCTGCTTGTACAAGTCCAGAATGATGCCGATTTATAGTGCTAGTCCACTGAGATACCATGCTGCAGTTTAACATAAATACCCCAGGCAGATACAGTATATTGGCTCCAAGCCGACCAGTGCTTGTTTTAGCCTCTTAATGCAGAACGCCAGACAGGGTAACATCAAGTACAACATCTTTTAGTATGATACAGAAGGGGATTGAACCCCGGACCTTCCGCTCTCCGCGCGGACACTCTACTACTAGACCTTGCAGGCAGTCCCAACAATAGTCAAACTTCCCTATCACAACTGCACTGTCACGGAGCTGTGCTCCAAGGATCAGGGGTTTCATAACACAAGAACAAAGTAACAATGAAAATGTGGTAATAGGTTCACAGGTTATCAATGGGCGACAATACATGTATAAAAGATAAAAAACCCAATCTGTATTGACAAAGATCACTGACTAAGTAACCGTAAATACACAAGCTGCTTACCTTAGCAACTGTATTACAGAAATAAATTAAGAGTAACTTAAACAACACTTTGACTTTCAGAAGAAGGGAGATGTAAGATAAAGGGTTAACTGTGCCGTCAACTATGACATCATACACATGTACAGAAGTGATGATGTAACACGCATGTACCAAATCTGATGATGTTGTAAACATTCTATGAGCCCGCCATGCTTGTTGTTGAATCTGTTACAGCAAGGCCTATATGACTAGTGCCAGTTTCTATAGCTGCTCATATTCCTATATGCAGAAATAGTCTCTACAATATTGGTCTTGTTGCACACTTGTCCGAAGCCAAAATGTTTCATTTTGAGGTAGATCTATACCAAATTTGTTGGTTGAGAGTCAAGATTGAATTTCTGTTTGTTTGTTTTGTTTGTTTGCTTGCAGTGTTAACTGTAGATTTAACCGTGCCTAACTGAACTTGAAACTGAACGCGCAGCGGACATCCATAAAGTTTGTTTGTTTGTTTATTTGTTGTTTAATGCCGCAATATTCCAGCTATATTACAGCGGTTTGTAAATAATCGAATCTGGACCAGATAATCCAGTGACTGACATCATGAGCATCAATCCAAGCTATTGGGATACGATGACATGCATCAACCAAGTCAGCGAGCCTGACCACCCGATCCCGTTAGTCGCCTTTACAACAAGCATAGTCGCCTTTTATGGCAAGCATGGGTTGCTGAAGACCTATTCTACCTCGGATCAATATCATTATAATTTAAGTAAAGACTCAGGGCAATAAACCGTTCTGCAAGTTTAAAAAATTGAAACCCTGAATAACTGCAAAAATTCGGATATGTGTTACGACTGAAACATCGCAAAGTAGTTAATACGAAGACTGACTTATAAGTTAAACTCCGCCTGTTATATTTCGTTGTATATTTTATATGAACTAGATTTAATTAATTAATGGTTACCCCAGACCAGTTATCCGGATGAGTAAGTTAGGGAGGAAATTGACAAAGTATAACTACGTAAACTACGCACTAAACTTCTTGGCAACGTTCCACATAGATTGTGTATTCGGTCTTTTTCGATATGTTGTTGTGGTGTTCGCTGACGAGATGTTCTGGCACATCCACCCGGAAACTGCTAACGGAAAGCACTAACACCCTCTTCCATGTTTACATCGCCAGTTGCTTGACTCGTGCAACTCTGGTCCTACTCGCCTAAGCGTTATCTTTATATCATTATCAAAGGGAGGTTACTGAAAACAAAACTGTATCTGAACTTTGTCCTTACATCAAGCTCCTCACAGCGGAGGGTAACCAAAGAATCTCAACTGGTGCCCTTGTCCTAATAGAGACTGCAGGGAGCGGCGAGAAGCGCAAGCGCTCTAGGACAGGCAAACCAGTCTGCGAAAGAGTCACGCGCTGAGCCAAGCTCCTCACAGCGATAGTACGTTCCCGGAGCTCTCTATACTATCGCTGCCACCAGTCAAAACTCCCCACTGTGAATAGGTGGCCACAACCATGCTTGGAGTTGAACTCGCAACCGAATGACCGTTATGTTTACAAACAAGTGACGACTGTCGTGACGCCGAATACACTTATCGCTGCTAAATTACTTTCTTCGTTTGTCAATTTGAATTTCTGTTTCATTAAAACTATCGTGTTGTTGATATAGTAAGAATGTAAGGGAGAAGTTGGTTGATTTTCCGTTAGTCTGCAATCTCGAACCAATCTGATTATCAAAACAACAAAGTAAATTCATCTGGAAAACATTGTCAGTCGTAAACCTTTTCAAATTGAAATATCATGGCATTCCCAAAGACATAAACAAAAGTATAAACGTTACTACATATTGGGTTGGAGGGCAAATTTCAAGATTCTTGTAATGGCCGCGCCCACACTGGTGGCAGCGATGTTACCGAGAGTGTAACGAAGGTGTCACGCGCTGGGAAGGAGCTTGGCGCTGAGCATTATTTTCAAAGGGAAGTTACTCTAATTGTTGGTTATGCATGTGTACCACAATAAAGATATTTTTGTGTCGATAAATAAATGATTGCTAAGTGAATTAAAACTTAACGTCGCATCGTCATTATTTTCAGCCATATAGCGCCAAATGAACAAATAAATAAACAAATAAATGTAATAAGATATTAATGATTAATTACTGATAAAATAAGAACAAACGTGCGAACACGATGTGTTTGGATGTGTTTGACAAATCAAGGCAAACTCTTGATAGTTCAACGGGAAAATACAATTTGATTTTTTAAAATTCCAAATACTTTAACATAATTGCCATGACAAGAAAACGTAAACAAGATAAACAACATTGAATATGTGTATACACGCCATAAGTGTAGTTACTAGTTAGGGCCCATTACATATGTTCCGTTTTTTTTTGCGAAATATTAAATTTCGACTTTGATTCGACCTTTGCACTTCAACCGTATTCAACCAAATTTCTTGTGGCCATAACTCAATCATTTGTATTCCAAATGTAATGACATTGTGAATATGCATTTGTAGTTTACGCTGTCGTCAGTAAAACAGACAGGATGTTTTAGTATTTTGATACATTAACAATAAACGGTATCAACATTTCGTTTACAGTTACCCGAAGATGGCCTGAGGCCCAGCTCAATTTGCATGTAAGGCATTCAATGACCCAATCACATTAAAATCAGATCTTAGTTTTCGCTACCGCAAAACAAAGATCTGAGGATATTCCATAAGGGTTCACGTCAGAACGATATTTCGCGAACTTTGACCGATCAATGAAATGACTGACCAGAAATCGACATTAGCCAATCAGAAGGCAGCTTTCTCGAGCTTTACGGCACTAGTTTCAAACTGACGACTACGCTTCGAAACATATTTTGACGTATTCCCGATTAAAAATGTTAAAACTGATCAAAAGAACATACTGGAATGGCTTGTAGATGGCCTAAATTGTATGGATATAATCATAAAACAGGTAACTGTCGTTCGGATTACGCTCTGTTAAATATTTCGAGGTTGCATGATTAGAAAACACATTCCGTGTGTCACTTTCATGATCTGGTAAGCGACGTTCTGATTGGTTGGATGAAAGGTCGTTCTGACGTGCCCGTAATGATCAGATGTTTGTTTAGCAATAGGGAGAATTAAGATCTGATTTTTAAGAGATTGTCGTCCAGTGACCACGATTCACTCCGTAGTATGAATTTGACACAATCCTTCAGTAACTATTGACACTCATGTTGAGCATAATAATAATAATAATAGACTGAACTAAAACGTACTAAAATGTACATCCCGATTGTGAAAACGTCCACGGTGACCGTTGAAATGAGACCGTTTATCGCGTGATATAAACGCTGAAAGAAAGTGGCGTAGTTTTCTAATTTTGGTATATTGACGTGGGCTTTTTATGTGTGATTCAGATTCTATACCCTGAGAATAAAATACATGTATTATAGCTGAGTAAAGGAAAGGAATGTTTTACAATGAGAAATGCTGTCAAAATAGTTCCAAGATTTAACAGTTGTTAAAATATTTTCGCCACAAATAGTTCCATAACATACATTAGTAAATAATCAGAATATACAATTCTAAAGTGACTACATTACATAATCCCTATAAATCAAAGCTGTTAATAAACTGAAAATCATATCTATCGGAGACACCCCAAGTAACGTTGAGTTACCAAGTTTTTTTCATGACTATATTTACTACAATTCAAAATACTTGAGTGTTACATTGTTCAGAGGAAAGGGCATACACACAAGAATTATATTGCTTCCGTGTGTGAATGCAGGTAATACTTGGCATCTCAGTTCCTAGCTTCATAATGCTTCACACAGGTGGTGTACCTGAATTTGTAATGTTGATATGAAGCATATGCATAACACTTGCTATTCGTCAGTCTATAACAACTCAAAATAGTCCAACACGTTTGTGTTGTCTATGCAATATCCTATCTTTGGGAACCGCTTGTGCACAGGCAAGTTGTTTAGTACAATATTTCTTTTATTAAGATCTAGTTCAATTTGTTTCCCCCATTTTCTCTATACCCTTTTATGACCCGTGAAGATTCCGGGGTAGAATAGGTCTTCAGCAACCCATGCTTGCCGTAAAAGGTGACTATGCTTGTCGTAAAAGGCGACTAACGGGAGCGGGTGGTCAGGCTCGCTGACTTGGTTGATGCATGTCATCGATCCCAATTGCGTGGATCGATGCTCATGACATTAATCACTGGATTGTCTGGTTCTGACTGGATTATTTACAGATCGCCATCATATAGCTGGAATATTGCTGAGTGCGGCGTTAAACAACCAACCAACCAACCAACTATACCCTTTTATGCATGTTTATGTTGCTTAATCTTATTGCTCATTTTCCAAAATCTCGAGTATCATAAAACACTTTGCATCTCCTTGCTAATCTAACGTTGTAAAATTTCATATAATAACCATCATCTAAAACAGAACAGATGGTGCAAAGGCATATTGTAATTCTATTTTTTGCCTGTACGGTCTCAAAATTGATTTTATTAGTCCTTAAATCTTATGTCTAGAGCATATGTTCACAAACAGGACCGTTAGCTGATATAAGGAATGTAACATCCAGTTGATCGACCAATTATCTAAGTCATGTTTTTTTTTATCAAATAAGATGATTGTATACGACATACGTCAGTATGATAAAGAAGATTTTACAATTACAATTTTGAAAAAGACAGTTAAACGACAGTTGTGACAGGGAGGATTGTATAGTAGCTGAGGCAGACAGACTGACAGCCGTTGTTGACGAGAGTTGCGTACATCACTAGGTTATTTGAACGGCAGTGGCCTTCTAGAATGTTCCTATACTTTAAGGATTTTGTGGCCAGGGACGGACGTGATTCAAACTCCTTCCACTCTGACACCGCATCAAAGTTATTTGTGTATGGATAATGGGAAATGGGGTGGTAGTTCAAGCGATACGGACGACACTGTCTGTGTCTGCTGGGCGGCGCCTTTGATATCGCCTTCAAACAGACATAATAGAATGAACCATTTAGGAGATAAACATACTGTGTTTTCAATGTAGAGCTAGGTTACCTGTAGATTTAACCCCGCTAAATTGAATTTGGAACCGAACGCGCAGCGTGAGGTTTCAAATGTTATATTTAGCGCGGTTAAATCTACAGGTAACCTAGCTCTACATTGAAAACACAGTATGTTTATCTCCATTCTACCATGACTAAATAAAACGCGAACTCTTTGGTGTTAGCAAATATACTGAGTGAAGCGGCATGGGTTGAGTTCAGTGTTTTGAGTGGGTTATCGATCTGAATTACGGAATCACCAAACAAAATATGGTGCTGTATATACTCAAGCAGTTTGTTTACACCGTTATACTTCACTCGAACATATGACAGGCATTGAAAGCATATAAGCACGGCAACTTGGTAAGCTAACATGAGGTGGGCATCCCTAAAGAAAACAAAGCAAGCTTTGCAAGGCTTCCGCTCTACATCGTGCGTCACCATTATGACGTCATATCGCTCATTGTGACGCAAAAAATATGACGTCACAGTCGTATATAGAAAAGCGCCAAAATTCCAAGCGCTCTGTTGTCTCCAAAACGTAAATACATTCCCTTTGTTGATTTCTGTCGTGTTTTTCTGCACGAAATGTATTGCCACGCATCCTTTGAATATTGTAGTAACCGCATCTGTGCATTTCGTAACCTGTAATTGTAGATATAATTATTGAAATATGCCTAGCGACAATGACTGAAAATAGTACTAATCTGTGAATATTAGCTTCCGCGGAGATGCGGCCGTCAAACCAGCTGTTTCAATCAGAGGGGGTTTATTGTGATTTAATAGCCTCTGATTGACCAATCAGAATCGAGTAAATTCCAAATTCATGGTAGAATATACGATGATACACACCAGGAACGCTGAGAAAAAAAACAAGATTCGTTCTTGTTGTATATCATGTCACCAATTCATCTTTCATAAACGTTTTGTATCTTTGTGCCTAATATATGCATAATTAACGAAAATATGTAATACATGTATCTACAAAATATATACAGGCTAGGTATTTGCCCACAGCAACACCCGCATAACTGTTTATTCACGCGTGGCTGATAGTAATTGAACGAGAGCAGGTATTGTAGTCGCACCTGTGAATTAGGCCGACTCTGTAATTAGATACAACTTTCTCTTAGGCGAGTGACATTGTGTATTCAAGAGTAAACTGACCTAATTATAAGAAGAGATTTTTACTGAAGTTATTAATTAATCCGCATATACAGCGAGACAGTTTCAATGAATTGCGATTACTAACATCATGAACGTGTATTCGTGAACAAATTAAAAACTCGTTAAACAATTAAAAAACTATATACAATGTCTACTCTTAAGGATCTCCCTTACGGATTAGACATTATACAACGTACTGGTGAGAATATGAGAATTATCATAAGAAGGCTGTTTTTTTCTGAAATTGTTCCCAATTTCAAATCAAAAGTGGCATTGCATTTAAAAGTTGCATTTGTGTCCCAATATTCATTCAATTTTTTATCAATCGGCGGAATATCATATCACTAATTTTCGAGCATCCCCGCACTCAAATATTGGCGATGTACATGGTATATACCTTCAATGTAAAGCTCTACATTAGAATACTCAAACCGCAGTGTACTTGTTGGACATTGTTTTCACCTGTGTCTGTGACTCGGTTACAAATGGTAGTGGACAACTTCTCCAGCAGAATGAACATGGATGGAAATAAAATGTCATATAAGGGAGGTGATGACCACTGAAACACAAAACAGGTTCCAAGGCTTATCCCAACTCGGAATATAAATGGGGGATTGCGAAAGTTTAGATTTTTCAAAAGAGTGTAACAACGACATCTATATCGTGTATACGCAATACAAAATACCAAACGCCAGAAAAGTGAAACATTTCTTATTTGTTATCATAAACAAACACGATTTACACACACATTGAACTTTAATAATCATCATACAGTTATTTTCGTTTGAGAGACGTACACATTATCTATGTACAGTGTTGCAACACTGCCACATTTGCCACACTGAACTGATAATTCTGAACATAATATGGATTTGTTTAATTAATCCCACCTACTCCACTGTCTTACAATTGGTGTCTCACTAATGGGATGTCTTACTAATGGGATGTAACCCATGTAGACGCACCAGATAACAGGGTTCACAGTCTACTCATGTGAGACATCAAACCGAATATTAGCTTGACAAAACAATGCTTCAACTACCACCCCACATATTCACGAAAGCATTACGTGAATGCCCTGTTTAATATCTGGAGAAAAACACAAAGATGCTCTGACTTAGATGCACTGACATTAATCACAAACTAATACAAGACAATTAGCTGTCTTACTGACCGTCAGTCTGATTCAGTTACCCTGTACAGGACGTCTAAAACGTGTTTGAATGTACACTTTCTACTGTTTTATCACAATGCCACTGAGCATATGCTACAAACAGAAAGATCCGTATGTTATAGATGTTTTTTATTTAAATAACAAGGGAATTGAAGTATATTTGTCTTATGCAATTGCGTATGTAATAATCAGTTTTGTAGGAGAACATGTAATACCCTTCATATTGTTATCGACGTTATCTTGAAGCCACACTAATCAGGACGTCCCTCCATACATGTACATGGGACCGCCTCCGTGGTCTAGTGGTAGAGCGTCCGCCCGGAGAGAGGAAGGTCTGGGGTTCGATCCCTGGCCGCGTCATACCAAAAGACGTTAAAAGATGGTACTTGTTGTTACCTGTCTGGCGCTCGGCATTAAGGGCTAAAACAAGGACTGGTCGGCTCGGAGTCAGTATACTGTGTCTGAGTGGGGTATTCATGTTAAACTGCGGCATGGTATCTCAGTGAGCTAGCACTATAAATCGGCATCAGTCCGGACTTGTACAAGCAGCCACACAAACACACACACGTACATGTACGTCGCTATATAAGTGCAATAATCTTGGACGCGACGTTAAACCCCATTTCACCTCACCTCACCACATGTACATGGTATGTGTTTTTACCAAAGTACAAGTATATGTACATACATCAACTGTGATATGGGGCGGTCGGGTAGCCTAGTGGTTAAAGCGTTCGCTCGTCATGCCGAAGACCCGGGTTCGATTCCGACATGGGTACACTGTGTGAAGCCCATTTCTGGTGTCCCCCGCCGTGATATTGCTGGAATATTGCTAAAAGCGGCGTAAAACCATACTCACTCACTCACACACTCAACTGTGATATAACCAGTGTCAAAGTGGTATTCATCCAACTACTACATAAGTATATGCTAGTACAATAATGTATACATGTAGATTTGTACAAGACTAGAGACACGATGCAAGTTGATCAGGAATCAAATATGCATGCCAACAAGAATATTTAATGACAGTATTATTATAGAAGGATTATATTACATGTATTTATGAAGACTACATGTACCTGCAATCCATTCCCAGTGTAGCATCATAGTATGTATTGTATGTATGGAGGCTATTGCCATGGCCCGCCACACGTTGACGGCGTTGATGCTCCCATAAAACACCTAATTAGTGCCATATAGCAATACAGTAGTTTTCGGAGAAATCCACGGATATCCGCGGATTATTCGCGAATTATTTACAACTTATTCGCGAATTATTTGCACTTATTCGCGAATTATTGCAACTTATCCGCGAATTAATTGCAAATTATTCGCAAATTATTTGCGACTTATCCGTGGATTATTCGTGAATCATTTAGATTTTTTAGAAGTTAGTTTTTAAATCAAATCATATCTTAGAAAGTAAAACAACGATGAAGTGTTCTTTGAGTGCTGACTAAACGCCAGTAGAGTTCATTTTTTAAAAGATAATATCGCTAACGTAAGATATTTTCCATTGAAAATAAAAACACACACGCTAAAATCAACTGAGAGGTGTAGTTTCTTTTGCTGATCAGTTTGACAAAACAACTTTTCAAAGTGGCGTTAAGCCCACTCATCCATTCAAATGGGAAATCGCCGATAAAACCATTATGTGCAATGTTCATTCAACGAGGGAACGTTGCTCACGATCAACAGGAATAAGCTTGGTTTCAATGAAACATTTAATGTCGCCCAGATCGCCCAGTGAATGAGAGACTCAGTGTATGAATCCAACCCTTGAATACACTGTTGGCATGGGTACATTACAAAGAGTATAGAACTGTTTTCAATAGCGTCTGCCGCTAATATGATACACATTAACAAGAGTATAGGTTACGCCAATAACAACTCGTGCACGTCGACAGTGCAGGACAGATCTCAAATGACAGTCATAAGATTTTACCTTGAGAATGAGGTAAGTGTGTGTCTTCTTCTTCCTTCTCATTAATATCTAATCTTGACACCGCAATTGTCACCGGTGCAACAGTGCTGGGGCTATTGTAAAGGAAAGTGTATTTTTTCGGTCATTACCTCAGTATGTCTGTGTGAAAGGTAGAGCTGAACACTTATGTTCAGGACATCCAACACCCCATCAAACAATTTGTTTGAGTAAAACCTGAAGACGAACGATATTTTTCCAGTTGTTTTCTTAAACAAATTATTTTTACACTTAACCCACCACAGCTTACATTGCCTGTATATTATTATATCCAGATTAAAATTAAAAAAAAATGCAGCAAAGAGGGTTTTGGTGATCCTGGCACAGTCAGTGTGGTTTGGCTCATCGTCAGCTCAGGGCCCTTGCCTCCTCTACACGCAGCCCAGACAACGAATGGGACTTCTCCCAGGAAGCGCTGCCTAGTCAAACCTACCCAGAATTTCTCGGAGAATGTGAAGGCCCCCCAACACTGCAGCCTTCCGCATTACCGGGATTGTCAGAAGGGCTGTATTCCTGGTAGAAAACCCGGGTACTCTCCCTGTGCCAGTCAACAGATTGGGAGGTACGAAACCTAAGGCACCAAGCACAATGGGGAGTCGGACAACTTGGTACTTCGGATGCTAGCATGACATTTCAAAAGCGAGTTCTGCATATTTGCCATGTTTTTCCTGAATCCTGTAAATTACATTAGTGTCAAAAGGGACAAAAAACTCAATGTTATATATGATTTCATTGGATTCATAAAAAAGGACGAGATCAGGTTTGTTAGGCTGGATACGTCTGAGGCTGGATACGGGTCTATTCCAAAGAATGTTGTATTTATCATTTTCCATGACGCTCTCTACAAATTCTGGGTCGTACCATGGATGGACCTCTGTGTCAAAACCACAAGCATGGCGAAGACGGTAATAAAATGATCGAGCCACTCCATCATGTCGCTTAAGATACTGTGTTTGTGCCAAAGCTGGGTATCCACTGACAGTGTGTTGGACAGTCCCATTAAATTCATAACATAATCTATATTTCATGTTTACATTTTGATGCAAAATCACACATTGACGGTTTCGGGTGGGAAGTGACTGGTCCTGAGCAGAAAACAGAAAGCCTTCTGTTTCACTTTTCCGGCCAGCCGACCTCATCCAAGGCAAGGACTCTGTAGGGTTGCTGACCCTCTCATCACACTGTACATAAACTCGATGCAGTCTGGGACAGACAATTCAACAATATAACCTATAATATTATTATTATTATTATTATTATCCCGGACGTCTGTCACGTTATACCTAAATACCCGCAACGCGCAATCTAAATGGTGAAACAATGGGTGTATGCTTTCTTTTGCCAGCTAGTATTAATTTTGTATCCCATTGTTCCCCAGGTGTACGAAATGGATTATGAGCAAAAGGACATCTTTGATTCTGATTGGAATTTTTCTTTTCCTTGGGTATGAGTCAGCTTTCTTCACAGTGAAAAGACAACATTGCCCTGAGGTGAGAAGATATAACTGTATGCTTCTGTATAGTATCAAGATAACCAGCTTTCCACAGGGACAAACAAATTCCTTTTTGTTTATTCCACAGAAATACTGCTAAAACATTCTAGACACAAGTCACTTTTCACTGTCCTTTGCACAAACTAGTTCTATTTGTGAAGCAGTTTTAGTTTTCGCTTTAGAATTTAAAGAAATCTATATGTAGTAATCAATACAACAATATCTATAGAGGCAAAAAAATTAAATACATTTAAACAATTATGCAAAGAAATTCCTAAAATACAATTTGAAAAGGATGTAGCAAAAGAAGTTAGAAGCAAAGCTTGTAAAGTCTTTTGGAAAACAATTAAGAAATATTGTGATTCTGTACATAAACATGCACTATTTCAACAATCTCTTTAATCTTCAAAGGAAAACTGATTCTTCTTTTGATATTGAGGTTAGATAATTTACTGAAGCCCATGATATTGCTAATTGTAACCTGTGCAGAAACCGTGATGACATTTTGGCTGGGGAAATTACAGATGATAAAATCAGAAATGTAGTAAAAAGTATGAAGAAGTCCCCCGGGGCTGATGGCATACCCACTGAGGCACTTGAAAATATTTGTTCAATATTATTATCATGTTACAAACTACTTTTCAATGAAATACTTAACACGGGCAACTTAACTTTGGCAACTCGGACTTATCGTACCACAGCAAAAATCGGGGAATAGGGATGATCCTGATAACTACAGGGGCAATGCTCCACTTGATATACTGAGAAAAATAATTACCACAATATTAGAGACTTGCATTAAATTCTGGGTTGCTACACAGTATATTTTCAAAAAACAATCAAATACAAACGTAATGTTGCGACTCGCTATTTGTTTAAACAAAGTGTCAAAAGATAACTGCAAATTGTCTACAACTGTACAGGACAGGCGCCCCCTGTACATACTGTTTGTAAAACTGTCACTATACTTTTGCCTCATGGCCACAAAATAAGAATAAAAGGTGTGTGTGTGTGTGTGTGTGTGTGTGTGTGTGTGTGTGTGTGTGTGTGTGTGTGATAGGTCATTTATTTGTAGTTTTCAAGTCAATTCATAACATGTATCTCTCTAACTTAAACGTAGATGGCTATATCAATACAATTGGTCAGATGTTCAAAATTAATATTTTCCTTGACAGAGCAAAAATATTCCAGCTCAGAATATCATTCTAGATAAGTATTGCATGTTTGTTGGCAAATATCTTTAAATCTTTGCTTAAAAAACAATATAAATGCTTTTATATTCCCAACACCTTGCTGTAACCAAACTTCGCCACAACTATATGTATGCAACAAAGATTTAAAATAAGTAGCCCAACAAGCTTTAACATTTTCTGCCCTTCTATACGGAAAATCATGAGAACATTTCATGATAACATTAACCTGTTGCGACAATAACCTTAACCAGAATTTTATAACTTTTATATAATGCAAAACCTGGATTGATATTCTATTCACAATACCTCTTGCAATTATGTTTGGGGTGTATTCAAGCTCAGAACAAGCTTACAGAAACGATCGTGTACATTTTCAATATCGGGTGAAGGATGAAATCCCCAAACCTCTGCTCCATAATTTAGAATTGGAATTACGTTTATATGAAAAATATGAAAACAGACACTAGCTGGGATTGTTGTGAATTGTAGTATTCAAACTACTTTCTATGCCAAGAACCAGCGGATCATAACTGCACACCTAGATATTTATAACTAGTGACTATGTCAATGACGGATTCTCCAATCCTAAACTTTTCATAATGTCCAAGTTTGCCTCCATTCCTGAAAACAACCACTTTGCTTTTTTGAATATTAATAGTCAATCTCCATTTATCACAATATGAGGAGGGTTGGTAAAGACGTTTTTGGAGGACGTTAGCTGTTACATCTAACAAGATTATGTCATCTGCAAACAATACAATAAATAATTCAAATGGACTTGGAGTTAAACCATGAGCTCCATCACAATTCAAAAATGCCACAATATCAATCATGAAGCATGAAAACAAAATATCATCTATCATTTTTTTCATGATCCCACACCCCCTCCCTATAATAAATGACAAGTCCCATATATAACTATTTTCAATTGCAAATGAGACCCGTGAAGATCCCGGGTAGAATAGGTCTTCAGAAACCCATGCTTGCTGTAACAGGCGACTATGCTTGTCGTAAAAGGCGACTAACGGGATCGGGTGGTCAGGCTCGCTGACTTGGTTGATTAATGTCATCGATCCCAACTGCGTAGATCGATGCTCATGTTGTCAATCACTGGATTGTCTGGTTCAGACTCGATTATTTACAGACCGCCGTCATATAGCTGGAATATTGCTGAGTGCGGCGTAAAACAACAAACCAACGAATTGCAAATGATGTCACCTACATCCACTTGTAGTACTACGAACCATTATGTACATACATCAAGGTCACTCGAGCAGCATATGAATTAATCAGTGTGCACTATGAAAATGAATGATATAAAATAATTCTGTATAATTATACAGATGCGGAGAGTTCGGTAGTTTGTTAAGCATTTATAAATAGAGGAAGACATGAGGGCATTCTTTGGAACACATAGTCAGTTTGTTGTGGGGGCACGGGTGGCCCAGTCGTCTAAGGCGCCGCGATTCGCTGTGCAGAGTTGCGTCCCTTTGTGCACGCCAGAAACCTATGATTGTGGGTTCGAATCCCGGTTCGCCGCGATTATGTTTCTAGGTTTGTCAGCACCATACCCGTGCTCGTGGGTTTCACCGAAGTGGTAAACGTCTGAGACCTGCATCAGTTCGGGCTTTCCTCCCTGATTAAGCTGACACGCCGCGATATAACTGGAATACTGCGTTAAACCAAACTCACTCACTCACTCACTCAGTTTGCTGTTACCTTTTGTCTGTGTTGCCCTTCGGACCATCACTGTTGTTTTTTGTTGTTTAACGCCGCACTCAGCAATATTGCTGTTAGTTGCCGCTTACGACAAGCATAGTCGCCTTTCACGACAAGCATGGGTTGCTGAAGATCTATTCTCACCCGGATCTTCACGGGTCCCGTCACTGTGACATTTTCACCTCTTTTCTGTTTCAGGAAGGATATCATAAGGAAGTTCGTGTACACGAATCGTTCCAACGAGCTAACAACAACGATGCTCCTTTTCAAATACCACCCGATCATATTTTAAAGACCATGCCATACGAAGAACTGACGTCTCTATATCACGGGTAAATACTTCCTATGACGTGTGTTTATATTATGATTTTTTCTCATAATTATTACAGGTAATCCCCTCTTACCTGTCTGTATCACAGGTAACCTTCCTCTCTTACCTGTCTGTGTCAAAGGTGGGGCGGTCGGGTAGCCTAGTGGTTAAAGCGTTCGCTCGTCACGCCGAAGACCCGGGTTCGATTCCCGACATGGGTACAATGTGTGAAGCCCATTTCTGGTGTCCCCCGCCGTGATATTGCTGGAACATTGCTAAAAGCGGCGTAAAACCATATTCACTCACTGTGTCACAGGCAACTCTCCTCTCTTACCTGTCTGTATCACAGGTAACCCTCCTCTCTTACCTGTCTGTATCACAGGTAACCCTCCTCTCTTACCTGTCTGTGTCACAGGTAACTCTCCTCTCTTACCTGTCTGTATCACAGGTAACCCTCCTCTCTTACCTGTCTGTGTCACAGGTAACTCTCCTCTCTTACCTGTCTGTATCACAGGTAACCCTCCTCTCTTACCTGTCTGTATCACAGGTAACCCTCCTCTCTTACCTGTCTGTATCACAGGTAACGCTACTATCTCACCTGTCTGTATCCCAGGTAACCATCCTCTCCCACCTGTCTGTGTCACAGGTAACCCTACTCTAACCTGTCTGTATCACCTGTGTGTGTCATATATAACCCTCCTGTCTGACCTCACTGTATAACAAGTAACCCTCCATCCTTACCTGTCTGTATCACAGGTAACCCTCCTCTCTCACCTGTCTGTGTCACAGGTAACCCTCATCTCTTACCTCTCTGTATCACAGGTAACCCTCCTCTCTCACCTGTCTGTGTCACAGGTAACGCTACAATCTCACCTGTCTGTATCCCAGGTAACCCTCCTCTCTGACCTGTCTTTATCACAGGTAACCCTCCTCTCTTACCTGTCTGTATCAGGGGTAACCCTCCTCTCTTACCTCTCTGTATCACAGGTAACCCTCCTCTCTCACCTGTCTGTGTCACAGGTAACCCTCCTCTCTCACCTGTCTGTATCACCTGTGTGTGTCATATATAACCCTCCTGTCTGACCTCACTGTATAACAGGTAACCCTCCATCCTAACCTGTCTGTATCACAGGTAACCCTGTTTGGTTTCTTTTTAAGGTTGATTTTACAGACTCCAAAGTTGCTTTTCATTTTAGGTTTGTGAACAATGTTGGTGTGCTGTGTAAAAACATCGTCCGCCTGGGTAAACTGACTGACGGTGGATGGGAAGTGTGTCACGATCAGCAATACAGGCCCCCCAACAATTGCCTGGTCTACTCTGCCGGGTAAATACTTCCCATTACTATACAGCCCTCCAGGAAGTGTCTAGTCTACTCTGCCGGGTAAACACTTCACATTACTATACAGCCCCTCATGCAAGTGTCTAGTCTTCTCTGTCCGGTAAACACTTCACATTACTATACAGCCCTTCCAGCAACTATCTAGTCTACTCTGTCGGGTAAACACTTCACATTACTATACAGTCCTCCTGCAAATATCTAGTCTACTCTGTCGGGTAAACACTTCACATTACTATACAGCCCTCCAGCAAGTTTCCAGTCTACTCTGCCGGGTAAACACTTCACATTACTATACAGCCCCTCATGCAAGTGTCTAGTCTTCTCTGTCCGGTAAACACTTCACATTACTATACAGCCCCTCATGCAAGTGTCTAGTCTTCTCTGTCCGGTAAACACTTCACATTACTATACAGTCCCTCCAGCAAGTGTCTAGTCTACTCTGCCGGGTAAACACTTCACATTACTATACAGCCCTTCCAGCAACTATCTAGTCTACTCTGTCGGGTAAACACTTCACATTACTATACAGTCCTCCTGCAAATATCTAGTCTACTCTGTCGGGTAAACACTTCACATTACTATACAGCCCTCCAGCAACTATCTAGTCTACTCTGTCGGGTAAACACTTCACATTTACTATACAGTCCTCCAGCAAGTGTCTAGTCGACTGTCAGGTTAACACTTCACATTACTACACAACCCCACCAGCAAGTTCCCAGTCTACTCTGTCGTATAGACCTTCACATTACTGTACAGCCCCTCCAGCAAGTTCCCAGTCTACTCTGTCGTATAGACCTTCACATTACTATACAGCCCCTCCAGCAAGTTCCCAGTCTACTCTGTCGTATAGCCCTTCACATTACTACACAATCCCTCCAGCAAGTTCCCAGTCTACTCTGTCGTATAGACCTTCACATTACTACACAACCCCTCCAGCAAGTTCCCAGTCTACTCTGTCGTATAGACCTTCACATTACTACACAACCCCTCCAGCAAGTTCCCAGTCTACTCTGTCGTATAGCCCTTCACATTACTACACAACCCCTCCAGCAAGTTCCCAGTCTACTCTGTCGTATAGACCTTCACATTATTGTACAGCCCCTCCAGCAAGTGTCTAGTCTGCTCTGCCGGGTAAACACTTCACATTACTATACAACCCCTCCAGCAAGTTCCCAGTCTACTCTGTCGTATAGCCCTTCACATTACTACACAACCCCTCCAGCAAGTTCCCAGTCTACTCTGTCGTATAGCCCTTCACATTACTACACAACCCCTCCAGCAAGTTCCCAGTCTACTCGGTCGTATAGCCCTTCACATTACTACACAACCCCTCCAGCAAGTTCCCAGTCTACTCTGTCGTATAGCCCTTCACATTACTACACAACCCCTCCAGCAAGTTCCCAGTCTACTCTGTCGTATAGACCTTCACATTACTACACAACCCCACCAGCAAGTTCCCAGTCTACTCTGTCGTATAGCCCTTCACATTACTACACAACCCCTCCAGCAAGTTCCCAGTCTACTCTGTCGTATAGCCCTTCACATTACTACACAACCCCTCCAGCAAGTTCCCAGTCTACTCTGTCGTATAGCCCTTCACATTACTACACAACCCCTCCAGCAAGTTCCCAGTCTACTCTGTCGTATAGCCCTTCACATTACTACACAACCCCTCCAGCAAGTTCCCAGTCTACTCTGTCGTATAGACCTTCACATTACTGTACAGCAACGTGTCTAATTCGCGTTTATTTCGAGATATCAAGGCAACCTTCTTGTCGGTCACCTCATAACTGTATAGGATATAGTATTTAACATGGTAGGAAGAGACACTCTCATAATTCTTGAAACAATATATGTTTTAGATTGACACTTAATTGTTATACTTACGTAGGTGTTGATTATCAATAGTGTATCACTATTATTTCCACACAATCCTTCATCTGGCACAGTAAGGATGGCACGTAGTGATATTTTAACTCGTTATAGATGTATTTAATTGGGAGAATGACACATACAGTGCAGCGTCAGGTAGGTCAGTCGTTTAACTTCTATATGTGCGTATGTGTTCTGTTTCAGGATAAATAATGACTTTAGTTTTGACGATGCTATAGCAAAGCAGTACGGGTGTGAAGTTCATTCATTTGATCCGAGGTACGTAACGGTTTGGTGTTTCGCGTCATCTTCCAATGCCACTGAAGTTGTAGCACAATAAACTGAATTATCATCATAGTTAGATTATAAGTTGGCCTGGCGCACATCGTTTGCATGTGTTGGGGACCGACCATACAATATTCACCGGGATGTGTGTATGGGGGATGATTTCGGGTGTCTGTAAGATATTTCTAAACGAGTGTGTCAGGTACCAGTTATCTTACAACGGCTGCAGCAATCTGTTCCTTACATACCATACCATTTTGCCATCAAATCGATGCATATTCTGTCTATTCTCATGATCACTGTGGCGTATTAATACATAACAAACCGGTAATGTCATCCGGCTTATTGCTAAAATTGTCATTGAAATGGTTATAGGACAAGAAAGTGAATTACCATCATAGTTAGATTAAATCGTTGTCCTGGCGTCCATCGTTGGAATGTGTCGTTCGTTCATTCGTTCGTTCGTTCGTTCGTTCAATCGTTCCTTACTACACGAAGTTGTGTCAGGTACCAGTGTGTTATTTAAAAACGTATCCAACGAGGGAAATATAAGATACGTTTTAAAACAACGTGTTGTACGCTGCATGGTACATGACATGCACGGCTGCAGCATTTTTTTTCTTGCGCACAAAACCATGTTACCATAAAATCGATGTATATTTTCTCTATTCTTATGATTGCATTGGCGTATTAATACATAACACAACGGTTATGTCATCCGGCTTATTGCTAACTACCCATTCCTAGTGTGACCCTCCACAAGAAAGGTTTCCGCCATGTCTGTGGATTATCAAGGCGATGATGATAACGCGAACCAGATAAAATCAAAGTACATTTTTTGAACACTCTAAAGCCATAAAGTTTGGACACAGACGTAGTTAAATTCGAGGTGAGCACGAAAACTTATCAATTAATAGCAATCAGGAAAATAGACCGGTCACAATCTGATGACCTGGGGTCATCACCATGGAGTAGCCTATCACAGACCCGGAACAGATATCACATATGTTTAATACCAGTTATCTCCAGTATATTTTCTCACCCACAGGAGTGGAAGAAAATATGCTCCGAAGCAAGCTTTTAAACTGGATCAAGATATCCGAATATGTGTTTCCTCTTATGTTCAAGACTGAATTCCTTCTGGACCATCCGATCTTGTATATTTTCTCAAATTTCAGCATGAAGAAAAAGAGCTACAGACGGAGTGAGCAAGTATTTTTTCATAATATAGGAATCTCGGCTGTTGATGTTTACATCCCAGCCAACAAGACTGGATGGGAGATGCGTACACTGGGAGCAATCAAACAGCAACTTGGCCACGCGAAGGTGAGACAACTCTCTACTCAAGCCATACATTCATTTAAATCTGGAAATTTGTTGATTTTTTTCAGCATTTAACAGCAAGTGGTTGGCGTTATATATTGAAGTCACTGTGTGACGTTGTCATATTTTAAAATCATGGATGAGGCCAACCAGCAGTTTTAATGGTGTGGTCGATATACAGGTAGAAATCACTTGGTGCCAGGTCTGGTGAGTATGGGGGGTGAGAAAGCTCCCACATTGTCGTACAGCGGCCTTTGCAAGTCGAGAGGTGTGAGAAGAGGCATTGTCATGAAGTAGTAGAACTCTAGCAGTCAGCATTCCTCTCCACTTTTCTTTGATAGAATCTCACAGGCGATGAAGCAAATCAGCATAGTAAGCACTGGTAATCGTCTTTTGACTTTCTAAGTAATCAACAAGGATCACATCCTTTGCATCACAGAACTTTCTTCACTGATCTTGAAGACTTGAATTTCTTTGGTGCCGGAGAAGTGGAATGGTGCCATTCCATTGATTGACGTTTTTCCTCGGGTTCACAGTGGTAGTCCCATGTTTTATCGCCCGTTACTAATCTCTTTTTGAATTTGACGATATCCTCCTCAATTAGCTCTACATTTTCTCAAGCAATGTCAATTCTCTTTTCCTCAAGATCAGAATTTAGAAACTTTAGCACCCAACGAGCAGGTATCTTATTCATCTGTAAATGTTCATGAACAATGATTCAATGGACCCATGGCTTCGACCTGTGTCTCCCTCAAGTTCAGCAACGGTAATACGTCTATCTGACAGTATAAGTTTTTTTCTGTCTTGATTGAATCTTCATTGATGGCGGTTGATGGACGTCCAGAACGTTTAACAGTGGAATAGCTAGGACACTTACTATGAACGTCTTGGGGAGTACTTTTCTCTAAAGTAAAAAAAACCTTGAAAACTGCTCGGTACTTGTTCTTTTCCATTTCTGTGTCCGTTTGGACCCCTATCATGTTCAACTGGCTGTCACTAATATACAAACGGCCTCAACAGACCAAATACACTTGCAATGACTAGTTCACTTTCTTATGGCTTATAGTTGAAAGTTAGTCAGGCTTAGAAATTTGTTTCCAGCCCTCGTATTACTGTTGTTGTTCTTGCGGGTACAAATAATGTCCTCTGCTTTATAGCATTTATTGACCTGATGAAGGAGTAAGTATATACTCGTATATCCCGTTAGTCGCCTCTTACGACAAGCATAGTCGCCTTTTACGACAAACATGGGTTGCTTAAGGTCTTCATAATAAAACAGTTGCATTGACGTCCATAACTTCTCTTCCTTATGTGTATCACTTCTAAATTCCATTCAAAGACTTTATGACATATACATATGAAATATTGTAAAATATAAAATATTTTCATATAAAAAATATTGCAAATGATTGGCTGATAATAAAAATATTGGGGCTTGTGCTGCATTGCTGCGCTGAATGTCACTGATTTCATCGTGTTGTCTGCAGTTTCTAGTCTGTTTATTGAATTTGATATGAGCTTGTGTTTTCGGTGTTCTAAACGTAAAAACGGATGTGCACACTTTGTGTAGATCCGCTGAGAGGATTTACATAAAGTAGACACAATTTATCGATAACAGCTTCTTTAATTACTGCCTTTACAGTAATTAAAGAAGTTGTCAGCTATCTCATAAATTGTGTCTTCTTTGTCATCCGTCAATTTCTAAGTAATGCCTATCAAAACAATATATGTTGACATCAATCCTTTCATATATTTCGGCGTACCCAAGCTTATTGGTTTTCAAAACATTCTTACAACATGTGTGTGTGGCCATACAGGTTTAGGACGCTAGCCGATATTGAGCGTGGAAGACGTGGAAGCCCTCTCTTATATTGCTAGAATTGTACTTAAGGCGGTATAACGCCTCTCCCACTCGAAATGTTTAGATTTTGTTCAGGAATGTTACAACATATGCCCATATGAGTGACAAGTAAATGTATTTGTTAAGCTAAAATATGTTAAAGTTGATGAGATGTTTTTAGAAAGCAGTTATAATGTTTGACATATGAATGACAGTACACGCACAAATCAAACTGTTCATCTTGGGTCACGGATTTGCTAATTGAAGTTGGAAGTTGGAAAGATCATCCTTTTTCGCACATTTAGTCATTCCTGTGTATTTAAAGATGCCAGACGTAAAAAAAATATTAACATGTTTATTAAACAATGAGTCCAGTTGTTAACCATTTGAACATATATGACAGCGTCCATACGGTTATTACAAAATTATCCGTAACTTAGAACCATGGAGCCAAACATGATGATCATCCTACTCAGTCTTTTAAACTTTGGCGTTTATCATAACCATGGGTCAAAATACGACATGTAAAACTATTCATGTTTGTATTTCTTTCAGAGACGTGTTGATGTCTTAAAGATGGACATTGAACACTGGGAATGGAAAGTTCTCCCACAAGCCATTGCAAGCGGCTTCCTGGATGACGTCACCACCCTCGATCTGGAGCTCCACAGCTGGATAAGAAATAAAACGTTTATTTACGAGCCCCCGGCTGAAATTTATTTGGGATATTTGAGAACACTGAGACAATTACATCAACTTGGTTTCCGTATTTTCTTAACACACAAGAATCTTGGATCCTGTCAATTCAGATCTAGATTTGGCATGATGAGGACCAGTTGTCAGGAGATCGCTATGGTTCAGACGAAGATGAAGATGGGGATGTAATAAAGGGGTGGAGCTTGTTTAGGCTGCGAAACTTTTGAGTTGTAATAATCAGTTGTATATATAGTCGTTAATTTGTCAATTCATCGGTTGACACAATATATTGAATAAAAGATATATATTTCTCAATAATACGTTTTTTAAATAGATAGTTAGCTTCAAATTAGTTTAATTTGTTTGTTACGTCACGTCATCATTGATGAAATGTGTCAGCATTGTCATAGTTTAATTGACATTATAAATATGCTGTTTATGTATTTGTATGCGAATGACGCCTTACATACAAAATATCAAAACGAACATATTGTCATTTTCCTGGTCGACCTGACCGTCCCGTGGTCTAGTGGTAGAGCGTCCGTCCGGAGAGCGGAATGTCCGGGGTTCGATCCCCGGCCACGTCCAACCAAAGACGTTAAACGATGGGACTTGTTGTTACCCTGTCTGACGCTCGGCATGTTGAGGATACAACAAGGACTTGTCTGCTCGGAGTAAGTATACTTGTGTCTGAGTGGGGTATTCATGTGCGCCAGTGAGCCAGCACTATAAATCGGCATCAGTCCGGACTAGTACAAGCAGCCACACACACCTACATGCACGTGGCATATTAAGTGCAATAATCAATGGACGCTACGTTAAACCCCATTTCACCTCACCGTATGTGAATGACGCCTTACATACAATGTATTTAAACAAAAATCGTGTCATTTTCCTTGTCGACCTGACCGCCTCCATGGTCTAGTGGTAGAGCGTCCGCTCGGAGAGCGGAAGGTCCGGGGTTCGATTCCCGATTCATACCAAAGACTTTAAAAGATGGGACTTGTTGTAACTCTGCCTGGTGCTCGGCATTAAGGGGCTATAACAAGGACTGGCTGGCTCAGGGTCAGTAAACTGTGTCTGAGTGGGATATTCATGTTAAACTGCCGCATGCTCACGATCGATTGCAACACTATCACCCAGATAGCTCAGTGAATGAAAGTGTTTGAATATCGCCTTTAAATACACAGTTGCCATGGGTACATTATCAAAGAGTACAGAAATGTTTTCAAAAGCGTCTATCGCAAACAATAGAACAAGAATGAACAAAAATATAATTATGTCACCCAATAATAATCCGTTCGCGTCAACACTGCCGGGCAGATCTCGACGGACAGTCATACGATTTTACCTTGAAAATGAGGTAAGTGTGTGTCTACTTCTTCCTTTCTCAGTATCTAGGTTTCTACAGTTGACACTGGGAAATTAACCCATCACAGTTTACATTGCCTATACATTGTTTTAAGTAGTATCACGAGAAATATAATGATGCAGCGGTTCGAGCCTACATTGCGTGTGTAGTTATGGGCTTTACAGAAAATGGGACTTCTCCCAGGAAGCGCTGCCCAGTCGAACCCACCCAGAACTTTTCGGAGAATGTGAAGACTCCCCAACACTGCAGCCTTCTGCATTACCCAGATTGTCAGAAGGGCTGTATTCATGGCAGCAAACCCGGGTACTCTCCCAATGTCAGTCAACAGATTGGGAGGTTCCAAACCTAAGGCTCCCAGAAAAATTGGGAGTCTGACAACTTGGTACTTGGGATGCAAGCGTGACACTTCGAAAGCGAGGTCCGCATATTTGCCATGTTATTCCTGAATCTTGTCAATCACATTAGTGTCAAAACGGACAGAAAAAATGTCAATGATATAAATGATTTCATTGGATTTATAACCAAAAGGCAATATCACAAGGACTGTGTGTATTTACGGACAATTTATTGCATGCCCTGGCGCTTGTTTTGCGCCAGTAAGGATGTTATCTCCACAGGTTAGTGTTTCTATTCAGTACATAGTCAAGCGGGGCAACAATGCTATCTCCGCGTATCGCGTGGCCGTGGGTGTGGGGTAGCACTCTGGTGCTTTGTGGCGGGGTTCTTGTGGGCTACACTGCCAGTAACAAATTAACTTGCTTCCAAATTAATAGTCGTGCTTAAGGCTACCTGCTTTTCAGCGGGAACCTTTCCGGGGTTACCTGCTTCTCAGTGGGAACCTTGTCTTTCCCGACTTTTCAGCCGGGGAATCGTAAAATAACATACGTTGGGGCAAACAATTGCCACGTATATGGGCCCGGCGGCGGAAGTCGTCTTGTCAAGTGGTAGCTGACAGTTGGGTCCGCGGCGGTAGTCGCACAATGGTTTTGCTAATGGGGCCAGGCAGTGGGATCTGCTTTTAGCACAATTAGCAGCTTAGTAGCCCACTAGTACCTTCACACCCTCGGCCATTTAACCCAATCTCATCTTCTGTTTCTATTATAGGCACGGGCATCCACGGCTCGGTGGCCCGTGCCTCTCCTTGGCATATCGCGGGATAACACGAGAAATATAATGATGCAGCGGTTCGAGCCTACATTGCGTGTGTAGTTATTGGCTTTACAGCAAATGGGACTTCTCCCAGGAAGCGCTGCCAAGTCGAACCCACCCAGAACTTTTCGGAGAATGTGAAGTCTCCCCAACGCTGCAGCCTTCTGCATTACCCAGATTGTCAGAAGGGCTGTATTCATGGCAGCAAACCCGGGTACTCTCCCAATGTCAGTCAACAGATTGGGAAGTTCCAAACCTAAGGTACCCAGAAAAATTGGGAGTCTGACAACTTGGTACTTGGGATGCAAGTGTGACACTTCGAAAGCGAGGTCCGCATATTTGCCATATTCCTGAATCTTGTCAATCACATTAGTGTCAAAACGGACAGAAAACAATTCAATGATATAAATGATTTCATTGGATTTATAACCAAAAGGCAATATCAGGTTTGTTGGGCTGGATACGTCTGAGACTGTATACGGGCCTATTCCAAAGAATTTTGTTTTTATCATTTTCATTGGCTCCCTCTATGTATTCTGGATCGTACCACGGATGAACTTCTGTTGAATAGAAATTTCGTCCTGGAGACCTGCGACGCGCCAAAATAAATATGCAGTTATTTTCAAGATCTAGTATATACAATTATATCGTGTAACTATATGAGAAGTAGTGGTCTGTTGGCTAATAATACATCCCTGAGCGGTACCGCAGGTCCTTTTCAACTTTAGCCCCAAACCCTTTAACATGCTTACAATCCCAATGTACATGAAGTAAGGATTCAGTATCAGTTTCACAAAATGAGCACAGATCATCATCGAGAATTTTCATTTTAAACAATTCTTTTTTTGTATAGATGGTGCGATAAATAAATTTATATTGAAAATCAAGTAATTTTACATCTTTTGTACATTTTCTGTATCTGATAAAAACTTCCTTCCATGATATAGCTAAGTCGAGAATGGTATCCCATTTTTCACAGACTGTTGGGAGATATTTTAGTTATAGTCTTATCATAAAAAAATATCTGGAGCCTTTAGGCTCTACAAGTAAGTCCATCAAAGTTGTTTTTAAATGTTGATTATATGAGATAATGTGATTATTTCTAATAGTATCTTTCCAGGATTTTGGTATGTTTAATAGAACTTGGTAATAGTTAATAATTGTACCTTTTAGTTCATTAAAGCGCATTATATCATCTTCATTATAGAGATCTTTAATAGTGTAAATTCCCTTTAAAAACCAATTTCTTATAATGAAATCGTTTTTTAAAACTGATAGTTACACCAAAGAGGTTCTGATAGTACTTCTTCAATGTGTGTGGTGTTAGTTTTGTTTCTTCTATACAGTGTTCCCCAAGCAGACAAAACATCTCTCCAGTAAGGGGTAGCTAAGTGTATACAGTTTTCACTATTGGCCCCAAGTAGGAATATGTTTTTTGGGGAAAGATGCTAGGGTTATTACGGTTTTTGTTTTGGAGATGTTTTTTTGAGAACTGACAGTTTTAGAGAAAATGTGAAGGACCTTACCTCTATCATTCTCAGTCCGCCTTCGTCATATTTTCTAATGGAATTTGTTCGTTTTATTTTGTCCCTTTTATCATTCCAGATGAATCTGTACAAATTTTGTTAAGTTCATAATTAAATTCACTCGGAGGGTTTGGAAGAGAGGAAAATATATGTACTTAGGTTCACAGGGCCAAGGTTTTAACAACAGTAATTTTACTTATCAATGTTAAATTTCTTTACCTCCAATTCCCTAAAATTTGATTAATAATTTCAATTCTCTTCTTTGTATTGATTACCCACAGATTATTTAAGTTCACATTAAGCTTTATTCCAAATATTTCAAAGTCCCCACTGTGCCAGTCTAGTTTCAGATCCGACATAATTTGATGTCACAGCCTATCCATATTGCTTTTGTTTTATCAATATTTATTCTTAATCCTGACATTTTATAAAAAATCATTTAGGGTGTCAGTCGCTGTACTTAAACTTTCGTCAGTCCAATCTACAAATATTTCAGTATCATCAGCAAGATTAAACTTGGCCTCTCTTAGAAAATCGCTCATAATTGAAATCGTTGACACAATGCTTTTCAATTCAAATACTCGCGGTCCAATTATGCTGCAGCTGTCGTCCCTGTCCCATAGAAGTCTTCCTCGTGAGTGGGTTGACACTATACTACCGGCATAAGTCCTGACCAGTGCAACTTAACACACACACTCACGCATGTACTTGGTTATAATATTATAAGCGAAATAATCTTGAATGCAACGTTAAAATTAATTCCACTTCATCTCGAAATGTTGCTTGTTTGTGCGTTGTAATATGACTCTCATGACTGTCATGTGCATACCAGTTGTTATTCAATATTGTGGACCAGCTCTGTGGAAATGTTGGTATATTTGTAGAAAAAAACTGTTACTATAAACATACATGTTTGGCCAGAGTTGTCCAGTCTACGCACATAAGTTTTATTGAAAGAGGAACTGTAGACTAACCCTCTCTGAAAAAAACAAATATTTTTTGAAAGAAACAAACTACTCCATTTAAATTGAAAAGGAGGCCCGGGCAGATTTCATATTCAGAACCTGCGGAAAATCTAGACTTGCTTCATTGAGGGTCATAACATTACGGTAAGGGCTGGACGGAAGGGAAAATAAAATTCGCGGGGACTGTGAGACAAACTAGGAGAATAAATCTTCTTCAAGTATGAGAATCGTAATGGAGCCAGGTCCAAAACACAACTACGATACCAGTATGAAATACATCACCATCGAATAACCATTTCTTGTTTGTTTCATTTGTAGCCACCATCAAACACAGGTGTATTCTTTCTGTGCCCGACAGTTCAGTATCACATTCCCTATAATGTTCATTGTATATAATCCCATTGTTCCCCAGGTGTACGAAATGGAGTATGAGGAAATTGACAGCTTGGATTCTGCTTGGAATTTTTCTTTTCCTTGTGTATAAGTCAGCTTTCTTCACAGTGAAAAGACAAAATTCCCCCCCTGAGGTGAGAAGATATAACTGTATGCTTCTGTATCAGTATCAAGTCAGCCAGCTTTCCGTAGGGGCAAACAAGTTACTTTTTGTTTATTTCACAGAAATACTGCTAATACATTCTAGACACGAGAGAGGTGAGGTGAGGTGAAATTGGGTTGAACGTCGCGTCCAAGATTATTGCACTTATATAGCGACGCGCATGCACGTGTGTGTGTGTGTGTGTGTGTGTGTGTGTGTGTGTGTGTGTGTGTTTTGTACGAGTTCGGACTGATGCCGATTTATAGTGCTAGCGCACTGAGATACCATGCCGCAGTTTAACATGAATACCCCACTCAGACACAGTAAACTGACTCCGAGCCGACCAAATCTCTCCTTAATGTAGAACAATACTTATTATCATGTGAAATCTCTGCTTATTATAAAAGATTAATATGTATGTTCAGGTGTAACAACTTTAAACTTGCAGTCGAAACTGGAAGACATTCTAGAATCCCATATGAAGAACGTGTGTGCGTTGATGCCACTCCAAAGGTTTAACTCTAATTGAGGATGAGTATCATGTATTGGCAATCTGTGACAGATACCGAGCTGCAAGAAGAGAATGCTTTGCTTAAAGTGAAATCAACTTTACTACATTTCAACAGTTTTTAAACCTTATGTCAACAAACTCCACTAGAACTTTAAATCACATTGGATTATTCCTATCTCAAGTTATGAGTACACGTAACTCATCACTGTTCTAACGTATTCTAAAACTATTTGTCTTAACATAACGCCATAGTATATAAGCATGTATGATCTACATTATGTCAACATGTATTATGGGCTGGAGGCCAGATTACTGAATAAATCTGTCTGTCTGTCATTGAACCTGACTACACAAAAAATCCGGAATATAAACTGGATATATGTTATTGGAAAATGTTGGTGGCCTGATATTCGACGAACGGTGCGTCAAAACGCAGCCATTGTCGATTTGCAAGGTCTTAAACGGCATTGTTTTCACACTTGTTCAAAAATATCATGGAGGAAAACAGTAAAGCAAAATGCACGTGCAAGTTATGACATTCGTAACTCGTGGTAGTGGCTATAAAAAGGCAAGCATAAGCCAATGCTTTCATATTCAATTGTCAACATATTTCAAGTTCGAAAATGCCGAGATTCATCGCTGCCAATCGGAACATCGCCATAGGACGTATCCAAAGAGGGGAATCGCAGTTTTCTGTTGCACGCCACTTCAACGTCTACCACAGCACCATTTGCTGCCATTGGGACCGATACACACAGTTCAATTCCACTACAGACCGTCCAAGAACCTGTCGACCAAGAGTTACCTCCCCTGCACAGGTTCGCTACATTCGACTGTTCCACCTACGTCATCGCAATGCCATAGCTATGGAGACTGCAGGACGAATCCCTGGATTGGGGAGGATTTCGGACCAGTCTTTCAGGAGCCATCTTCGCGAGGCTGCAATCCGACCCAGAAGACCATATCCTACACCACGAGATCTGACTTGGTTGTGGTTCAAGGAAATTTCTTCAAACCTCAACTTCTTCCAATCATTGAGCACAAGAGGGAGCTTTTTCAATAGGACAACGCTCCACCGCACACAGCTCGTGTCATGGTAGACTACGTTCATAACGCCAACATCAACGTCTTGCCCTGGCCGTCGAGATCTCCAGATCTCAACCCAATCGAACACCTCTGGGATGAACTCAATCAACGTGTACGTCAACGTCAGATCACACCGCAGACACTCGCACAAATGACCAACGCGTTACAAGCAGAATGGTGCAGAATTCCACAGGACAGAATTCGTACACTTATCCAGTAAGTGCCGAGGAGATGCAGAGCCGTGATTGCTGCCCGGGGCGGTCTGACGAGATACTGAGTTCAGCGCAACCTTGTGGTCTTATGTGACATGACAATGAACAGTTTTCAATGCCTTTGTACAACGACAATATGTGACTATCGAGCTCCAAAAATACATGTTTATATCTATGATATTAAATTAACTATATCGACTTTATAAAATTTAAATTTACTAAAAACTACCAGTGCGTTTCTTATTTTGAAGAGTGTAATTTTACGACTCGCTGTGTTTTTAAACAACGTGTATTGCACATAGTTGATCATCACAGACACCCTGTACATACTGTTAGTCAAACTGTCACTATACTATGACAATAAAATGTCTGTCTGTCTGTCTGTCTGTCAGTTAATCGTGATCATGGGTCACAAACTACCCGATATCCATTCAATTCTTGAACATGTTAAAGTGTTGTGTTTAAGAGGCGGTATTATCGCATAAAAGCTTTCAACGAATCCTCCGCCGTGGTGACACTACCACACAGTCGTTGAACATGCATAAGTACTTGGCATACATATTGCGTACCTTTCCAGCTTCAAAAGTTATTTGTTCCATATCAGTATTACGCTAACTTTTACATATCCAACAACTTTAGGGCGGTAGGGTAGCTTAGTGGTTAAAGCGTCCCCTCGTCACGCCGAATTTCCGGGTTCCATGCAGTTTACAATGGTACACTGTGAAGAGCCCATTTCTGGTGTCCCTCGTCGTGATATTGCTGGAATATTTTAAAGTGGCGAAACACCATACTAACTCACTCACTCACCCACACACACACTCAGTGATAGAAATTGATTTCCAACTCTTCAAACTTTTCTTTTCTGGCAATAACTTTGAAAATCAAAGGTAGGATCTGAATAACGTTAGGAGGAAAGGTTGAAGCTAAAAAAACCCTTCTATGTACTTTTATCAGCAAACATTATTAATTTTCTTATCAATTCCAGAAGTGGCCCCAGTGCATTTGGAAAATTTAGATGTAATTATGTCAGAGTATCAATGGAAACCAGGAGGAAAATTTAGATGTAATTATGTCAGAGTATCAATGGAAACCAGGAGGAAAATTTAGATGTAATTATGTCAGAGTATCAATGGAAACCAGGAGGAAAATTTAGATGTAATTATGTCAGAGTATCAATGGAAACCAGGAGGAAAATTTGGATGTAATTATGTCAGAGTATCAATGGAAACCAGGAGGAAAATTTAGATGTAATTATGTCAGAGTATCAATGGAAACCAGGAGGAAAATTTAGATGTAATTATGTCAGAGTATCAATGGAAACCAGGAGGAAAATTTAGATGTAATTATGTCAGAGTATCAATGGAAACCAGGAGGAAAATTTAGATGTAATTATGTCAGAGTATCAATGGAAACCAGGAAGAAAATTTGGATGTAATTATGTCAGAGTATCAATGGAAACCAGGAGGAAAATTTAGATGTAATAATGTCAGAGTATCAATGGAAACCAGAGGAAAATTTAGATGTAATTATGTCAGAGTATCAATGGAAACCAGGAGGAAAATTTAGATGTAATAATGTCAGAGTATCAATGGAATCAGGAGGCATAACTCAACCGCACATACTGATTAGGTTTGCATCTATTGTCAGCCTTACAACATTTCGTATCGCGAGGATATTTATCATGTCATAACGATGCTTAGAGCCATGTGTGCTGCTTGTACTATCCCGGAATAATGCCGGTTTTATTGGGCTAACCTACTGAGATACCATGCCGCAGTTTAATATGAATACCCAACTCAGACACAGTATACTGACTCCGAACCGTTCAGTCCTTGTTTTGACTACATGTTATCTACAATATTATACAAGTGTAAATATGTTGTAGATAGAAGGTCCCGTCTCAAGAAAGTGCTCACCTGGGTTTTTCAACAGCGACGGTTTTATCGAAATACCATCCGAGAAGACTCTTCCGAAACTGTCGTATGAAGACCTGACCTGCCTGTATCACAGGTAACCCTTCTGTCTTACCAGTCTGTATATACAACCCTCATGTCTGACCTTACTGTATCAAGGTAACACCCCCCTCTCACCTATCTGTATCACAGGTAACATTCCTCTCTCACCTGTCTGTATCACAGGTAACACTCCCCTCTCACCTGTCTGTATCCCAGATAACCCTCCCCTCTCACCTGTCTGTATCACAGGTAACCCTTCGCTCTCATCTGTCTGTGTCATAGGTAATCCTCCCCTCTCACCTATCTGTATCACCGGTAACCCTCCTCTCTCACCTATCTGTTTCACAGGTAACCCTCCCCTCTCACCTCACCGCATCACAGGTAATCCTCCCCTCTCAGCTATCTGAGTATATAACCCTCCTGTCTAACCTTACTGTATCACAGGAACACTCCTCGCTCACCTGCTTGTATCACTGATATCCCTCCTCTGAATATATAACCCTCCTGTCTGAACTCACTGCATCACAGGTAACTATCCCCTCTCAGCTATCTGTGTATATAACGCTCCTGTCTGACCTCACTGTATCACAGGTAACCCTCCTCCCTCACCTGTCTGTATAACAGGTAACCCTCCTATCTCACCTGTCAGTGTCACAGGTAATCCTCCCCTCTCACCTGTTTGTATCTCAGGTAACATTCCCCTCTCACCTATCTATATCAAAGGTAACACTTAGTTCTCACCTAGCTGTATCACAGGTAACATTCCCGTCTCACCTATCTATTTCACAGGTAACACTCCTCTCCAACCTATCTGAATCACAGGTATTCCTCCTCTCTCACCTATCTGTATCACAGGTAACACTCTCTCTCTCACCTATCTGTATCACAGGTAACCCTCCTCTCTCACCTGTCTGTATCACAGGTGACACTCCTCTCTCACCTATCTATATCACAGGCAACCCTCCTATATCACCTGCCTGTATCACAGGTAAACCTCCTCTCTCACCTGCCTGTATCACAGGTAAACCTCCTCTCTCGCCTGCCTGTATCACAGGTAAACCTCCTCTCTCACCTATCTATATCACAGGTAACCCTCCACCCTCACCTCACTGTATCACAGGTAACCCTCCCCCCACAGCTATCTGTGCATATAACCCTCCTGTCTGACCTTACTGTATCACAGGTAACACTCCTCCCCACCTGTCTGTATCACAGGTAACCCTCCTCTCTCACCTGTCTGTATCACAGGTAACCCTCCCCTCGCACCTGTCTGTATCACAGGTAACACTCCTCTCTCATCTGTCTGTATCCTAGGTAATCCTCCCCTCTCACCTGTCTGTATGAGAGGTAACATTCCACTCTCATCTAACCATATCACAGGTAACATTCCCCTCTCAACTATCTGTATCACAGGAAAACCTCTTCTCTCACCTGTCTGTATCACAGGTAACACTCTCTCTCACCTATCTGTATCACAGGTAACCCTCTCCTCTCACCTGTCTGTATCACAGATACCCTCCTCTCTCATCTGTCTGTATCACAGGTAACACGCCTCTCTCACCTATCTGTATTACAGTTAACCCCCTACCTTCACCTCACTGTATCACAGGTAACCCTCCCTTCTAAGCTTTCTGTGTATATAACCCTCCTGTCTGACCTTATTGTATCACAGGTAACACTCCCCTCTCATATGTCTGTATTACAGGTAACCCTCCCCCCCCACACTTCACTGTATCACGGGTATTCCTCCCCTCTCAGCTATCTGTATCACAGGTAACACTCCTCTCTCACCTGTCTGAAAATATAACCCTCCTGTCTGACCTTACTGTATCACAGGTAACACTCCTCTCTCACCTATCTGTATCACAGGTAACCCTCCTCTCTCACCTGCCTGTATCACAGGCAACCCCCCCCTCTCAGGTATCTGTATCACAGGTAAAACTCCTCGCTCACCTGTCTGAAAATATAACCCTCCTGTCTGACCTCAATGTATCACAGGTAACCCTCCTCCCTCACCTCACTGTATCACAGGTAACCCTCCCCTCTCAGCTATCTGTGTATATAACCCTCCTGTCTGACCTTACTGTATCACAGGTAACACTCCTCTCTCACCTATCTGTATCACAGGTAACCCTCCTCTCTCACCTGCCTGTATCACAGGCAACCCCCCCTCTCAGGTATCTGTATCACAGGTAAAACTCCTCGCTCACCTGCTTGTATCACTGATATCCCTCCTCTCTAACCTGTCTGAATATATAACCCTCCTGTATGATCTCACTGTATCACAGTAACCCTCCTCTCTCACCTGTCTGTATCACAGGTAACCCTCCCCTCTCACCTGTCTGTATCACAGGTAACACTCCTCTCTCAGCTATCTGTGTATATAACCCTCATGTCTGACCTTACTGTATCACAGGTAACACTCCCCTCTCACCTGTCTGTATCACAGGTAACACTCCTCTCTCAGCTATCTGTGTATATAACCCTCATGTCAGACCTTATTTGTCTGCATCACAGGTAACCCTTCTCCCTCACCTGTCTGTATCACGTAACATTCATCGCTCACCTGCTTGGTATCACTGATATTCCTCATCTCTCACCTGTCTGTATATATAACCCTCCTGTCTGACATCAATGTATAACAGGTAACCCCCTCCCTTACCTGTCTGTATCACAGGTAACCCTGCTCTCTCAACTGTCTGTATCACATGTAACCCTCCTCTCTCACTTGTCTGTATATATTACCCCCCTGTCTGACATCACTTTATGACAGGGTACCCTCCTCCCTTACCTGTCTGTAAATATCACTGTATAATTGGTAACCTTCCTCTCTCACCTGTGTGTGTCATATATAACCCTCTTGTCTGACCTTACTGTACCAGATGCCTCCCTCCTCAATTAAGTGTGTGGATCACAGTTAACCCTTCCTTTTGACGTGTGACTTATTGTATATAAATTTGAGGAGAGCAGCATATAGTTCTTTAGATCCCGTTCCTAGTCGAAAACAACCACGGAAAAAATTAAAAAGCGTGTATAGTTTCTCTTAGAGAATATTTTGCAGATTCATAATTTGTTTTTCATTTCAGGTTTGTGGATAATGTTGGTGTGCTGTGTAGAAACATCGTCCGCCTGGGTAAACTGAAGGACGGTGGATGGGAAGTGTGTCACGATCAACAATACAGGATCCCCAACAATTGCCTGGTCTACTCTGCCGGGTAAATACTTCCCATTACTATACAGTCCCTCCAGCAAGTGTCTCGTCTACTCTGCCGGGTAAACACTTCCCATTACAATACAGTCCCTCCAGCAAGTGTCTAGTCTACTCTGTCGGGTAACACTTCACATTACAATACAGTCCCTCCAGCAAGTGTCTAGTCTACTCTGTCGGGTAAACACTTCACATTACAATACAGTCCCTCCAGCAAGTGTCTAGTCTTCTCTGTCGGGTAAACACTTCACATTGCTGTACAGTCCCTCCAGCAAGTGTCCAGTCTACTCTGTCGGGTAAACACTTCACATGTACTATACAGTCCCTCCAGCAAGTGTCCAGTCTAATCTGTCGGGTAAACACTTCCCATTACTGTACAGCCCCTCTAGCAAGTGTCTTGTCTACTCTGTCGGGTAAACACTTAACATTGCTGTACAGTCCCTTCAGCAAGTGTCCAGTGTACTTTATCCGGTAAACACTTCACATTACTATACAGTTCCACAGCAAGTGTCTAGTCTACTCTGTCGGGTAAACACTTCACATTACTATACAGCTCCCCAGCAAGTGTCTAGTCTACTCTTACGGGTAAACACTTCACATTGCTGTACAGTCCCTCCAGCAAGTGTCTAGTCTACTCTGTCGGGTAAACACTTCACATTTATTATACAGTCCCTCCAGCAAGTGTCTAGTCTACTCTGTCGGGTAAACACTTCACATTACTATACAGCCCCTCCAGCAAGTGTCTAGTCTACTCTGTCGGGTAAACACTTCACATTGCTGTACAGTCCCTCTAGCAAGTGTCTAGTCTACTTTGTCGGGTAAACACTTCACATTGCTGTACAGTCACTCCAGCAAGTGTCTAGTCTACTCTGTCGGGCAAACACTTCCCATTTACTATACAGTCCCTCCAGCAAGTGTCTAGTCTACTTTGTCGGGTAAACACTTCACATTGCTGTATAGTCCCTCCAGCAAGTGTCTAGTCTACTTTGTCGGGTAAACACTTCACATTGCTGTACAGTCACTCCAGCAAGTGTCTAGTCTACCCTGTCGGGTAAACACTTCACATTGCTGTACAGTCCCTCCAGCAAGTGTCTAGTCTACTCTGTCGGGTAAACTTCACATTTACTATACTCTGTCGGATAAACACTTCAAATTTACTATACAGTCCCTCCAGGAAGTATCTAGTCTACTTTATACGGTAAACACTTCACATTACTATACAGTTCCTCCAGGAAGTGTCTAGTCTACTCTGTCGGGTAAACACTTCAAATTACTATACAGTCCCTCCAGCAGGTGTCTAGTCTACACTGTCGGGTAAACACTTCATATTTACTATACAGTCCCTCCAGCAAGTTCCCAGTCCACTCTGTCGTATAACCATTCACATTACTGTAGAGCAATGTGTCTAATTCGTGTTTCCTTCGAAATGCAAAGACCACCTTGTTGTAGGTCATCTGATTACTTTCTGAAATATGTATTGAACATGGTAGGAAGGGACACTCTCATGTATCTTGAAACAATATGTGTTTTAGATTGACACTTAATTGTAATCGTTACATAGATGTTGATTGTCAATATTGTATCATTATCCTTTCCATACAATCTTCTTCTTGCACAGTAACGATGGCACGTAGTGATATTTTAACTTGTTATCGATGTGTTTGATTAGGACAATGGCACACCCAATGCAGTAACATTTAGGTCACTTGTTTAACATATGTGCATATGTTTTCTGTTTCAGGATAAATAATGACTTCAGTTTTGACGATGCTATAGCAAAGCAGTACGGATGTAAAGTTCATTCATTTGATCCGAGGTACGTAACGATTTAGTGTTTATTGTTCTCTACCAATGTCACTGAAGGTTATAGGACAAGAAATGCTTTATCGTCACAGTTTAAACGTAAGTTTAAAAAGCCCTGGCGTCCATCGTTGGAATCTGTTGGAAACCGACCATACAACATTCATCCTGGGGTTGGTTTGTTTAACGCCGTCTTCGGGAGGAATGATAGGATATGGGTGTAGGTATCAGATAGACATTACTACACGAGCGAAATACTAGATACGTTTTAAAACAACATGTTGTAAAATTGATATATGAAAGACAGCAATCTGTTTCTTACATACCATACCATTTTACCATCAAATAGATGCATATCTTCTTTTCTCATGATCGCAGTGGCGTATTGATACATAACACATCGGTAATGTCATCCGGTTTATTGCTTGCTACCAATTCCTAGTGTGACCCTCCACAAGAAAGGTTTCCGTCATGTCTGTGGATTATTAAGGCGATGATGATAAACCAGATAAAATCAAAGCCAACAAGACGGGATTGGAGATGCGTACACTGGGAGCAATCAAACAGGAACTTGGCCACGCGAAGGTGAGACAACTCTCTACTCAAGCCATAAATTAATTTAAATCTGGAAATTTTTTTCAGCATTTAACGGCAAGCGAGTGGCGTTTTATATTGAAGCCACTTGAATTGTGGGACGTTGTCATGTTTAAAAATTCTGGATGAGGCAAACCAGCAGTGTTTAATGGTGTGAGCATCGATATACTCCGTGAGAGAATGATGCCGCTTAATTCGTCAGAGGTTTAGGAAAACAAAAATGACATAACTAGCCGGTGGCCTTTGTCTGTCCGCGGTTCTGCCAGTCTGTCGGAGACGTGCGACCAGTCTGGTAATGGTCATCTTGGAGCAGTTCATGTTAATGGCAACCGCTCTCTGTGTCGCTCCCATCTGCAGCATACCTATGGCTCTCTCCCTCTGGACAGCGGTCAGTCTTGGCATGTTCGTTGGTGTTAATCATCGCAACCAATGAAAGGGAACAGAAATTTATACCCGGAAATTGCACGATAATTGGGAAAGAATGTTTTAAAAAATTGCTGACAAACACCAACATCTCCCAAAATCCGCAAAGCACGTGCAGAGAACGACAGAGAACATGAAGGCTGTATTCGTGAGATGTGTTCTTTACTGTTTTTGAAAAGGTTGGCATCTTTGTTTCAAAGTGGCAAATCAGTTAATGTTGGTAACGTTTCTTTTGGCCCTCAGTTTATTTTAAACAATAAGTCCAGTTGTTAACCATTTGAACATACATGTATATGACAATGTACATACCGTTATTACAAAATTACTCTGAGAACCTGTTATTTCCACTAAGCCAAAGATTACGATAATCCTACTCAGTCTCTTAAACGTCGGCGTGTTACAGTTTATCGTAACCATGGGTCCAAATAAAACTTGTAAAACTATTCATGTTTGTATTTCTTTCAGCGACGTGTTGATGTCTTAAAGATGGACATCGAACACTGGGAATGGAAAGTTCTCCCACAAGCCATTGCAAGCGGCTTCCTGGATGACGTCACCACCCTCGATCTGGAGCTCCACAGCTGGATAAGAAATAAAACGTATATTTACGAGCCCCCAGCTGGAGTTTATTTGAGATATTTGAGAACACTGAGACAATTACATCAACTTGGTTTCCGTATTTTCTTAACACACAAGAATCTTGGATCCTGTCAATTCAGATCTAGATTTGGCATGATGAGGACCAGTTGTCAGGAGATCGCCATGGTTCAGACGAAAATGAAGTTTGGGATGCAATAAAGGGGTGGAGTTTGTTTAGGCTGCGAAACTCTTGAGTTGTAACAATCACTTTTATTATGACCGTATACCGTCAGTAACAGCCATTTTGAATTTTGCAACACCCGCCTCACATATTTCACATGAAAATTCGGGTACAGAAAATTCGTTATTCTACACTGTTTTGTGTTTTAATATCATTAATTGTGATGTGCAAATGTAACCGGGGTTGTGATGGCAATAAGAAGGTCCAACACAGGCTACGGGTGTGAGTCTTTATTGCCTTAGTAATATAGTGACACCCTGTAATGTACAAAACTATAAGATTATAAAACAGTAGTACACAGGTTTGATACACACATATATTAATACAATACAAAGCGACCTTTCAAAACATAGTCTATATTCATTACATCAACATGAACTTAATAATCAATGATACATAAAATCATTATCTTAACCCTGAAGTAAACAAACGATTTATCAAGGGCGATAACTCGATCCCGACATTACTGATAAGATTACAATATATAGATGGTCCATGGTTCTAAAATACAATGAACATTACAAATACAATTACCACTTTGTTGAAACTACTATATTAATTCATTAACTGATCATACATTTGGTATGATACACTATTTACAAAATATATTTCATGACACGACAAACATGTAAATTATCCGTACCCTGTGGGTGACACTGGGGTGTTTGTCCTCACCAGGCAGCCGCCTTTCGTGGTAGTCATGTAGCTTTCAGCACACTCCTATTTACAGAATCAACTATGAATAAATATAACATATAGAATACAATTGAGGAAATATAACTAACTACAAACTATCATACAATGATTGACATTGCATACAAATTCAGTATTTACACAATGATAAAAATCAAGGCATTCACTCAAACATTCACACTCAGAAAGAAGAAGGATGAAAAGCATTTATAGTGTTTACTTAGCCTTATTTAATTATTAACTTAGCAATATGGTGACACAATCACCATGCCAAAGATAAGCATATTAATAATACTGAAATAACATTCCACATAACTTAGATAACATAAGTTATATTATTAAATAAATACATAGATATTAGCTAGCAATTTTATAGATTACTAACCTTAATAATCGAATTATTTATCCCAGATCTGTCCAAGTCCAAATTGTTGACTGACTTCTGAATTGGTGTATTGTCAAGTGCAAGATGGATGAAAAGTGCACAGTTTGAACAAGCCAATGAAAACAAGGCTTGGGTTAGAACAAAGAGAAGAAACAATGACACAAACATAGACCAACCCAACCACCCTCTACATTATAAGTAAACTAATCCAGAAGCCCATAATAGATATTGAATTAAGAACCTACTTTCCTAACAACTTAAAATAATATTACAAACCTTAAGGACCTCAAATAGATAAAACATATATACAACAAAACTGTATGTTAATACTTGTGTCTGCCACATACTTCCCCCCACAGGAAAATGATGTCTCATCATTTGACCTTGCCGCTAACAAGATCGAGAAGAGTATCAGCCACTCGGTGTCGCTGATCCCGGAATCTATCATCAGCTAGCAGAGAATTGAGATAGTTGGCTCTGGCAAGCCATTCTGGATTTCCAGGATCACTTATGGCAGAAAGAACATATTCTCCACTTCTCATCCAGCTGGGCTGTGACCTGGTTCTGGTTGACCGCCGTGGCTGAGAAGCATCTTCTGGCTGCAAATTGGGTTGTTCTTCTCTGTCATCCTCACTACCTGTGGCCCCAGTCTCAGATCTGTCTTCATCTTGCTCGTTCTGGTGAACAGTATTATCAGTTGGCTCTTCTTCTTCCCTCCCTTCTTCAGTAGGAGTCTTAACTCCTTCTAAAGCTTCTTCTGACTCTCCTTCAGTTGGCCTTTCCACTGTGATCTCAGTAGGAACTGAAGGTTCTGAAGAACGGGTATAGCCAATTGCTGATTCCTCATCAGACAGATCTTCACTCGTTTCGACAGCCGTGTTCTTCCTCGGCTTAGGCACAGGTATTGGTACTTGTCGTCGTCTGGCTTTAATGGCTGGTTGCATTTGGACTGGCAAAGAACTAACTGGCAACAAGAGGTTACGATGTAGCACTCCTTTCCTTCCCTCTCCATTCTCCTTTCCAACCTCAAAGACAGGTATCGATGGATTGGGATGGCGCAGCACAACATATACATCTTCCTCCCATCTGTCAGCTAATTTATGTCTTCCATCAAAGGCCACAATCTTTACAAGGACTATATCGCCTGGTTCCAACATTGCAGCTCTGGCCCTCTGGTCATAATAAGTCTTCTGCTTGGCCTGAGATTTCTGAGATGCTGTTGAAGCTATGTCATAGGCTTGCTTCAAACGGTCCTTCAAGGATTTGGTGTACTCTGTTATGGACTTGCTTTCCTGAATTTCCATGTCCAATCCAAAAACAAGGTCAACTGGTAGTCTTGGATGTCTTCCAAACATCAAGAAGAAGGGAGCAACAGATGTTGACTCATGGCGGGTACAGTTGTAGGCGTGGACGAGTGGACCTACATGCGCCTTCCAGTTCTTCTTTCATTCGGTTCCAAAGTACCAAGCATGTTACAAAGAGTACGGTTGAACCGTTCTGTCATCCCATTGCCCATTGGATGGTATGGCGTTGTCCGGGACTTTTCTATTTTCAGAAGCTGGCACATCTTTATTTATTTTATTTTTTTATCAAAAGCAGGTGTTTATGTTCGATACATATGTAAAAAACAATACATAAAATGTGACAGTAAAAAAAAGAGCTCACTAACGTAACAGAATTAAACAAGCATGTGGCTACTCTTGGCGTGAAGAGATCAAAAATGAAGTAAATCGCTGAAAACTAAAGAGAAGCCGTTTGATCCAGTCATGCTGTCATGTGTTGAAATAATTTCAGTTGTATTTCCCCTTCAGCTCTTCCACTTTAGCCATATACTGCACTCGGGCCTCAGCTTGAGCAGTTCCTTTCTTGCTGTCCCAGGCATCCCACTTGGCTTTTCCTTTCAAGTCCAACATGCCAGGTCGGTCTGTATTACAATCACCAACTGTTGCTTGTTTGAATAGTGCATAGATCTCCAACATTTCGGAATCTGACGGTTAGGTCTTCAAGTTCTTTACTTCTTCAGCCGCCGTGTTGAATGCTGCTTCGTCTGCCATTGTGTAGGAATGAGAACAGTTACTTTGGCCCACTATGCTCTAACACTTAATGATGAATGGCGTGACGCTTTGGTTACAGCCTGTAGACATTATTTGTGTGATTTATCATTCAAAACCATGTAAATGCTCTAGTAAAATAACCAAATTACATAAAAAAACCTGAATTGTCCTGTAACCGGGGTTGTGATGGCAATAAGAAGGTCCAACACAGGCTACGGGTGTGAGTCTTTATTGCCTTAGTAATATAGTGACACCCTGTAATGTACAAAACAATAAGATTATAAAACAGTAGTACACAGGTTTGATACACACATATATTAATACAATACAAAGCGACCTTTCAAAACATAGTCTATATTCATTACATCAACATGAACTTAATAATCAATGATACATAAAATCATTATCTTAACCCTGAAGTAAACAAACGATTTATCAAGGGCGATAACTCGATCCCGACATTACTGATAAGATTACAATATATAGATGGTCCATGGTTCTAAAATACAATGAACATTACAAATACAATTACCACTTTGTTGAAACTACTATATTAATTCATTAACTGATCATACATTTGGTATGATACACTATTTCCAAATTATATTTCTTGACACGACAAACATGTAAATTATCCGTACCCTGTGGGTGACACTGGGGTGTTTGTCCTCACCAGGCAGCCGCCTTGCGTGGTAGCTATGTAGCTATCAGCACACTCCTATTTACAGAATCAACTATGAATAAATATAACATATAGAATACAATTGAGGATATATAACTAACTACAAACTATCATACAATGATTGACATTGCATACAAATTCAGTATTTACACAATGATAAAAATCAAGGCATTCACTCAAACATTCACACACAGAAAGAAGAAGGATGAAAAGCATTTATAGTGTTTACTTAGCCTTATTTAATTATTAACTTAGCAATATGGTGACACAATCACCATACCAAAGATAGCATGTTAATAATACTGAAATAACATTCCACATAACTTAGATAACATAAGTTATATTATTAAATAATTACATAGATATTAGCTAGCAATTTTATAGATTACTAACCTTAATAATCGAATTATTTATCCCAGATCTGTCCAAGTCCAAATTGTTGACTGACTTCTGAATTGGTGTATTGTCAAGTGCAAGATGGAACACAGTGCACAGTTTGAACAAGCCAATGAAAACAAGGCTTGGGTTAGATCAAAGAGAAGAAACAATGACACAAACATAGACTTACCCAACCACCCTCTACATTATAAGTAAACTAATCCAGAAGCCCATAATAGATATTGAATTAAGAACCTACTTTCCTAACAACTTAAAATAATATTACAAACCTTAAGGACCTCAAATAGATAAAACATATATACAACAAAACTGTATGTTAATACTTGTGTCTGCCACACAAATAACTAATAACTATATATACCGTTTGTAACGTTGTCATACTAATCGATTGACACACTATTTGAATAAAAAACTATGAACTTGTGTTATTGTATTTGTATGTGAATGGCGCCTTACATAAAATGTATCAAAACAAAAGACTTGGCATTCTCCTGTTCTACCTGAAGGCCTCCCTGGTCTGGTGGTCGAACGTCTGCCCGGAGAGCAGAAGGTCCGGGGTTCGAACCCCGGCCGCGTCGTACCAAAGGACGTTTAAAGATGGAACTTGTTGTTACCCTGCCTGAGGCTCGGTATTAAAGGACTGAGCTCGGAGTCAGTATACTGTGTTTGAGTGGGAAGTTCATATTAAACTGTATCACAGTGGTCTAACACTATAAAATCGACATTAGTTCGGACTAGTACAAGCAGCCACACACACCAGTGGATGCACGTCTCTATATAAATGCAATAATCTTGGACCGGACGTTAAACCCAATTTCACCTCATCTCACCTGGCCGACCTGCGCACTGCCTGTAAAATGAGTGGACATGCCGTGTGTGCTGTTGCCTGGTCAACATGAGAATACAAGATTCGATTTTATTGATGTAATTACTTCATTCCGCTTACAAGGACTGCTGTTTTTGATAATTTCTCAGTCAACAACTTTGACATTTTTCAAATAGTATTTAGCACCTGTGACATCTTCCGGTTCTTGTACAACGAAGATAAATCTCATATTCGAAGATGTTACAATATCTCAGGGATGATAAATATATTTATCTTCTCCTCAATTGTTCTCAAAATTTCTCGCTGTTGGGATTCGAGCTCTTACACGTCGCATGGCATATGCTTATGATTCGATACTCGCAACTGCTATGGTCACTGGGGCCACAGAAGGAAAAAGAAGGAAATATTTTGTAGTCTTACCCAATTTACAGTGTGAGATGAGTGAGCGAGTGAGTGAGTATGGTTTTACGCCGCTTTTAGCAATATTCCAGGAATATCACGGAGGGGACACCAGAAATGGGCTTCACACATTATACCCATGTCTGGATTCGAACCCGGATCTTCGGCGTGACGAGCGAACGCTTTAACCACAAGGCTACCCGACCGCCCCTTACAGTGTGAGATGAAATATGTTGTTTGGCTGTAGAAAGGGGTGTAGCTGTAGAAACACCTGAGTAGCTTTAGAAAGGGGTGTAGCTGCAGTAACACCTGGGTAGCTGTAGAAAGGGGTGTAGCTGTAGTAACAACTGAGTAGCTGTAGAAAGGGGTGTGGCTGTAATAACAACTGAGCAGATGTAGAAAGGGGTGTGGCTGTAATAACAACTGAGTAGCTGTAGAAAGGGGTGTGGCTACAGTAACAACTGAGTAGCTGTAGAAAGGGGTGTGGCTACAGTAACAACTGAGTAGCTGTAGAAAGGGGTGTGGCTGTAATAACAACTGAGCAGATGTAGAAAGGGGTGTGGCTGTAATAACAACTGAGTAGCTGTAGAAAGGGGTGTGGCTACAGTAACAACTGAGTAGCTGTAGAAAGGGGTGTAGCTGTAGTAACAACTGAGCAGATGTAGAAAGGGGTGTGGCTGTAATAACAACTGAGTAGCTGTAGAAAGGGGTGTGGCTACAGTAACAACTGAGTAGCTGTAAAAAGGGGTGTGGCTACAGTAACAACTGAGTAGCTGTAGAAAGGGGTATGGCTACAGTAACAACTGAGTAGCTGTAGAAAGGGGTGTAGCTGTAGTAACAACTGAGTAGCTGTAGAAAGGGGTGTGGCTGTAATAACAACTGAGCAGATGTAGAAAGGGGTGTGGCTGTAATAACAACTGAGTAGCTGTAGAAAGGGGTGTAGCTACAGTAACAACTGAGTAGCTGTAGAAAGGGGTGTGGCTGTAATAACAACTGATTAGCTGTAGAAAGGGGTGTGGCTACAGTAACAACTGAGTAGCTGCAGAAAGGGGTGTGGCTACAGTAACAACTGAGTAACTGTAGAAAGGGGTGTAGCTGTAGTAACAACTGAGTAGCTGTAGAAAGGGGTGTGGCTACAGTTACAACTGAGTAGCTGTAGAAAGGGGTGTGGCTACAGTAACAACTGAGTAGCTGTAGAAAGGGGTATGGCTACAGTAACAACTGAGTAGCTGTAGAAAGGGGTGTAGCTGTAGTAACAACTGAGTAGCTGTAGAAAGGGGTGTGGCTGTAATAACAACTGAGCAGATGTAGAAAGGGGTGTGGCTGTAATAACAACTGAGTAGCTGTAGAAAGGGGTGTGGCTACAGTAACAACTGAGTAGCTGTAGAAAGGGGTGTGGCTGTAATAACAACTGAGCAGATGTAGAAAGGGGTGTGGCTGTAATAACAACTGAGTAGCTGTAGAAAGGGGTGTGGCTACAGTAACAACTGAGTAGCTGTAGAAAGGGGTGTAGCTGTAGTAACAACTGAGTAGCTGTAGAAAGGGGTGTGGCTGTAATAACAACTGAGCAGATGTAGAAAGGGGTGTGGCTGTAATAACAACTGAGTAGCTGTAGAAAGGGGTGTGGCTACTGTAACAACTGAGTAGCTGTAGAAAGGGGTGTGGCTACAGTAACAACTGAGTAGCTGTAGAAAGGGGTTTGGCTACAGTAACAACTGAGTAGCTGTAGAAAGGGGTGTAGCTGTAGTAACAACTGAGTAGCTGTAGAAAGGGGTGTTGCTGTAATAACAACTGAGCAGATGTAGAAAGGGGTGTTGCTGTAATAACAACTGAGTAGCTGTAGAAAGGGGTGTGGCTACAGTAACAACTGAGTAGCTGTAGAAAGGGGTGTGGCTACTGTAACAACTGAGTAGCTGTAGAAAGGGGTGTGGCTACAGTAACAACTGAGTAGCTGTAGAAAGGGGTTTGGCTACAGTAACAACTGAGTAGCTGTAGAAAGGGGTGTAGCTGTAGTAACAACTGAGTAGCTGTAGAAAGGGGTGTTGCTGTAATAACAACTGAGCAGATGTAGAAAGGGGTGTTGCTGTAATAACAACTGAGTAGCTGTAGAAAGGGGTGTGGCTACAGTAACAACTGAGTAGCTGTAGAAAGGGGTGTGGCTGTAATAACAACTGAGCAGATGTAGAAAGGGGTGTGGCTGTAATAACAACTGAGTAGCTGTAGAAAGGGGTGTGGCTACTGTAACAACTGAGTAGCTGTAGAAAGGGGTGTGGCTACAGTAACAACTGAGTAGCTGTAGAAAGGGGTTTGGCTACAGTAACAACTGAGTAGCTGTAGAAAGGGGTGTAGCTGTAGTAACAACTGAGTAGCTGTAGAAAGGGGTGTTGCTGTAATAACAACTGAGCAGATGTAGAAAGGGGTGTTGCTGTAATAACAACTGAGTAGCTGTAGAAAGGGGTGTGGCTACAGTAACAACTGAGTAGCTGTAGAAAGGGGTGTAGCTGTAGTAACAACTGAGTAGCTGTAGAAAGGGGTGTGGCTGTAATAACAACTGAGCAGATGTAGAAAGGGGTGTGGCTGTAATAACAACTGAGTAGCTGTAGAAAGGGGTGTGGCTACTGTAACAACTGAGTAGCTGTAGAAAGGGGTGTAGCTGTAGTAACAACTGAGTAGCTGTAGAAAGGGGTGTGGCTACAGTAACAACTGAGTAGCTGTAGAAAGGGGTGTGGCTACAGTAACAACTGAGTAGCTGTAGAAAGGGGTGTGGCTACAGTAACAACTGAGTAGCTGTAGAAAGGGGTGTTGCTGTAGGAACAACTGAGTAGCTGTAGACTTCCAAGTTAAAACAAGAAGTTAACCTGAAAATCTATACGTAAAAGAATTCAGTGTGACACTAACAGACAAACAAAGAAATTTATACAATCAACAACTGTGTTATTAAAATTAACTAGATGAACTACAAATGAATACAAATTGCTGCAAATGAGACAGGCAAGCGTTTGTCAACTTATACATATTCAATACCTTCTAAAAACTTCCATACCATGCTGGATTAGTGCATAGCTTTTCTCGAAAGTTCCAGACCACGCTGGATTAGTGCATAAGTTTTCCGCAAAGACCTGCTCTAGCGCATTAGGTCTTGTTTTTTGTTCTTCGTTTATTTTATGAAGATCAGTCAGTGGATTGTGGTCAGTGTACACTTGAATACCAAACAAAGTAGTACCACAATTCACTTCAAATTGTTGCAAGCCTAACAACAGAGCAAGAGTTTCTTTGTCAGTTGTGGAATAATGTGTTTGATGTTTGTCAAATTTTCCTGAATAATAACATACAGGAGTCTGATTCACCTTCTTGTGAGTGAGTGAGTATGGTTTTACGCCGCTTTTAGCAATATTCCAGCAATATCACGGCGGGGGTCACCAGAAATGGGTGAAATGTGAGAAATGTGAGAAATCTTGACAAAACTAACGGCTGTAACCAGACATACCCAGAAATATCTCAAGTTCCTTTTTGTTTGGAGGAACTTGAATTTTGAAATAGCTTCCACCTTTAATTGAATTGGCTGTACAATTTGTAGGTCATATCATAGGCCAAGGGAACTAAAATTACAGCCAACTTGGTGAGTCTCTCGAAAGAAGGCACGTATCCTCTTCACGTGTTCGTCCCGCTCCATGGAATGAGAGATGACATCATTGATGTAGGTTTCGACACCCTCAATATTGGCTGTAATGTTGTGGGGTCACTGGAAGGTCACTGGAGCGTTCTTGAACCCAATGGCATAACTTTACATTGATAGATAGAGTCCACCTGGAGCAACAAACCTGAGACTCGCATGACACGCTCGGTGAGTGGAAACTGCCAACACCCCTTGAAAAGGTCAAACTTGCTGCAAACTTGGCTTGACCGATTCTATCGATGCAATCATCTATTCTTGGTATTGGGTAAGTCAGGTTTAGAACAGCGTTCACCCGTTTCATGTCTGTACTGCATCTGTAACTACCATCAGGCTTCACTATGACTTGGTTCCATAGTGTCATGGTCCAGCATGTACTGAACTTCCTTCTTCAGAGCAAAGCTTGAAAGGATTCATCCGGAAGTTATGTTGTTTCACAGGCATGGCGTCCTCTACATCTACATCAAGATATGTTTATAATGTGATTGTGACAGTGGTTAGAGGTTGTTGTGGGAGGAAGGTCAAAAGCAGAGTTGCACAGCTGTTTTGAAAAACGTTAGTAAGGGATGGGAGATGATGTAGCTGTAGCAGGAGTAGTAGTTTCAGTTGCAGCAGTTCGGTCCTTAGTTCTTGTTTGATCCTTTTCACAGTGCCCCACGCGCAGTAAATGACACTTTGCGTCGTATGAATGGCAAGGCTTTTATCAATGCATTGTATTAACACGACATTCACAAGCAAATATATTGACATCATCATGTTTATAATGTCATAATTATATTCTTGTTCATTCTTGTTCTATTTTTTTTGCGATAGACGCTTTTGAAAACATTTCTATACTCTTTGATAATGTACCCATGGCAACTGTGTATTCAAAGGCGATATTCAAACACTTTCATTCACTGAGCTATCTGGGTGAGTGACAGTGTTACAATCGATTGGTGAGCATGCAGCAGTTTAAAACGAATATCCCACTCAGACACAGTATACTGACCCCGAGCCAGCCAGTCCTTGTTATAGCCCCTTAATGCCGAGCGCCAGGCAGGGTAACAACAAGTCCCATCTTTTAAAGTCTTTGGTATGAATCCGGGAATCGAACCCCGGACCTTCCGCTCTCCGAGTGGACGCTCTACCACTAGACTACGGAGGCGGTCAGGTCGACAAGGAAATAGACAAGATTTTTGTTTTGATAAACATTGTATGTAAGACGTCATTCACATACGGTGCGGTGAAATGGGGTTTAACGTAGCGTCCCTTGATTATTGCACTTAATATGCCACGTGCATGCAGGTGTATGTGGCTGCTTGTACTAGTCCGGACTGATGCCGATTTATAGTGCTGGCCCACTGGCGCACATGAATACCCCACTCAGACACAAGTATACTGACTCCGAGCAGACAAGTCCTTGTTGTATCCTCAACATGCCGAGGGTCAGGCAGGGTAACAACAAGTTCCATCGTTTAACGTCTTTGGTTGGACGTGGCCGGGGATCGAACCCCGGACATTCCGCTCTCCGGACGGACGCTCTACCACTAGACCAGGAAAATGACAATATGTTCGTTTTGATATTTTGTATGTAAGGCGTCATTCACATACAAATACATTAACAGCATATTTATAATGTCAATTAAACTATGACAATGCTGACACATTTCATCAATGATGACGTGACGTAACAAACAAATTTCACTAATTGGAAGCTAACTATACATTTAAAAAACGTATTATTGAGAAATATTTATCTTTTATTCAAATATTGTGTCAACCGATGAATTGACAAATCAACGACTATATATACAACTGATTATTACAACTCAAGAGTTTCGCAGCCTAAACAAGCTCCACCCCTTTATTACATTCCCATCTTAATCTTCGTCTGAACCATAGCGATCTCCTGACAACTGGTCCTCATCATGCCAAATCTAGATCTGAATTGACAGGATCCAAGATTCTTGTGTGTTAAGAAAATACGGAAACCAAGTTGATGTAGTTGTCTCAGTGTTCTCAAATATTCCAAATAATCTTTAGCTGGGACCTCGTAAATATACGTTTTATTTCTTATCCAGCTGTGGAGCTCCAGATCGAGGGTGGTGACGTCATCCAGGAAGCCGCTTGCAATGGCTTGTGGGAGAACTTTCCATTCCCAGTGTTCAATGTCCATCTTTAAGACATGGACACGTCGCTGAAAGAAATACTAACATGAATAATATCACAAGTGTGATGTGGACCCATCGTGATGATAAACCGATATTTAAAAGACTGAGAAGGATGATTGTCAATTTTGGTGGAAATAACTGAGTTCTAAGTTAATTCATAAACATGCAATTATTTGTTTTACTTTCAAACACAAGAACGACTAAATGATCGAAAAAGGCCAACGTCAACTTCATGGGCAATGAGAATATATATATATCAGCGAACGTCATCGATGGCCTATGCCTCCCTATCATATCCCAGACGTGTTAATTTGGGGAAGGTCTTGGCTCATTGCTGGCCATGGCATTCTAGGGATGTTATGCTGCTGGAGGTGAGCATTGACCAACACGTCTTGCAAACGGGACAATAAAAGGTGTCAGTATGTTTCCCGATAGTACTGTCCACTGACCCTTTCTTACCCAATATGGAGTGGGGCTCGCTCAGTCATAGTGATGCCACCCCACATCATAACCGCTAAATATGTCATGAGGTTGACATTGGCTTGACGTTCATTTCGACGTCTCTAGACACGACCGCGCCTATCAAGAAGTGCAAAGTGCTTCGGGACAGGTGACCAGCGACTATTATCTCAGCCTCGTCGTTGACCTGCATGTAGACCTGGTTTAGGATCAATCGATACGAACTCTTACCTTTTTGTTTTTTAAGTTGTATCATTTTATTTTTATAATCGACTAAAGAATTAAGTGACTGTGCGTCATCACTTGGCCACAGTTATCTCATTTTGGTTTTCCTAAACCTCACGGAGTATATCGATGCTCACATCATTAAACACTGCTGGTTGGCCTCATCCAGGATTTGAAAACATGACAACGTCACACAAATGACTTCAATATATAACGCCACCTGCTTGTCGTTAAATTGCTGAAAAAAAATCAATAAATTTCCAGATTTAAATGAAGATATGGTTTGAGTAGAGAGTTGTCTCACCTTTGCGTGGCCAAGTTCCTGTTTGATTGCTCCCAGTGTACGCATCTCCCATCCCGTCTTGTTGGCTGGGATGTGAACATTAACGTCCGACAATCCTATGCTATGGAAAAATACTCGCTCACTCCTTCTGTAGCTCTTTTGTGTCATGCTGGAATTTGAGAAAATATATTGGGTCGTATGGTCTAGAAAGAAATCAGGCTGTAACATAAAAGGAAAAACATACTCAGATACCTTGTTCCAATTTAAGAGCATGGTTCGGAGCATATTTTCTTACACACCTGACATGTGTGTGAGATCGAGTTCCGGAACCGTCATTGGCTTCTCCATGGTGATGACCCAAGGTCAGATTATGACGGATCTATTTTCCTGATTGTAACTCACTGATATGTTTCCTACGTCTGTATCAAAACTTTGTAGTTTTATTGAGTTCAATAAATGTTCTTTGAGGTTGAACAGTTTGAATCATCATCATCGCCTTGATAATCCACAGACATGGCGGAAACCTTTCTTGTGGAGGGTCACACTAGGAATGGGTAGTTAGCAATAAGCCGGATGACATTACCGTTGTTTTATGTATTAATACACCGCTGCGATCATGAGAATAGAGAAGATATGCATCTATTTGATGGTAAAATGGTATGGTATGTAAGACACAGATTGCTGCAGCCGTTGTAAGATAACTGGTACTTGACACACTCGTTTTAGAAATATCTTACAGACACCCGAAATCATCCCCCATACACACATCCCGGTGAATATTGTATGGTCGGTCCCCAACACATGCAAACGATGTGCGCCAGGCCAACGTATAATCTAACTATGATGATTATTCAGTTTATTGTGCTATAACTTCAGTGGCATTGGAAGATGACAAGAAACACTAAACCGTTACGTACCTCGGATCAAATGAATGAACTTCACACCCGTACTGCTTTGCTATAGCATCGTCAAAACTAAAGTCATTTTTTATCCTGAAACAGAACACATCTGCTTAAATAGAAGTTAAAGAAGACACGACACTTGCTGGAGGGACTGTATAGTAATGTGAAGTGTTTACCCGACAGAGTAGGCCTGACACTTTCTGAAGGGTTGCAGAGTAATGTGAAATATTTACCCGACAGAGTAGACATGACACTTGCTGGATGGGATGTATTGTATTGTGAAGTGTTTACCCGACATAGTAGACTAGACACTTGCTGGATGGGTTGTATATTAATGTGAAGTGTTTACCCGACAGAGTAGACTAGACACTTGCTGGAAGGGCTGTATAGTAATTTGAAGTGTTTACCCGACAGAGTAGACTAGACACTTGCTGGAGGGGCTGTATAGTAATTTGAAGTGTTTACCCGACAGAGTAGACTAGACACTTGCTGGAGGGGCTGTATAGTAAATTTCAAGTGTTTACCCGACAGAGTAGACAAGACACTTGCTGGAGGAGCTGTATAGTAAATGTGAAGTGTTTACCAGACAGAGTAGACGAGACACTTGCTGGTGGGACTGTATAGTAATGTGTAGTGTTTGCCCGAGAGAGTAGACTAGACACTTGCTGGAGGGACTGTATAGTTATGTGGAGTGTTTACCCGACAGAGTAGACTAGACGCTTGCTGGAGGGACTGTATAGTAATGTGAAGTGTTTACCTGACAGAGTAGACTAGACACTTGCTGGTGGGACTGTATAGTAATGTGAAGTATTAACTGGACAGAGTAGACTAGACACTTGCTGGAGGGACTGTATAGTAATGTGAAGTGTTTACCTGACAGAGTAGACAAGACACTTGCTGGAGGGACTGTATAGTACTGTAAAGTGTTTACCCGACAGAGTAGAATAGACACTTGCTGGAGGGGCTGTATAGTAATGTGAAGTGTTTACCCGACAGAGTAGACAAGACACTTGCTGGAGGGACTGTATAGTTATGTGGAGTGTTTACATGACAGAGTAGACTAGACACTTGCTGGTGGGACTGTATAGTAATGTGAAGTATTAACCGGACAGAGTAGACAAGACACTTGCTGGAGGGGCTGTATATTAATGTGAAGTGTTTACCCGACAGAGTAGACAAGATACTTGCTGGAAGGGCTGTATAGCAATGTGAAGTGTTTACCCGACAGAGTAGACTAGACACTTGCTGGAGGGGCTGTATAGTAAATTTGAAGTGTTTACCCGACAGAGTAGACAAGACACTTGCTGGAGGGGTTGTACAGTAAATGTGAAGTGTTTACCCGACAGAGTAGACGAGACACTTGCTGGTGGGACTGTATAGTAATGTGTAGTGTTTACCCGAGAGAGTAGACTAGACACTTGCTGGAGGGACTGTATAGTTATGTGGAGTGTTTACATGACAGAGTAGACTAGACACTTGCTGGTGGGACTGTATAGTAATGTGAAGTATTAACCGGACAGAGTAGACAAGACACTTGCTGGAGGGGTTGTATAGGAATGTGAAGTGTTTACCGGACAGAGTAGACTAGACACTTGCTGGAGGGGCTGTATATTAATGTGAAGTGTTTACCCGACAGAGTAGACAAGATACTTGCTGGAAGGGCTGTATAGCAATTTGAAGTGTTTACCCGACAGAGTAGACTAGACACTTGCTGGAGGGGCTGTATAGTAAATTTGAAGTGTTTACCCGACAGAGTAGACAAGACACTTGCTGGAGGGGTTGTATAGTAAATGTGAAGTGTTTACCCGACAGAGTAGACTAGACACTTGCTGGAGGGACTGTATAGTTATGTGGAGTGTTTACATGACAGAGTAGACTAGACACTTGCTGGTGGGACTGTATAGTAATGTGAAGTATTAACCGGACAGAGTAGACTAGACGCTTGCTGGAGGGGTTGTATAGGAATGTGAAGTGTTTACCGGACAGAATAGACTAGACACTTGCTGGAGGGGCTGTATAGTAAATGTGAAGTGTTTACCTGACAGAGTAGACTAGACACTTGCATGTGGGACTGTATAGTAATGTGAAGTATTTACCCGACAGAGTAGACTAGACACTTGCTGGAGGGACTGGATAGTAATGTGAAGTATTTACCGTATAAAGTAGACTAGATACTTCCTGGTGGGACTGGATAGTAATATGAAGTGTTTACATGACAGAGTAGACTAGACACTTGCTGGAGGGACTGTATAGTAATGTGAAGTGTTTACCTGACAGAGTAGACAAGACACTTGCTGGAGGGACTGTATAGTACTGTGAAGTGTTTACCCGACAGAATAGAATAGACACTTGCTGGAGGGGCTGTATAGTAATGTGAAGTGTTTACCCGACAGAGTAGACTATACACTTGCTGGAGGGGTTGTATAGTAATGAGAAGTATTTACCCGACAGAGTAGGCTAGACACTTGCTGGAGGGGTTGTATAGTAATGTGAAGTATTTACCCGACAGAGTAGACTAGACACTTGCTGGTGGGACTGTATAGAAATGTGAAGTGTTTACCTGACAGAGTAGACTAGACACTTGCTGAGGGACGGTATAGTAATGTGAAGTGTTTACCTGACAGAGTAGACAAGACACTTGCTGGAGGGACTGTATAGTACTGTGAAGTGTTTACCCGACAGAATAGAATAGACACTTGCTGGAGGGGCTGTATAGTAATGTGAAGTGTTTACCCGACAGAGTAGACTAGACACTTGCTGGAGGGGTTGTATAGTAATGAGAAGTATTTACCCGACAGAGTAGGCTAGACACTTGCTGGAGGGGTTGTATAGTAATGTGAAGTATTTACCCGACAGAGTAGAATAGACACTTGCTGAGGGACGGTATAGTAATGTGAAGTGTTTACCTGACAGAGTAGACTAGACACTTGCTGGAGGGACTGTATAGTTATGTGGAGTGTTTACATGACAGAGTAGACTAGACACTTGCTGGTGGGACTGTATAGTAATGTGAAGTATTAACCGGACAGAGTAGACAAGACACTTGCTGGAGGGGTTGTATAGTAATGTGAAGTATTTACCCGACAGAGTAGACTAGACACTTGCTGGAGGGGTTGTATAGTAATGAGAAGTATTTACCCGACAGAGTAGACTAGACACTTGATGGAGGGACTGCATAGTAATGTGAAGTATTTACCCGACAGAGTAGACAAGACACTTGCTGGAGGGGTTGTATAGTAATGTGAAGTGTTTACCGGACAGAGTGGACTAGACACTTGCTGAGGGACGGTATAGTAATGTGAAGTGTTTACCTGACAGAGTAGACTAGACACTTGCTGGAGGGACTGTATAGTAACGTGAAGTGTTTACCTGACAGAGTAGACTAGACACTTGCTGGAGGTACTGTATAGTAATGTGAAGTGTTTACCTGACAGAGTAGACTAGACACTTGCTGGAGGGACTGTATAGTACTGTGAAGTGTTTACCCGACAGAGTAGAATAGACACTTGCTGGAGGGGCTGTATAGTAATGTGAAGTGTTTACCCGACAGAGTAGACTAGACACTTGCTGGAGGGGTTGTATAGTAATGAGAAGTATTTACCCGACAGAGTAGACTAGACACTTGCTGGTGGGACTGTATAGTAATGTGAAGTGTTTACATGGCAGAGTAGACAAGACACTTGCTGGAGGGGTTGTATAGTAATGTGAAGTGTTTACCCGACAGAGTAGACAAGACACTTGCTGGAGGGGTTGTATAGTAATGTGAAGTGTTTACCGGACAGAGTGGACTAGAAACTTGCTGGAGGTACTGTATAGTAATGTGAAGTGTTTACCTGACAGAGTAGACTAGACACTTGCTGGAGGGCTGTATAGTAATGTGGATTATTAACCCGACAGAGTAGACTAGACACGTGTATTTACAGTATTTACCCGGCAGAGTAGACCAGGCAATTGTTGGGGGGCCTGTATTGCTGATCGTGACACACTTCCCATCCACCGTCCTTCAGTTTACCCAGGCGGACGATGTTTCTACACAGCACACCAACATTATCCACATACCTAAAATGAAAACCCAATTATGAGTCTGTAAAATAAAACACTTCAGCGAAATAACCTTTTTTTTCATTTCTTCCATGGTAGTTTTCGACTGGGAACAAAATCTTGAGAACTATATGTTTACCTCCTAAAAGTTCATTCATTTACACGCCAAAAGGAGTATCTGTGATACAGACAATTAATAGTAGATAATCTCTGACACAGTGAGGTCAGACAGGACGGTCATATTTACAGGTGAGAGAGGAGGGTTACCTGTGATACAGACAAGTGAAATAGGAGGGTTACCTGTGATACAGACAGATGCGAAAGGAGGGTTACCTGTGATACAGACAGGTGAGAGTGGAGGGTTACCTGTAATACAGACAGGTTAGAGTGGAGGGTTACCTGTAATACAGTCAGGTGAAAGGGGAGGGTTACCTGGGATACAGACAGGTGAAAGGGGAGGGTCACCTGTGATACAGACAGGTCAGAGTGCAGGTTGGCTGTGACACAGGCAGGTGAGAGAGGAGGGTTACCTGTGATCCAGACAGGTGAGAGAGAGGAGGTTACCTGTGACACAGGCGGGTAAGATATGAGGTTACCTGTGAGAGAGGAGGGTTACCTGTGATACAGACAAGTGAAATAGGAGGGTTACCTGTGATACAGACAGGTGAGAGGGGAGGGTTACCTGTAATACAGTCAGGTGAGAGGGGAGGGTTATCTGGGATACAGGCAGGTGAGAGAGGAGGGTTACCTGTGATCCAGACAGGTGAGAGAGAGGAGGTTACCTGTGACACAGGCGGGTCAGATATGAGGGCTTACTTGTGATACAGTTAGGTGAGAGATAAGGGTCAGACAGGACGGTCATATTTACAGGTGAGAGAGGAGGGTTACCTGTGATACAGACAAGTGAAATAGGAGGGTTACCTGTGATACAGACAGATGAGAAAGGAGGGTTACCTGTGATACAGACAGGTGAGAGTGGAGGGTTACCTGTAATACAGTCAGGTGAGAGGGGAGGGTTACCTGTGATACAGACAGGTGAAATAGGAGGGTTACCTGTGATACAGACAGATGAGAGAGGAGGGTTACCTGTGATACAGACAGGTTAGAGTGGAGGGTTACCTGTAATACAGTCAGGTGAAAGGGGAGGGTTACCTGGGATACAGACAGGTGAAAGGGGAGGGTCACCTGTGATACAGACAGGTCAGAGTGCAGGTTGCCTGTGACACAGGCAGGTGAGAGAGGAGGGTTACCTGTGATCCAGACAGGTGAGAGAGAGGAGGTTACCTGTGACACAGGCGGGTAAGATATGAGGTTACCTGTGAGAGAGGAGGGTTACCTGTGATACAGACAAGTGAAATAGGAGGGTTACCTGTGATACAGACAGGTGAGAGGGGAGGGTTACCTGTAATACAGTCAGGTGAGAGGGGAGGGTTATCTGGGATACAGGCAGGTGAGAGAGGAGGGTTACCTGTGATCCAGACAGGTGAGAGAGAGGAGGTTACCTGTGACACAGGCGGGTCAGATATGAGGGCTTACTTGTGATACAGTTAGGTGAGAGATAAGGGTCAGACAGGACGGTCATATTTACAGGTGAGAGAGGAGGGTTACCTGTGATACAGACAAGTGAAATAGGAGGGTTACCTGTGATACAGACAGGTGAGAGAGGAGGGTTACCTGTGATATAGACAGGTGAGAGAGAGAAGGGTTACCTGTGATTCAGACAGGTGAGAGAGGAGGGTTACCTGTGATACAGACAGGTGAGAGAGGAGGGTTACCTGTGATACAGACAGGTGAGAGAGGAGGGTTACCTGTGATATAGACAGGGGAGAGAGGAGGGTTACCTGTGATACAGACAGGTGAGAGAGGAGGGTTACCTGTGATACAGACAAGTGAAATAGGAGGGTTACCTGTGATACAGACAGGTGAGAGAGGAGGGTTACCTGTGATATAGACAGGTGAGAGAGGAGGGTTATCTGTGATATAGACAGGGGAGAGAGGAGGTTACCTGCGATACAGATAGGTGAGAGAGGAGGGTTATCTGTGATACAGACAGGTGAGAGAGGAGGGTTACCTGTGATATAGACAGGGGAGAGAGGAGGGTTACCTGTGATTCAGACAGGTGAGAGAGGAGGGTTACCTGTGATACAGACAGGTGAGAGAGGAGGGTTACCTGTGATACAGACAGGTGAGAGAGGAGGGCAGCCTGTGATACGGACAGGTGAGAGAGGAGGTTACCTGTGATATAGACAGGGGAGAGAGGAGGGCAGCCTGTGATACGGACAGGTGAGAGAGGAGTTACCTGTGATATAGACAGGGGAGAGAGGAGAGCAACCTGTGATACAGACAGGGGAGAGAGGAGGTTACCTGGGATATAGACAGGGGAGAGAGGAGGTTATCTGTGATATAGACAGGGGAGAGAGGAGGGTTACATGTGATATAGACAGGGGAGAGAGGGGGGTTACCTGTGATATAGACAGGGGAGAGAGGAGGGCAACCTGTGATATAGGCAGGTGAGAGAGGAGGGTTACCTGTGATATAGACAGAGGAGAGAGGAGGGTTACCTGTGATATAGACAGGGGAGAGAGGAGGGTTACCTGTGATATAGACAGGTGAGAGAGGAGGGTTATCTGTGATACAGACAGGGGGGAGAGGAGGGTTACATGTGATATAGACAGGGGAGAGAGGAGGGTTACCTGTGATATAGACAGGGGAGAGAGGAGGGTTACCTGTGATACAGACAGGGGGGAGAGGAGGGTTACATGTGATATAGACATTGGGGAGATAGGAGGGTTACCTGTGATACAGACAGGTGAGAGAGGATGGCAACCTTTGATATAGACAGGTGAGAGAGGAGGGTTACATGTGATATAGACAGGGGAGAGAGGAGGGTTATCTGTGATATTTTTATATGTGATATAGACAGGTGAGAGAGGATGGCAACCTGTGATGTAGACAGGTGAGAGAGGAGGTTACCTGTGATATAGACAGAGGAGAGAGGAGGGTTACCTGTGATACAGACAGATGATAGAGGAGGTTACCTGTGATACAGAGAGTTTAGGGAGGAGGGTTACATGTGATACATATTAGAAGAAATGATATTTTATATATTTACCCGTGATAAAGAGCCGCTATTTCTTCGTATGTCATGCTCTTTAGGATGTCATCCGATGGTATTTTAAAAGGGTCTTCGTTGTTTATTAATTCGTGGTTGGATTCTTTTTTAAGAAGTTTCCTGTCATGCCCTTCCTGAAAGAGAAAAGATCTCGTGACAGTGACGGTCGACCACCGAGTTCGCACAAACAATTGGTCATAACAAACAAATCATCTGTTCGTTGCTAAACATTTGGAACTGCCTCCGTGGTCTAGAGGTAGAGCGTCCGCCCTTAGAGCGGAAGGTCCTGGGTTCGATCCCCGGCCGCGTCATACCAAAAGACGTTAAAATATGGTACTTGTTGTTACCCTGTCTGGCGCTCGGCATTAAGGTGCTAAAACAAGGACTGGTCGGCTCGGGGCTGCGGCATGGTATCTCAGTGGGCTATCACTATAAATCGGCATCAGTCCGGACTAGTACAGGCAGCCACACACACACACGTGCATGCACGTCGCTATATAAGTGCAATAATCTTGGACGCGACCTTCGCCTCACCAAACATTTGGCAGTTTCCTAACCTGTGTCCTCTTGTGGTGACGCCTTAACCATCAGACAAATAATCACCAATGTAATTTTTTGCTGCTCGGATAAATGTTTCCATATAATTATGTGTCATGATATGGTTACATTATCAGAGTGGGAGAGTAGGGTTTAGAGCCGCTTTAAATATTATTCACGTTTACCACTGTCGTGAAAGCCAGTAGCACAGCTAGCCAGACCTAGACACATAATCAGGCGATCTGCGATTCGAACCCACGATCACAGATTCCTGGGGTGTCCGAGTGGTCAGAAAGCTAATATTCCAGGTATATTACTCTTGATTTATCTTGAATTTGAACCACGATCAGCGTATCCTGGTACAGCTAAGAGGCCCAACTCTGAACAGCAAATTTCGGCGTCGTAGATCACTTACCCCTGACTCATTATTGTTAAATGTAAAGAGACAGTGACTAATGAACGCTCGCCTGGAGGGGACCCTGGGTTCGAATCCCATTTGGATTCAATAAATATTGACGATCGTTCTGCAGTTATATACTCACCTTGAATATACGCCTTTTTTCATAATCTTGCCGACTGAGAGCATCCTCTTTGTCGTGTTTTGTCTCTATGGCTAACTTTTTCACAGTTACAAGGAAAATAAATGCTCCAATCAGTCCAACTGTCCATTTGCATACACTCCCTTTGGTAAACCTGGAATAAAAAAGGAAAAGTGTTGATAAGATCCTGTCTTATGGGTAAAAGTGCATCACGCGCACAACAGAAGCTAAACTGAGTGGCAAAAGAAAGCATACCGAGTTCGTTCATTATGTAATTGGAAATTGAAGACTTTTGAAATATTGAAAAGTTTGAAATATTGAAAAACTTCAAACTTCAAAGATAAGATGTACATGATACTCATTGACAGTTGTGGATTATGCGAGCAAATTTCGTAAATAAACTGACGTCCAAAAGAAACTTTACCAGAGTTTGAAATCGCTCTTGCTAAAAAAGAACAAAACATACATGCATGAAGTAAAGTGTATTGAGAAGATCAATATATCAACATAATCAACACTGAAAATGACAATCATACCACGACCGAGAATGACGTCAGAGCCCCCCAAAGTTGGGTGTGGTACAAAACTCGAGCTTTCAGAATCATGGACAATAGGCAGAGTACATAAACAAACGCTCACGTTCAATAACAAGTCATTAGTAGTGTGTGTGACCACCAAATGCCTCAATACACGCAAAAACTCTTCGACGCACAGAAAAAGTCAGTCGTCTGATGAGGTCACCTGGGATATGACGCCATTCTTCTTGGGGGGCCAAGATCAGTTCTTGCCGGTTGGCTGGAGAGTGTGGTCGTTGTCGAACACGACGATCCATCAAGTCCAAGAGGTGTTCTATGGGGGACATGTCGGGTGAGCGTGCAGGCCACGGCAGGGCGTTGACGTTGTTGGCTGCGTGACAATTCTGGCTGTATGGGCTCTAGCGTTGTCATGCTGATAAATGACACCACGTGGCTGCATTTGGAGAAATGGTAGGACAACTGGACGAAGAATGTTATCCATGTAAAGCTGAGCTGTCAAGCTTCCGTCAACGATGACCAGCGGTGTCCTCTCATGGCCACAGGTCCCTCCCTACACCATGACACTCCCTCCACCTTTTGGTACGACCTCCTGCACGCAACACGCCGCCGTTCGTTCACCCCTTCGGCGGTAAACACGTTGTCTTCCATCAGCCCTAAACATACAGAATCGACTTTCGTAAGTGAAGACAACCCTCTGCCAGTCACGTCGTTGCCAACGTCGTACAGTCCGGGCCCATCTCAATCGCAGACGACGATGTTGCGCTGGCAACAGCTGTCCTCAGTATGGTCTAAAAGCCCTGATTCCATGAGCCCTGAGTCTCCTGGCCACTGTCTGTCGACTAACCCTGTGACCTAAGGCATTTGTCGCCGATGACGTCACTGTCAGGAAACGATTTCGGAGGTGCAAGGTACGCAAGTACCGGTCACCATGGGGCGTGGTCACCCTGGGTCTGCCTGTTCTTGGCCTGTCAGCGGTCCCCCCTGTCTGTCTGTAACGTTGCATCAAGTTGGTAACGGCAACACGGGAGCAACCGAAGGTTCGTGCAATATGGGCGTGGGTGGCTCCAATCTGTACCATACCCAAGGCTCGTTCACGTTGTTCGACTGTGAGTCGTGTCATTTCTTTTGTGTTTTTTTTTAATCACTGTGGATGTCTGACTTGCCGTTGCAATCGTTTTATACCCTTATCCGCACGTGCATTTGCAGTTGTCCGTGGTGCACGTGTTTTTCGCGTGTTATCTCGCATACATGTAACAGACGATTAACATTTTCTGCATACACTATTATTGTGTTTTAGATAGACTTCAATGAAAAAAAAAATACTTTGTCTGAAATTTATATTTTCAGTTGTTAAAGTTTCTTTTGGACGTCAGTTTTGTTCAAAGTTGTAAATCAAATTATACTTTTAACACAAATATTTTGCTCCTCAGTTGTTATTTGTTAAGTAGGAAGTTTGTGAATGTGGATGCGTGTCCCAAACGTGTACAGCTTTGGTGAAACCTACAAGCACTGGTATTAAATCTAGAAACACAACCGGGGCGAACAGGGATCCGATCCTACAATCATAGTAGTCTGACGTGCCCAGCAACCCTGCAAAGCGAATTTCGGCGCCTTACACGACTGGGCCACCGGTGACACGACCTGCCCCACCCCAGCCAACCCCCAACCCCAGAGGCGAATTCGACTCAGGGAAAATTCTCCGTTGCACAGCATTGACGAAAATAACGGAGGAACATGACACTTAACTAGTTATAAACAGGGCCGGATTTAGAGGCTTCCCAACCCCTGATTTTTTCAGGTTTACTGCAAATTGAAATCCCGGAAACCATGCAAATCGCGACTGTTCGTGTTTATTATGGATGCAGGCACTGTCATAAAAACTTAAACGAATATCAGTTTATGAAAACGGTCATAATCATAATGATAATAATATTTTGGCGTTTTCTGTTGCTCTTTATAAGTCAACATGTCCAACTATACTAGCCACATAAAGGATTGAAATACAACACAGCAAGAACAAAATGATGCAGACGCTGTAGCAGCTGAATGATCGGACCATAAGAAAATGTCAACGGGACCTGAACAACATATGTTACGATGACGTCAGAAGATCAAAATGGAGTAGGGGGTCAAACGACAAAGTCACAAAGTCAATAACGGGTATGACCACCCTGTGCGTGAATCACAGCAGTGCATCGGCGACGCATGGAGTCCACCAAATGGGCATGGAAGGCCTGGGGAATGGCCTGCCATATCCTCCTCAAATCCTGTGCCAAGTCACGGACGTTATCTGGAGGATGTGGAAGACGACGCAGACGGCGCTCTATTTCATCCCACACATGCTCTATAGGGGAGAGATCTGGAGAATTTGCAGGCCATGGCAGTAACATGACATTGTTATGGTGAAGGAAATCCATTGCGACCCTAGCCGTGTGAGGACGAGCGTTGTCCTGTTGAAATGTCAATCCCGGGCTATGACGTTGCAGGAAAAGAATGACCACAGGCCTCAGAATCTGATCTCTGTAGCCAACACCGGTGAGATTGACCTGAACAACCACCAAAGGGGTTCGGTGCCGTGCTGTTATCCCACCCCAAATCATCACAGAGCCACCTCCAAAACGATTCCTCTCCACAATACAGTTGCGTTCATAACGTTCTCCCAAACGCCGGTAGACACGTTGGCGCCCGTCACTGTGGGAAATGTTGTACCTCAATTCATCTGTAAAGACAACATTTCTCCACCATATTCGAGGTTGGCGAACATGCTTTCGACACCATCTTAGACGGTTGACTCGATGACGGTGTGTCAGGATGGGACGTATGGCAGGGCGTCGTTGTCGAATCCCGTACTGACGTAAACGATTCCTGACAGTGTTGGGATGGACACGGCGCAGTCCAGGAATTGTCTGGGACGTCGTTACTGTCGTTTGGAACCTGTGTCGGAGATGTGTAACTCGAATCCATCTGTCCTGTCTTGGCGTCGTTACTCGGGGACGTCCTGAACGTGGGTGGTCGGCAACGTCATTTGTGTTCTGATAACGCCTCACCAATGCCGATATCGTGTTACGATGGCATTGGAAATGTGTTGCCACCTGTTGCTGCCTCATTCCCGCTCGGATCATTCCAATGGCTTCTGACGCTGTGGAGCTGTCAATCTTGGCATGATTTGCTTGTGATATGCTTGTGTCTGCGCCTTAGAAGTTTTGAATTTTTGAATGACCACAGATCATGCTTTCCAAAGTGACAGCGAATTTTGAGTTGCACATGCTGTATACAGCTGCACAGGATGCACGTGCAGTAACACATTGCACGTCCATAGGCCCCAATCAATGACGTCATATCGCATGGCACGTGCATGAGCGTTTGAATGTCTCCAATAATTGCTGTGTTCAAACCTATATTTCATATATGGACGGTGTGCCCTTATATCTATATTTTCTCCGTGCACAGTTTCTTTATGTGGCTAGTATAGTTACAATCAGGGCCGGATTTAGAGGCTTCACAACCCCTGATTTTTTCAGGTTTACTGCAAATAGAAATCCTGAAAACCGTGCACATCGCGACAGTTCGTGTTTATTATGGATGCAGGCGCTGTCATAAAAACTTAAACGAATATCAGTTTATGAAAACGGTCATAATCATAATGATAATAATATTTTGGCGTTTTCTGTTGCTCTTTATGATAAGTAAACATGTCCAACTATTTGTGCCATGGCTCACTTGGCGCTTCATGCGCACATATGTGCAACCAACCGTGCAAACAAGGGCATGTTACTCGTCTTGTCCTAAGACAAGTTTTACCCTCTGATTATTTTAATGCCCGTCATTATAGACAACGGCACATGTGGTTTGGCTTAGGACCAAGAGCCCATGACCAGCCACCTGCAGTGTGCCCCACCACGGGAGCTTGTGGTCGGATTCAGTTGTTGAAAACATTGTGTTGGTGGTGGAATAAACATAACAATAAATAAGACTCTACTCTTTACGGAAGCGTAGTAGGGCCACGGTGAATTTCTTTTGTCTAAGTATCTCCCGCGTAGGACTTAGTATCACCTACGCAGGACTTAGTATCTTCTACGTAGAACTTAGTATCTCCTACATAGGACTTACTATCTCCTACGTAGGACTTAGTATCTCCTACGTAGGACTTAGTATCTTCTACGTAGAACTAAGTATCTCTAACGTAGGACTTACTATCTCCCACGTAGCAGATACTAAGGCCTACGTAGGCGATACTAAGTCCTACGTAGAAGATAGTAATTCTAGGCCATACTCAGTCCTACGTAGGAGATGTACATCAATTCAGAAATTCTTTAACAGTTTAGCGAGCGCTGCGACATCTGAACGTAGGAGATAGTAAATCCTACGTAGGAGATAGTAAGTCCTACGTAGGAGATACTAAGTCCTACGTAGGAGATACTTAGTCCTACGTAGGAGATACTAAGTCCTACGTAGGATGTACTAAGTCCTACGTTGGATATACTAAGTCCTACGTAGGAGATACTTAGACAAAAATAATAAATCACCGTGGCCCTACCACGCTTCCGTAACTCTTGCTATATTATTGACAATACCGGGTTGCATTACTCAACTAAATAAAGCCATCAATATACCTACT